ATGTGTGATGTTTGTCATATGTTTTATTAGATGTTAGCAAGTCACAACCCCAGCTCTTCCGGTATTTCTAATATCTATGAACTGCGGTGATCACCAATTATCTAAATGATCCAAAAATATAGATAAATTATTAAATAACTTTTCCATCTTGCTCCACATGTTATATTCTCTAGTGAAAACTAAACTAAAACGATACTATTGATCCCTTCTTAGATTTCAATGCCAACTAAATAAATAGTGGAAGATCAAAAGAGAGACATTTTCTTTTTAGAAAGAGATTTGTAGTCCTCGAATTCTATACCTTATTTTTTATAAAATCAAAAAACCATTAGTTAGACGCTTTAATACTCTCAAGTTTGATCGAAGTCCTTAATTATTTTATCATAAAAATGACAAAACCGGTTAACATCAGATAATTGGTTACGCCGGGGAGAAAGGGATTGTCAGTAATGGGATCTAACAGCTCCATTGCTAGCAATTGACCTCCACGCGATTCTCCCTGGAAACCATCATGGTTAATGCTTGATGAATTCGTCTTGATAGGCCAACTAACCTGCTTACATCTTCACCTATCACCCCTCACTGGTGCATCAACAGCGTATCTCGATAACATAAGCGGGGTGGGGTTACCATTCCATTACCATCCATTAAAAAAAATTGGTTACGCCTATAATACCAAAGGTATCACCTGCGAGTTCTCGACCTTGAAGAAAAAATATACTATATCGACGATTTCCTGGAATAAACCACAAGCTGCCACACTCTAACACACCTACGTTTTCCCAGCTGTCTTAAATTTATTTTCTAAACGAACACGAACTAAATTGTGCTGGATAAAGCTATGTCAATTACAAGGGTTCTAGTGATTTCTTATTCAGTTAATAAACAATAGGTACCGATATAATAATCTTTAATATTTAAATGTTTATTTCATGTATGTTAGGCAAAACTGATTCGTCACCAAGAGTGCTTTCCAAACGGAAAGGGATTATTGGTAATAGGATCTAAAAACCCCATTGCTAGCAACACAATAATTGACCTCCACGCGGTTCTCCCTGGATATCGAAGTTAATTCTTTTTGAATTCATCACGAGGGGCTAACGGGTTTACTTTTATCCTCACCCATAATCTCTCACTGGATCTGGTGATGATGATGAACCTCGGCTGCGTTATCGGTATATATTGGCGGGGTTCATCATCATTTTATAAGCCGTTAACTGTCCACTGCTGAACATAAGCCTTTCATAATTAACTTATTAAATGTAACAATTAATATGTATTTAGAATAATTAATTGGACATACGTTATTGATAAATTTTTACTTTAAAATGTTAGCCACTAAAAACTAACTAATATGTGCTAAGACAAAATTTGCATGCCTTTAGATAAAGCGAAATGTGTAGCTCAATTACCATTTAAGACCATTTGTACCACATTTCGAGCAAATAAATTATTATTTATTTATTTATTATCCCCATAAAGGAAGTTTTGCGAATAACTGCCACGCTTGGCAGGTAAGTTGGCAACTGCAACTAGGCTTTTAGTGATGTTTTAAGAGGAACGCTACTACCCATTCCTCGACCATTTAATTCCCTTAGTCGCGTCTTATGACACCCACGGGAAACGAAGTGATAGCCTATTCTGTGCCGGGACCACACGGTAACGCAGGCGTCATTACCATTCTTCCACAGTGTATAAATTTTACGTTCCAATTGTAAGTGTTCTTAATATCGTCGTAGTAAGGGTTATATTTTGAATAAAATACATCATTGGTATATCAATTTCTTTAGTTACACTGCCCGTCACTTAACCCCAAACAGATATTTAACATGACAATAATAATGGCCGAGGCACTATATGGCTTCGTCGCGTGACATATAACTATATGTACATAAAGTAGTTATCGGTTGGACCAATCGATATTTATGCAACTTTAATAGATACTCCATCGATCGCCCATTCATGACCCATATAAAAACTTTCAATTTGTGACTCATACTAGAATAAACTATGGTGACAGCAACGACGGATTATTATTATCCGAAACCAACACCGTTTTAGAAGCGTAGCAATGTATTTTTGGAAGAGCAGTTATTTTTATTACATCGTTCTTTTTTTCATTTAAAAAAACACTTGAATTAAAAAAAAATATTAACAGTTATAGATCCACAATTTATTTATTTATAAAATCGCTTTCGTTATCAGTCCTGCCTTTTCCAGTTATCTGGCATCGTACTTTTTTCATACTAATATTAAATCCATCATCTCCGACCCATCAAACCACAAATACTTATATACTTTTCTTTTAAAATTTTTTCTTACCTTGAGTCCTATCCACTTTTAAACTCAACATTTTATAATCCTTATTTAATCTTCTTTGATAAAATCCATACCAAAATAATCTCCATTCATCCTCCAAGGTATAAAATCTAATGTACTTAAATAAGAATAATAAGTTTGAAATTCATGAAGTTCTCTACCATCCGCGTCTATCAAAACAATATTATCTGCAAAAAGTACCTAAGTAAGCCTAAAGTACCTCCTAGTTCTAATTTAAACGCATCCATTAGATTAATTTGACTGCAGATCAAGTATTCAAACAAGCAAGCAATCCGGTTTTTTTTTTTTTTGTAAGCCCAAATAAGTTCGGTAAATTTAATAGATTGATAAAAAAATATTTTGCAGAAGCTTTTTCCTAATAGGATGTCTATCCCTCTCACCCACATTACAATGCCTAAAAGATACATTTGTGTCGATTTGTTCTATATTTATCTATGAAGAATGAATCCATATGACAGTAATGTAATAAATAAATAAATAAACTTGACCCTGTTGACAGAAGTGAACTGAAGAAGACGGGTGTAAATTAATGTATGACGCTGACGGTCAAGCACAATAATAAAATATAAAATAATATAGTATAATAGGTGCCCTTTGTGTCATTCAGGAACTTCTCATGATAGATACCTATCTATATTTACTCAAAGTAGACAACTTAAAACAGTGAACTGTGAAAAAAAATTGTAAGTAATGTATTTAATTAAAAGACTTTTTCTTACCAATAGCTATAAATAAAGTAGCCTATGAATGGTTAACTAGGGCAGATCTACAAAACTCAGTGGGTGGGGTATTGCAAAAAACACATTACTAGTAATAGGTTTAGGGCCAAAAGTAGATACGCATTAGAATTTTAAATTAGTAACTTAGCATCACATTAATGTGATACTTTTAGTGTTCACAACTTCAATTACGCTAAATTGGTTCCACAATAACAAATATTTACTAAAAGTCGTCTGCTTGGTTGCTTCTACTTATATATATATATATATATATATATATATATATATATATATATATATATATATATATATATATATATATATATATATATATACATATATATCCATATATATATAGATATAAATAAAAGTAAGCATTTGCCCATGCAAAGTGCCCATTTGTGATCAGTATTCTATAATATCCAGGATGCTGTTCATTGCAACAATTATCCTTTTTCCTTTTCCATTTGTTTGGTCGTTAACATATTTGCCTTTCCAAGCATAAACACAAAACAGATATACATATAAACTGCATATATATTCATGCATTTAAATCTATGTTATACTTTGATGGAATATATTGAAAACAAACCATCACAGTTGAAAATTACAGACTAGTATAGTATAGTATATCTATCACATACATACATGTAGTTCACATGTATGTATGTGGTACTGAAGTAGTAGTACATCACATGTCATATATATGAATTCATCCAATTAATCGCATGTTGTTTTTTTCTCATTGACACAATATAAACTACAAGGTTTTAATATTTCAAAATACATGATCATCAATCACTACATAGTATATGGTAAAACAAAGTCGCTTCCCGTCTGTCTGGCCCTAAGTATACTTAGATCTTTAAAACTACGCAACGGATTTTGACGCGGTTTTTTTCTAATAAATAGAGTGATACAAGGGGAAGGTTTATATGTATAATACATGCATAATATAGTAGAGAAACACTGATTATTTTAAAAGTTTATATGTGATATAGTGTGTATATAATGTGATGTGATGTAATGTGCACCCATGCGAACCCGGGGCGGCTAGTTAAATATATATGTAACATGATTAAATATGCTAACTTATATGGTATATATGTGTTAGTATAATAGTTTTTTATTACATGTATTTCTTAAATAACCCAATACATATTAATTTATGATTAATTTTATTGAACATACAAACTTTATAAAACTTTATAACCTCATTTATAAATTTATAAGTTGCATTTTTTTATGCATCATAGAATGACAAACAATCTGAATTCCTACTTGATTGAAAGTGTCTATTGTCGCTTATAGATGTGTAGAATAGCATAGACATTACAGATTATATCATACTCTAATGTTTATAATTATTATGAATTCGGCACTATGAACCAACTGACCTGTTTCATTCTCACCTACCATCTCTCACAGGTGCTCCGCTAGCGTATACCGATAGCGAAGGCGCAGTTACTATTCCATTATCACCCAATAAAAAAAACTTCCACACAGTCCTCTCTAGAAATCATCGTGGTTAATTCATGATGAATTTGTGACGATGGGCCGACTAACCTACATTCATTCACGCCTATAATCCCTCACTGTTGCCCTGACAGCGTATACCGGTAGCGCAGGCGAAGTTACAATTCTGTTATCGTCCATTTAAAAAAAAATTGGCTTGCCTGCTTTTTCTTCTCTAATTTTTACACAAACAAAATGGAAATAACGTGGAATAATTAGACAAAATGCATTATATTACTCATAAAATTTAAATAAAATTATTTATACCTCTGTGATAGTTAGCAACATGCCTGAATAACCTATGCACCAGCAGAGAGCAAGCCATGTCACGTACGCGCCTAAAATTAAATCAACATAGGATGTATGAACTGAGTCGATAGTGTACCTATATGAAAATTCCAATTAAGTAGGTATATAAAGTGCACAGGCTTGTATAATTGGTCAGACAACATTTAAACGTCGTCTCTAACAGTTTATTAAAAACATGTGGTCACTTGTAAGTACACTACAAGTTTGTTCAGATATATTAACTATATATTTATACTCTTATTATTTTATCCATCAAAAATATGAAAATTTAAAAAATTTACCATAAACTCACTGTAACAAAAAATATGTTCTAAATAAGCATATTTTTTATTCCAGCGAGTGTATTTTGTTACTAATTATGAAATTTTCTTGTCGCAATTACTTAATTAATGGCTTTACTTTCTATAAACAAAGACCCAGTTCGATTCTTGATCGAGATAATTAGGAAGAAACTTTTCTAATATGACCTGGTCTATATGTTTTATTTAATTTAATTCATAGCATCAATTAATAGAATATTCTTTATTGGCTATTGGTATGAAGGGCTTATTCTATTTGTTACAGATATTCTTTGCTTTACTGTCAGCAGCTACTGCTAAACCACGTCCAGGAGGACTTATTTCACCATGGAGTGCTCCTTCTGTAAGTATTTAGAAAATCTCAACAAATTTTATTGAAAAATTTAACCCTCCGACAGGATTCGAATACTGTATCCCTTACCATCGATAACGTGCCTTACCAATTAATACCACATAAGCTGATGCATACTGAATATTGATTAATGCAAAAAAAATCTCAAGAATATCATAAGGCAAAACTGGTCAGGTAGCGTAAACATTAATTCATATTTTTTTATCACAAAATATAGAAAAACACACTAATAAATAGTCTTATTAAAACTACTAATAATAATACTAAATTCTTTATTAAGGTTACCAAGACTCGCACTAAGTTTTGTTTCTAATACCAAGAGTAGTTGATTGTTTAACAATAATGGTTTCATATGTGAAATTACTTTCCACATTAAAAAATCTAAAATCCTTTTTAATACGACGAGGAATTGGCCAAGATGTCTAAAATAAGAGAATCAGGGCAAAAAAAAATTACATATTATTCAATTTGAGGGAAATAATTTTCAAGTTCTTTTTTTAAGTTTAGTTTTATATGTATAAAATAATAACGTGTTTGAACTAATATTATTATTAAAAATGTGACAGTACTCACCAGTGAGTGTAGTCCAGCAGCCGACGGTGGCGGTGGCCCAGCCGGCGGTGGTCGCGCAACCTTACGTACACGCCGCTCCGGTCATCGCCAAACCGGCCGCCACTAGCTATGCTTCCTTCCAACAGGTAACCACCTCATCATCTACTAAATACCGCTGTAATTCTGAATCTGTTCAGACAATATTCCCCCCAAAATACACATTTTGCAGTTTTGTATTTTTTTAATTTTATCAATAGTCCTCCAAAAAATAAGTACTGTCACGTTGATCTCCACTTTTTAAATTAACACATACCAGCATTATGGCGATGATAAGGTAATCATCATCTACATTTTTTCTTAAGATGTTAATTAAGAAAACATTCCCTTTGATGACAAACGGCATGCATAAGGAGAGGAAGTCTGTAAGCATGTTTCTGATCTAATAATAGAAGTCAAATGTCTCTCGGATCCTATCATTTAACCTACCTTAACTAAATTATCCTTATCCTAATAACACACGGTTCTTAATTATATACTCATAATTTCATCATCATCTATCTTTACGTTAAATCCTTTTCGGAGTAGTTCGACCCACGTAGCAATTAGTCTTTATATTGACGTCGATTTTTAGCACTAACCTTAAAATGATTAAAATCTGACATTTACTTTGAGTCGCAGACGTCACCTTGCTACCTAGAGGCAACACCGACATCTACATGCCTCTATAATCCTCTATTCTTACATAAAAATATAACGTTTGAATTCCAGATCGTCCACCCAGTATCAGTGGCTCAACCAGTGGTCCACGCCGCTCCCGTGATATCTCAACCGGTCGTACATGCTCCGATCGTATCCCAACCGGTCGTGCAAACAGTTGCGCAACCAGTTGTACAAGCTCCCATTATTCAGCAACCAGTCGTGCAAGCGCCCATTATCCAGCAACCAGTCGTGCAAACCATAGCACAACCCGTCGTCCAAAAGTATCTATCGGTCGGCTCGGTCGGCCACGGGTGGTAAATGACAACCATAGACATGGATTTAAATAGATCTTGCAACTACATATACTTTGCGTGTCAATATATTTCTTTCCAAGGTTTAAAAAATGCCTAAAAATCTATTTGGAATGCAATTAAATTTTTGTAAAAAAACAGGTGCAAATAATTGACAATAAAACATTACAGATGGTATTTATAAGATAATTTGGTGTAAAAGGCCATTTTTAGTTATTGTAACATCATAATAACTAGAAAAAATTTAGCACACATAGTTTTCATATACATCAAAGTATTTGCATAGTCTGTCTCTATCTATGTCTGTGTTAAAATTTATCACTGCCGATTGTAAATAATTGTTTTATTTATACGTTGAGATCATGTCCGTGATGTTGTTGTGAGGCCAATAAATTATTTTATCATCCATTTTGTATTTTTTTTTTGCCTAAATTCACGATCGGGACTTAAAGTGGCGCGATCACATAACAGTACCTACATATCACAATTCAATATCCCATTCCGCCAAATCTATTTAAGCTTTTAGAAGTTATGATACATAAAGAAACTCGTGACTTATAAAAATTGCAATGATGCATCTATTAAATGGTGATCCTTTCTTAAAACATTCTATTTAGTGATAGAAAATTATTTTTGGATACATACAAGACGTACGAATTCACGCGGGATATACGAGTATATGATACTCTATTATGATAGAATAATATATATATATATATATATATATATATATATATATATATATATATATATATATATATCCAGTCAATATTCCAGTAATTGGCTGATATTTTGTTCAAAGCTACAAGTAACTTTTTGCCCGCTTATTCGTACGCATAGATTTAAGAAATAGGAAAACTAATGAATTAGATAAGAAATTAATTATTAATACGCCATTTACAAATGTTCTATCAATTGTTAATATCGTATTAAGATAAGATTATTAAATTAAACTTTCAGGAACACATCTGTAAAAAACGCATCCAATTTTATGCAGTAGTTTTTGCTTGATACAGGCAGAAAAAAATATTGTTTTAGTTTCTATTGTTCTTGTTAAGACCCCTTATATCTTTATTTCTTAAGATATAAGGTTTCTTAAGATTCTCCCATGTACAAACATTGCCTAGTTACAATTTTGTTATATTATCTAGTAAAATTCCAAATAAAATTTATCAATAGTATTAATGTCGATAATGAGTTTTATATACTACTATAGTGGTAAACAAGCATACGGCCTAAGGTAAGGGTTACCGTAACCTATGGACGCCTGTAACACCAAGAATGTCAAACGTCATTGCCGATATTTAAAAAACTTTAATACGCCCTTTTTGAAGAACCCTTTAGAGACTATCTCTAGGGAAAGCCTCGACAGGAAGGTCATTCCAAAACCTGAATGTTTGCGGGAGGAAACGTCTCTGAAACCGCATTGTCCGTGACCAGTCTGTTTCTAATATGTAAGAATGGATTCCCTGCCGATGGGGAGCGATGCGATGATGAAAAGTGGCTGTAAGCTGATCAAATAGTTCTTCAGAACACAATCCATTATATGAGTCATGTAAGTACATTTCATGGGGTCGTTATGATAATTATGATGTGACCAAGAGTGAACCTATATTTAATATTCATTATGTACATACGAATAGACCTTTTAGTGATGTTTTTACTAACACAATTATTTTGTTGAAGTCCCAAATTAACTACCTAATGATGCATACACTAAATTGCTATCGATTTTATTAATTAGATAAAAAAATAATATTTTTGTCACTATTACGTAATAATAATGTATATTGATATAATCGCTTTATATTCAAATTTATCGGGTTCATAATTACTTGAATAGATTAATCACCATGTTATAATCCCATTTCTGTAGTTACCTCTTACGACATCCTATAGATACGAATAGTAAATGGTCAACACAACGGGGCCGATTCAATGGCGCTACTTCTGTAAACTTATCTCTTAACCCAATATTTTAATTTGATATTTAATTTCCCAAAATTACTGTTTTATAGACCATTATATATTAAATTTTTAATAATTTTGATATAAGTCTATTGGAAATTTAATTATATTGGTCGTATTAATTAAAGTAGTAATTTCTGTAAGTAGATAGACAGATAGATAGATAATTTATTTACATTACTTACAGCACACAAATTACAATAAAAAAAAAGTAAAGATTTATGTTTTAAAATTTTGAAATTTTAAGTTTAGAGATATGACGCCTCAGTATCAACCCCAATGTGTATTCTTAATTTCTTACAATACAGATTGAGGCTTCTTATTATTATCTATTTTTAAACAACACGATAATCTAAAAAAAATTATTAAATACGTCACAAAACAGCCTGATACCTACTTATTAGGTACGCTAAATATGAAACCAAAACCAATGTATCGAAAGAATAACAAAAAGTCACAAACAAATATTACGGTAACACCATGCGTGTTATGACAGCAGCAGATCACATCATGCGATGAATGAAAATATCCCATAAATCGCAAACTTTATAGTTTGTTGAATCGATACTATAGTACGGAGCACATCACTAGCGATCGCGTGCTCTACGGAACATCAGGCCAACCACTATCTTGTGAATCAGCTTAACATTAAAATAACCACACTTTTAGTATAATAAAAGAAAAGTTGACGAATAAATTTTTAGATACTGAAAATTTTAATTTTTGTAATCTCGTATGTTTTCTTTGGATTTTGAAGTCTTAAAGCAGAATTATTTAAATGATCTCATCCTATTAATATTATATATGTGGAAGTTTATAACGATTTTTAATGTTTGTATGTTTTCTACTCAATTACACTTAAACCTCTGAACGGATGTGAATAACATTTAGTACATGGAGAAGTTATTCTCTTATTTAACACATAAAAAACTTTATATACTGAAGCACGCAGACAAAGTGACAAGAAACAGCTATTTTATAATAAGAAGGCGAGAACTGTAATCCAATGTCGTATTATGCTGTAATCTTTTAAAACAATTGCCTATTTTAAAAATCTTTTCACGTAGGTGATATTGATTGATATTTATTGAATATATTGTACAAATTATATATATATATAAATCCATATAATACTAAATCAAATCAGATAAATCACTTGTCAAAAAAGTCATATAAAGGAAAATCCTAAACAGTCCGTAACTTTGGACACACTACAACGAACCACATTGAATATTTTTCAGTGAACCACAACAAGGCTTCAGTAAGTCAAATGCTATGTAACTGAACGGAGTGAGCACAGAAAATATATATAAAAAAAATATTTACGACTAGTATCATAAATAAAATATTTAAAATGTTCTGATATAAAAAGATAAAAATATAAATTAAAAAAAGAACCTCGAAATGTCTCTATTTAACAGAAATTTAACTTGATTACTTTTAAAATTGATTATACTATTTTCATTCAATAAATAATTTTCAAAATGCATGCGTGGCCAGGAAGTGGTGGAGACATCATGGGACCAACGGTCGCTCGTGAGTAAAAAAAAACAGATTTAAACATCACGCATATTTATAAAAAATCTTTATAATAAATCGCATAAAATATTAAATGTTAAATAAAAAAATTATAATGAATTAAAAAATTATAACAAATTAATCCTATGACTATTACAAATGGGATGACTTGTATGGATGCAAATGTTTGTATGAATGGATATATGTTCCATAAAAAAAAACTACTGTATGGATTTGAATTAAATTTAATAAAATAAATAAATATAATAGGTTATAACCTAACATAGAAAATAGGATACTTCATAAACCGATTCATGTTGGCGAAGCCTATAAAAAAAGATACAAAGGACCTATGATGTACAATTTTGAATATTGTATAAGGAGGTAAAGTCTCTCTCTGTATAGGCACATGATTTCACAGGATCAAATCTTAACAAAGTCTAAAATAAAACGTGTATTTATAAAGACGTCGCATCTACTTCGCATGCGAATTTTTTGCTTAATATCTTATATTTCAGACATATATCCCTCACTAGTATCCGGCCACTATATACCGATAGTGCAGACGAGGTTACCATTCCATTTTCACCTATTAAGCTAAGGCCGTCACTAAATGTAAGAGTAAATTTAAAGTGACTTAGTGTATTTAAAAATAAATTTAATGAAGCTTATTTTTTATATCTAGAATATTTAGTATTATTTACGTCAAATGTCTCCATATATGTATGGATCAAACCAATGAAAATTCAAACTCACCATATATTGTAATCTATTTGCAAATTATAGCCAACATTTTAAGGTCTCAAATCTAAAAATTTCATTAATTTTTAGTCGCAGTATGTGGTTTTGTCTCTACCGTTAGAGCATGTTTTATTCTTTGAAAATATTAATTAAAATAAATTACTTGACCAGCCTGGATTACTGTCATATTAATAATATTATCAACAGCTTCAAAAAGAAGAATATATTCACATTGTCTGTATTTTTTTATCTCTGTTACCTCATAATTCCCTCAGCTGGTTTAGAACCAATTTGTAAATTCCTTTTTTTATCTTTTTTTTTTTATACTTACAGATTAGCCCTATAGAAATTTAGCTAAAATCGGTTCAATAGTTTTTAAATCAAAATAACTGGTGTTTCCATACATGAAGACAATTTTTGTTACTACTAACATATTACTAATAACATCATTGCTATTTACAACAGGTACAGCGAGCTCTAAAATAAACACCCCTCCACTTAAAAATGGAAGCGATTTACGAGAGTCAGGCTACTTGATAGCTGTCGGCTCAAGAACTGCTAGGTTAGTGGTGTTTTTACTTAATCTATAAAATGAAAAATTTCGACTTATCCCAGTTTTACTCCAACTCTTTTGATATCAGGATTGCATTACCTAGAAATTAAACTAAAATAGATTAGAGAATATAAAAAAAAAGTATATAAAGTGCACTTACTGTTACATTCCAACACACATAGAAATACATAATATTCGTAGCATATGTACACCTATAGTTGCAGTGAAGTCAAAAAAAAATTAAACTCACCATTTATTTTTATAACTATAATAAATAACAATATAAAAAAGTGAAGAAAGGATTCTATGGCTTGAATTTTTAACGCAATCTACTCGTATTAAACACTAGCTGTTCCCCGCGACTTCGTCCGCGTTTTCGTGGTTTTTCGTAAAATAAGTAGCCTATGTCCTTCCTCACGGTTCAGTGGTTTTGATGTAACAGACACATTCACTGCTCTGCTCCTATTGATTGTAGCATGATGAGAAGTATACTATAACCTGCCCAGGATGAAGAATAATTGTACCAAGTTTCGTTAAAATCCGTCAACTAGTTTTTGTTTCTATAACGAACATACAGACAGATAGACAAAAATTTTACTGATCGCATTTTTGGCATCAGTATCGTTCACTACCCCACTGATACCTGACCTGACTGATACTGACCACACCTCCTGATAATTATTTTGGAAATATATTTTATGTACAGAATTGACTTCTGTACAGATTTATTATAAATATAGATAAGTATAACATTCAGCACTAATGCTCAACTTTATTTTCAGATTTCGACGGAGACATATGAACAAAATGTTACTATTATTATTAGCTACATTAATTGCCTTATTATTTATAGCGTTATTAGTTTTTATAATTTTATGTAAGTACATTTATAATAATATTTATGTTTAACTAATATTTTTCGTGTCATAATTGTTATTTTTTACAATAGTAATAATATAATAATTATTAGGATTCATAATAGCAAAATACGTGCATAATATTAAAATTAATTTCCATCTCCATAGACAGTCGACTTCTATTTACCATTCCTTATTCGGAGCATTCTTGTTCGAAATCTAGCAACAATGGCTAGGTCTGGATATTTTTCTTCTTATAGTATTATTCTATCATCTAATTTTCGCACACATACATTTTGAAAACAGCAAATTCCCTAAGTCAAATACAATATTTACAAATATACCAAATTTCACGACAAATTGAGACGTGAAATGCCGCGACCTAATCTCACTTTCATATTTTGATCTTTCAAAGAACTGTTTTATATTTGAAATTTAAATAAAAAAAATATGCTCACGACTATATTTTACATTATATTATGTTAATTTGTTTTCTATTTATCAGATGTAAAGGAAAAGTTTCATAAACCAATAAGACTGTGTAAAAGCAAAGAATGCCTCCGGTCTGCCGCCAATCTAGCTCTCTCAATGGACAAGAACGCAAATCCTTGTGATGACTTTTATCAGGTGTGTGTTAACAAAATAAAAGCAAGTAATGCCTAGTTTTAACATGATATTATTAATAAAGTTATTATATACTATTAATATTATGAATACATTATTAATATAATTAATGATCATAATAATAGATCATTTAATGTATGCAATTTATATTTCGTGCATTTGAATGTTTGCCAAGTTCCATGCATATATCTACATTTTCTTCCTTTCTTACTAAAATTAAGTTGAATTTTATCTATTATATAAGTATGTCTAAACTTTTCTACATATACTATACATAAGTAAGGTTATTAAAGTACATATTAACGAGTTTAGTACATCGCAGTTTGTATGCGGCAACTGGGCACAAGACCATCCGCGTCCAGATGCGTACCGTTCGTACGACTGGTTCAGAGACAAACAGAGCAAAGTGTACGCATTAGTGCGGGACTTCCTCGCTAAGAACATCAGTGATCAGCCACTGCCAGTGCAGCAAGCTAAAGATTTGTACACTGCTTGTATGGATACCGGTATGTTAGAACTATAATTAAATACATCGAATTTCCACTAAACATTTACACCAATAATTCCTCATGTATTATTTACACATTTACTAGCTTTACCGGCAATTTAGACTTCATGATCGATATAATAATGTTAATTGATTGAAATAAAAATAGCCTATGTCCTTCTTCTTTATCAAATTTAATAAAAATAAATCTAAGATCTAATACCTCAGATTCTCTGAAACAAATTTCATCCAAACTGACTCAAGAAATAGACAATAGATACAACGCAATTTGGCAATGATAATATTAAATAAAAATATTACAAAAATATATTTTTATATTTATAAATTTATCTATAAATGATATAATAATTAGATTTATCTAGCTATTATATATATATATATATATATATATATATATATATATATATATATATATATATATATATATATATTAATATTTAACTTAAAAGTACACTTGCTGTTTTAATAACTATCTCATAAATTTATATCAAGAAAATATTTATATAGGTATTTGTATAGTATTGTAAGATATATGGAATATTTTAATACAAATGCCCAGTTTTAAAATAAGGACATAATTTTATGCATTTCCATTTTTCAGAAAAACTAGACAAGCTTAGATTGAAACCAGTCTTGAAAATTTTAGATACCTTAGATTTGCCTCACTATCCTACTTATATAAATTTGACTGAAGATTTTGACTATTCCACTTACAACTTCAACTGGCTAGATACAGTAATCAAAATCAAAACTCAATTAGGAATGGACGTCCTGATTGGTTTTGACATATTCACAGATCCTAAAAATTCCTCAATTTATAGACTTGTAATGGGATCGCCAGAGACTACAAATCCTTTTCCAAGGTAAGTAAAGAAAGTTTATTAGTACATACATTATATTTTATTATACGAGTTATTGAAATATATGTAAATAGTGTTATAGATTACACAAACATTTTAACTAAAACAATTTAATTTACACTAAAAAAATTACATAGAAATTTTATTTTTGTATTAAGGATGCCAATAAAAATAACCATATTATTTATTTAAATATTTACTCATTTTTAGCATGCATAACGACAAAAAGAAACATATTGGATATAAAAATAAAAGACCATTTAAGATACTGACAGATGATGTAGTTCTAGACGAAACATTTGTATTAAATAATGAACAAGTAGATAATGGAGAAGAAAAGAAGAAAGGAGACGATGAGAAAACAGAACATATATACAAATTATTCTATGCTGAACTAATGAAACTATTCGTTATAGAAACGGGTGAAATAAAAGATTCAAAAATAGGTGAAGTTGAATTAGATCAGAACATTATTTTGACTGCAAATGAATATTTTATGATTTACAACGATGTGTATGAGGTATTTTGTAAAAGCAATATTTATTTCTAAATATATCTCAATTTAACTCTAATATGGCATTAGATTAACCTGAGAACATTACATCTAATTAATTAATATTAGACTTATAAATATCATGTTTGGGTTATTAAAAAATGAGTATCACTTGCTTCCACATAAAAGCCGAACGATCGGTATCCTACAACAGAGAGAAACTTTTAATGTCATTAGTTGCCACTCTTATATAAGTAATCATAATAGTATCTCTAAAAACCAAAACCAATACATGTAACGATATACGATAATTTTTAATGTTTTGTTCGTTCTAATAATTTTTTATAGTTTGTTCTATTAAAATAAATTATTAAAAGCAATTTTTTATTCATAGTTTCAGCATTAATATTTTTTTGAAATGAATATAAATTGAATGGCCCGGATATCCTATCTTACTGGTAGAAATATTTGAAAAACTATTTCGTTTAATATATTTAACCTATATATTTTTTAGCTAGAAACCAACAATGATACAGAAATTGACAGCGATGACTTTTTGCACATACCAGAATATACTGTCGATGAAATACAAACACACACCGACATGATAGTTGAAAACAACAATGGCACAGCACAGCCCATATGGAAGGAATATTTAGAAGGAGTTTTTTGTATTAGTAATGTGACTCTAAACTTTGAAACAGATAAAATTCTCATATCTGAGTCCGACATGAAATATCTGGGCCTAATTGCAGCGTACCTTTCTAATACACCTCCGGTTGTTATTGAGCTTTATATTTGGGTAAAGGTAAGTTATAATACGAGGAAACCAACTCAAAAAATTGTTTATAAACAATGTTTAGAGCTAAGTATTCCTTTAAATTATTTAAAACTATAAAAAGTTACTTAAAAACAGCACTAATTTTCAACTTTTCAGTTTCGAAGAATTTTTATACATACTTTTAGCCAAATGGTAATTAAACTAAATAATGGCTATAGTGTTTGTAAAAGATTTTTTTTTAATTGATTTGAAACAAGTTTTAAACGATTTCAAAAAAGAGAAGGTTGTCATGTTGTATGTATTTTTTTCACAAGATCTTCGCCAATTCTGAACTGACTTTGATGATTTTGCAATCTAAATTGCCATTGTCACGAAAGAAGTCGTTATTGTTTGTAAAACCTATTATATTATTAAATTTATACCTATCACAATACATACATCACAGGTGGTAGAAGTAATGGCTGCACACACGACAAAGGAGCTGAGATTGTTGTACCAACGTTCATATGATGACATGCGAACCCACCGTCCAGAGTCACCGTCACCACCTCGCAGTCTACAGTGCGCCAGCGCAGTCAATGATCTAATGGGAATGGCTATATCATACGCTATTGTTGATCCTCACTTCCATAATTTCACCAGACCTAAGGTACCTTATCGGATCTCACAAATTTTGCATTAAAAAAATATATCAGGATTAATCGAGAAGAAAATTGTAATAAGGATTTATTAAAGTATTTATAAAGAAACAAATGATAGTTACTCGCAGCTTTAAATACCTAAAGTTTATAATGACATAACAAACCAGGTTTCTAAAAAATATCTAGGAGATATCTTTAGACAATGAATGTGACTACAAGTATAATCTCTAATGTCTTCATCGTAGATCAAAATGTGGGATCTCAAACTTTGAATTTTCATCGAAACAATGACTAAGCATCCATAGAGCCAAACATGCATAAAAATTGTTCAACATATCTTACTTGGAAATTATAAGAATTTAAGTACATATAAATAATAAATAATTCCCAAGTTCAACAACAATCTTTCTAGCATTACGTGCATATTAATACTGTTATAATAATATCTTAAGCATTAATTTATTTAAAATATAATTTAATTTTAGATCCAAATAATGCTCGATGAAATAAAAAACGCCTTAGCACATTTAGTCGGTAAAACAAAATGGATGGATGACGACACAAAATTAGCTACTTATCAGAAAATAATACAAATGAAAACCTTAATTGGGTTTCCGGATTGGTTCTATGAAGAAGGAAGACTAGAAGAGTTCTATGAAGGCATAGAAGTAAACACTGATACACATTTAGATAATATGATAAATATAATTCAAGTGAAAATTAAGAAAGTATTGAATAAATTTCGTAATGGAAACAATTATACATGGGCGACAGATCCAACGGAAGTAAATGCTTATCATACATTTCAAGAAAATACAATAAGTAAGACCATAATATTATATACACTAAGCTTTGCATAAAAGTAATATAATATTTCATATTATACAATTATCGGGTATTCATAGACATATAATCCAAATCATAATTATTATGTGGCTGCAAGAAAAAAGAATATTGTCATTCTTTGTGAAACCACTTTTAAAAAATATTATACTTAATACTATACTTGCATCCCAATTTATTATTGTAAAATATTTGTATGACCAATAACCAGTTTTATCCTACAAAACATTTTTATCATAAAAATGTTATAATTATAATAATTTTACCCGCTATAGGTATACTATAACAGAATATTTCCTAATAAACTATTTCATATTAATTATCCTTGGACGCAGCTGTACCTATGGTGATGTTACAGTATCCATTTTTTAATTTAGGACTTGAGTAAGTAATTTATTTATATCCTAAATTTTGAGAAGTGAGGAATAATATAAATGTAATTTTTATTTATAATTCCTACAGTTCCCTCAATTACGGTTCTTTGGGAACAGTACTTGGTCATGAAGTAACACACGGCTTTGATAATTTCGGTAAGTAGTCCATGATCCATTAATCTCCAAAAAATACACCTAGCATATTGAATTTTTTGATATGTTAGAAAAGTTATCTATTCATTTTATCCATTGCTTTTTTTTTAATGATTTTATTATCCACCATATTTATTGTTGTGGAATACAAGCCACATATTTTATTTATAGTTTTTTTGTTATTATTTAGTAAATTTGACATTTATTTATTTATTTAAGGAACACGCAACTCTATTGTTTTCTTTTTTGGCTTCTCTTCACGGCTCTAATCTTCTAAGTTCCTTCTATTAATATACATATATTTCCAATTTCTTAACTTGTCCGTGCGAAACACTAAAAACGCTAAATTTCTTTACAATTGGTCGAACCGTTAAAGTAATATATTATTCAACTTTCACATTTTTCTGCTACCGATTGCATACTAGAGACTATTCAAAATTTTATCTTGTTACAATATTTATACAATGAGCAGAAAGAGCTTCGACCTTAATTATTTCCCGTGATTATCATCTTAAACCTTGTAAACCTGTATTTTTTGTAACCAGTGACCATTTAATATTAATTTATGACTTCAGGTCGTCAATTCGACAAAAATGGCAATCTTCTACCGTGGTGGACAAACGACACCATAGACTCATTCGTGAACATGACTCAATGCTTTATCGATCAGTACTCAGCTTATTATCTACCAGAATTAGATGAATATGTAAGTACCATTATTAAAACGTATAGAAGCTATATCGTATTGATTTCAGTAATTTGGCCTTGAATTGGAAATTTAAAGTGGTCCATATTTGTTTCATTTGTACATATTATAAATTAAAGACATACAAACATCAGTACGAACTCTAGGCTTAGAAATTATTCGTACTTATGATCCTATTTATACATACTTATATTTTATATTTTCCATTGGACAACCCGGCTGCTTGTAACAATTTCCAATCGTCTATGTAAACCTAAGTAAACAATTTCATAAGAGGAATTACGTATATTTTCAGTTAGACGGCAAAAAGACTTTAGGAGAGAATATTGCCGATAACGGAGGCGTAAGAGAAGCATTGCTGGCACTAAAACGTCACTTACATATGTATGGTCCTGAAGAAAAACTGCCTGGCTTTGAGCATATGACTTCGGAACAGTTATTCTTCTTATCTTACGGAAATGTATGTACCGTTATTATTATTGAAGATAAATTAATTCTAGATTAATTACTAAACGATGCTAGCTATTATCTAGTAAATAGAATTTAAAAAATTAAGAAAATATAACTTATAACAATATATGGTTATTATTTCCATCTCATACAAAACATATAATATAAAATCGATTAAAAACAGAGCATTTCATATATGAAATTGATTTTTAATGACTATCGGCTTCACAATTCTAAATTAAGACCTGCAGAATACTTTATCATTCATGCTGCTTTTCAGTTATGGTGTGGAGTTTCTACCAGGGACTCCTTAGAAGCTGATCTAAACGATGAGCACTCGCCTCAGAAATTCAGAGCTCGGGGTGCGTTGCAGAACAATGAAGAATTTGCCAAAGCCTGGCACTGTCCTCCCGGTTCTCCAATGAATCCCACTAAAAGATGCATAATTTTCTAAATAAATACAACCTATAATTCCAGTTTCCCATTGTTTGTGGTTAATTAAAAGAAACCTTCTCACTATGTGTGGGATACATTTGGTGCCTACCTATAGATATTTTTATAGTTAATTAAAATTATCTCTGACATTAAACTCTTTACTTAATCTATGAGTGAGTTCTGTGTTGTGAAAATATAAATATCCAGCATCTTGCCTATTATAATATAAGATCAAATATTCATTTTTATAAAATAAAAAAGTCTTCACTGTATTCAATTTATGGTTCAATTTGTATTTCTTTGGCTAATAAAATAAAATAATTAAAATGATTTTGTTTCCATCTATTTAATTTTAATAAACAAAATAAATAGAGATACGTTTATATACAAACATATAGTGATCCAAAACTCATATAGGTATATTCTAGTATAAAGAACATCAAATAGAATTATGATAGCCAGAAATTGAATTTGATAAGCCAAGAGATGCGTAAGATATTCCGGAAGGAGGTAAACCTAATGACGTTACTGGAGCTGGCACAACTGGAGATATAGCAGGTAAAGCAGATACAGCTGGTATAGCAGAAACCGCTCCTAGTTGCACCGGTATCCGTCTCTCTATAGCAAAGGGTTGAGGCACCGCCACTGGCCTATCTACTATAACCGGCTGTGGTACCGGTACAGGTCTATCCACTTGTACTGGTACCGGGACATTAACCGGCCGGTCGACATATACCGCATGTGGAACTGGGACAGGTCGGTCAACATAAACCGGTCGATCGACTGCCACTTGCTTCTCCACCGTCACTGGCACTGGAACAGAGACCGGCACGGGTACTTTGACAGGATATGGCACTTTCTTTTCGTAATACACGGGTACTTGTTTCGTCACCTCCACCGGAACTTTGTGTACTACCGGCACTGGTACTGGTACTTGTACTGGTACGGGCACTTGTCGATCAACAGGGAATGGCACTGGCACTTGAACAGGCACTTGGACGTCCCTAGTGATTGTGCGAGTGATATATCTTGGGACTTCCTGCCTCAAAATAACTGGGTTGGGCTCTATAGCAACTGAAGTTTGTACAGCGGGAGCTGGAAGAACTGGTGCTGGCACAGACACAGGGCTTGCGGCTACTACGGCTGGCGCAGGAGACGCAATGGCTGGAGAAATCGCAGATACTGTAGGACCAATACTACCAGGTATTCCGAACGAAGGCGCAACTGCAAGACCCAACGACGATCCCAAATAAGACGATGCTCCAAATGAATTTCCATAGCCAGTTTGATAAATTCCCCGCTTTAAACCCTTTGTTGACTCTGAAGTTTCCTTTATTCCACCTTTTTCTAGAAGTTCCGATAACTTGGGTTTGTATTCAGTTTCTTTCGTTGTAGACAGCCTACTCGATATTAACAGCACCTATAAAGAAATATCAAAACAATAATTATCTAAAATTTGAGATATAAAGGTTTAATTCAAAATCACAAAAAAAAATGCTTTATTAGAGTATCGTAGTTCATATTTCATTATAAACGATACTCCACTCGATAGCATAAGTAACACATAAGTATGTCTTTATCTACCCTTCATATTTATAGAAAGGAAGATTACCTAAACAATGAAATATTAATAATTACACGTACTGGTAAAAGCAATAATTACAAAGCTTTTATGAATTAAAATGTAATACAACCAGATTACATTTCAATGTACACTCTAGATATTATTAATATCAGAAATTAGAATGCTATCAACAGACTATGTAAATTAAAAAAATGGTACACTTTTTAGAAACTACAAAATTTTTATTTTGTTGCCAAGTCACTGTGTAACTTGAAATTATCTAGATTTAAGGCTAGTGCGTTGAACACTGCAGGTGTTATACATTATATCAATGTCTACAGGCTTAGTACTCAGGTCAAGGTGAAGTCCAGTGCTCGCATGTGCTGTCATACCTTATACGTATATAGATTTAAACATATGCTAATAGGTAAAGGTACTTATAGAATCAGCGATCATCAAATAAAGTTAGACGAAGATTTTTGCGTACTCGTCAGACTTCTTATTGAAATGTTAAACCACGTAACTTTAAATCAAGAGAGTTCCTTTCAATAGAATTAATACCTACTTCATTAAATATTAAAAAGATCCACTATAAATTTATTTAATATTGGGCCAACTATAGTCATGAAAATTAAACAATCAAATAAGCATTACGTTTATTTTACTAATAATGAAATAATTTAAGAAGAAACTGGTTTACCTACTGGTAATATACAAGTAGATCTGTGCCATTGTTATGAAATAAACGGTGACAATAGGAAGAAAGAAAGAAAAAAAATATATTTATTGAAATAAACTTAGATTTAAGCATTTTTGAATAGTCATTTTTTTTTCTATTACCGCCAATTATAAATAGAATAGAATAGTATTTTATAGTATAATAACGTAATTTCAGCCAAAAAGATTTTTGAAAAGGATTAATTATATAAATAATGAATTTGATTACAAACTACTAAGCAGTATCAGATCATAAATATTACATATTCATTGTTTAATTTATTTTTATTACCATAGACGACTCCTTAAACTCCTCAATAAACTCAATCAAAATTTGCTATCGATTGATGATAACGTGAATGGATACTATAACTATCACAGACTATTGGAAATATGATAGTTCTCCATAGTGTGATATAAAAAAATTAACTCTTTTACAAGAAAGCCAATAAAATCCTTATCTACGCATTAATTTTTTTTTCCTAATAATTTACCGCTTAATAATCTAACCGCAATGAGCATCATTACATTGAGCGACGTAATGAAAAATCGGAAGTCTTGCTGCTTTATTTAACATGGAATTCGTAACCGTGTTATCGCAATTATCCAATAATATATATAACAGTCTAGAATTATGGTGTAACACTTATATCGTATTTTAGATATATGTCGCTACTATTATTTACTGTATATATGGCCTGCGGTATTGCCTACGTGTATTTTTTTTATGGGTGATAATGAAATAGTAAACCCCAGCTGCGCTGTCGGTATACACCGGCGGGGCACCAGTGAAGGATGATAGGTGAAAATGAAGCGGGTCAGTTAACCCATCGTGACGAATTCAACAAGAATTGTTCACGATGGTTTCCAGGGGGAACCACGCGGAGGTCGCCCTGATAGGGCAAATTGCTAGCAATTGGGCTGTTAAACTCTATTGCTAACAATCCCTTTCCCCCCTGCCTACGTGTATTAAAAAAGAATTAGTTAATTCACGATTATGGATTTGCATTACTTTGGTCCGTTCGTGTCTTTCATTTAAATTTATTTTAAGCGTCATTGAACAAAACGCATAAAGACGTTCTATATATATTTTTATACATGTTTATGATATTAGTAATGAGACAATTTGTTTTGAATGTATTTGAATAAAAGATACTTTCTATACAGATGGGCTATGTACTAAATGAAATATAGAATTTATCTTAGTTTTTAACTTAAACATTAAAATAAATATTTAATTAACAACCAAATTATTGATCATACAGTTAATACGATAGAATCTCTAGAGAGTATAATAAGCATAGTATATTCTGTATAATCAAAGTCAATTATTATTATTTTTTATACATTTCTACTCAATTATTATATACAATATTAAGTACATCATTCTTACCATTAAATAAACGATCAACGCCATTATTTAATTCCTAAAATGAGATCACAACAGTATCACATTACTTTACGAATCTAATCGATTGCGATCGATGGACCGAACGATTTGAAATAACTAGCTTATATGTGGCCGATTTGTGTTCCATCGATTTATATAGACGTAAGGGAACGTATCAGTTCTAAGCCGAGCGAAACGACTCGCCTGGCTCGTATAAAATTGAACGATTTTATTGAAAATCCACATTCGTGCTGTTACCTAATCGAGATGGACAGATATACAAATTGTATATGCGTGTAATAATTTATACCCTAGGTGGGTTTAAGTGAATAGACCAGATATTATGTCGCGTCCGCACCCTTATTTCTTCTTACACGAAAAAGTTATTTCTCAGTTCTTCTAAAGAACGAGTAATGTCAAAAGTACTGTCCTTAATCAATTGAGAAATAACTAGTCCCTTTTGAGTTAGAAAGAGCTTAGCCTAGATATCTACCTAAATATTGAGTTTTGATTGCAATTAAATATTAAATTAAATTTTGTATGAAAAAAGTTACTACCCAGTTTGTTTCGTTTTACCTTCAGAAAACTTTATACTAGACTAAAAAATAAGAATGATATAACTTTTTAAAATATATACTCGTAAAGGTGCCAGTAAATATAAAATTTTAGTCGTTTGGTTTAATTTATTCGTCTAATATTCATGAATTTCTTTTTCTCATTGAATTTTTAAGTATCATCATCATCATCATGATTGTATCAGTCGTTAACTGTCTACTACAGAACATAGGCCTGCCCCATAGGCTGCCATAAGGAATGGTCCTGAGCAATCTGCATCCATTGACTCCCTGCAATGCATTTCAGATCATCCTGCACTGCGTTTGTCTATACAAGATTGACACACAAGTACCTTTTTTCCTCATCGATTGTCGGTTCTTCGAGCTATGTGACCAACCTATTACCACTTCAGCTTGCTTATCCTTCGGACTATATCGGTCACTTTGATTCTTCTGTGGATATTCTCATTTCGGATTCTATCACGCAAAATAACTCCAGGCTCTCTCCATAACTCGCTTTAAATTAATAATATTATATTACTTCTGTATTACTATGCATAATTTTGTATTACTTTCTTACTTAAATATTTAATAAATTTATTTCGCAGAATTCCTAAACGTAAAACATTAATTAGTTATACGCATACTAGTATAACTACTTCAGACTTGCCTGAATACACATACATTAATTAATTGCAGAATTATACGGCCATATAACGCCCAAAAGTATCTTGAATAACCTTTTGGGAGATTCGAGCGAATTCCGCGAGTCGAAAAACACGGTGTTCACAGGTAAAAGAAAATTAAAATGTAGCTACGACGTAAAGATATGGTGTAACATCGGATGCGATAAAATTAATCAGATTATTTAAATACTTATCTACAATAAAAACGATATATAGTGTATAAAAAAATCTAAGTTCATAAAGTGAGTTTTTTAATTTATCCTGGCATTTCCGCACTTACGCTTACATTTGAGCCTAGTAACTACTTGTAGGTAAAGCAATAAATAGTCTTATTAGTAAATCTATTCTATTTCTTTTCCATATTTGTGCCTCTGTCGAAACACAATTTGCCTTATTTCTTATTTGTCCATATTCCTTTAGAAAAAAATATTCTGTTTCACTGGTAGAACGCTCCCTGGTTAAAACCTCCAACTCTTTGGTTTTTAACCAGGAGAACGCATCCTGTATATACGATTAAACTACTAAACTGATTTAGATAGCAATAATAGATAGGTAATTGGGCCCAAGATGGGACCAACATCCCTACAATATTATTATAAAGTACAGGCCACATATTCTGTTTATAGTTTTAATATTACTATCTACCAAATTCAAAATGGACACATTCTTCATCGTTTCCTTTTAACTCCCTTCACGGCGCTAGATTTTTAAGTTCTTTTTTGCATTATCATTTCCTTTGTCGCCCACAATTGTACCTACATCGTATTTCTCATAGCAACAAAAATAGGTCAAGATACAACGAACAAAGTCAGGAGTACTTTACTGTTGTTTCAATGAAATTTAATATGGAATAAGTAGGTACAGATTCTTTGATATACATTTCTATATTTGATAACTAACATAGCACAGTAGTAGTTATAATGTATTATTAAAAGAAGTCTTAAGTTTAATCCAGTAGTTTCCAATGCGAATTTTTAAAATTGTCTCTGGCTTGATGTTCCGAGTCATATACCCCCTTAAATCCATTGTGTTATCATAACGATCCTAATCTGAAGATCTTATTATGACTGTAAGTTATTGTATTTAGTATAATTAATTAATTGAGTTTAAATCAAAATACTTATAATAAAGAAAACTACAGAAGACAAACTACGAGAGTGACAAAGAGCAATGAGAAAATTATAAAACTAAAATATATAAAAAACTAAGACAGTTGCAACAAAAATTTTCCTAATTGAACAGCACTATTTATTGGTAAAAATATACAGTTGTAAATTTCCTAGGTACAAATTTTCTCATTTTTGGCATTTCCAATTATTTGCTATATACTTTTATGAAACATTTCTAGACAGAAAGTTATTCAGATAGAATACCATAAATGCTATTTGTGATGCTCGTTGCACAGTTACGGCTCTAACCGAGATTCTGATTTCCTTTTAAAAGTATGTGAACATTTTTTAAAGTCCTAGTACGTCAAGTAGCTAGGTAAGTACATATTAAGCATCGCGGGAGCGTGGTATATCGAAACACACATTACTGAGAGAATATTTTATTAATAAGATAAAAAAAGAATGTCACAATTTATAAATTACACACAACTCACATTTAGGTACACATGTATTAAAGTAGTGATTACTCAACTTATACGTGTAGGTAATTAAATTTATTCTTTCGACTTTCGATTTACACAAAATACAACAGATGATAGATAGAAATAGATAGCGCAAGTAGTTGACTTCATTAATATGAAAACTGAGTAACTACTCCTTACTGAGTAACTATTACTTGCTACTTAATATTTCAGAACTCACTTATTGATAACTACCGTGCACTAAATGCTTCTAAAAATATCGTGCATTATGTTTTTTACATTAATTCTCTAAACCTTTCTATACAATCGTTTTTTGTAAGAACTCGGATTTGGAGTCACTTAAACTCTATTGACCCTCATTTAAATAAAAAAAATTAACATGCAAATTACATGTTATTGCGATATCTATTTATTTCTATATCTGGAAAGATACCTTTGTTCATGACATAGTCAAAAATTCTACCAATTTATATTTGCAATAAAATGAAACTCAATATTTATATACCTATACCATTACAGTATACCATTATGTACATACATTAGATCACACATACAAAATAAATAACTCATACACTCGCCACCTTAAATTAAGATGAAATAATTACTTATGTCAGTCTAAACTTACGTTCGTGCTTAAACAATTAAAAGTTCCAATTATATACTGTCCCAATAATAATATATTTTAACAAATTAATTCTGTTTCATGCTCAAATTAAACTTAATAAGTACTTAGAAATCTTTTAAAGAAAACAATCAAAATTATTTGGCATTAAGTTATGTCTGTATAAAATAATGGCCTCTTGCTACATTATACACAAGACTCAAGTGTAAATTTACAGTATATAACTATTGCTGAAATATAGCAACGTACATATCAATAACATTTTTCAATCTCCAGTATATATGCTGGAGATTGAAAACACGAACATACATACAAAACTGCCTGCCAAGCGTGGCAACTACTGGCAAAGCCATATACAAGGAGGCCTATGTTCAGCAGCGTACCAAAATTACAAATATTGTATACAAGGTGAAGGTGAAATCAAAATCCTGATTAGGCATCATTTTAAGCAAGTGTTCTGTCGCAAATGAAAATATTTCCATATTCCAGAAATATGGGTCGACAAGGAATAAAATACTTTAAACATCCACATATGCATGGGAAGTTCAAAATTTTTATCGTATTTTGACCCATGTTACGTTAGTGTAATTTTTTTATTGTAGAACACTTGCGTAAAAGGATGCAAACAATTTCGATTATACAGAGTATAAGCTGACTATTCAGTCTCGTTGTCATCACTAGAATCGTTGGATTCCGTTGTCGTTGTTTCCGTGGCCGCTTCTGTCACGTCCACAGAGTTGTCTGCAGCTGACGTGGTCATGCTGTCAGGTAGATGCTCACAGTTCCTCCCACTGACGCCCACGGGGCAATGACACCTGTAGTTACCATCCTCCTCCTCTAACGACTGACACTTGCCACCATTCTTGCAAACATCTGGATTCTTTTCACAATAATTGAGTTCTGAAAATTGAATGAAATTTTAATAGGTGCAAAAGATTTTGTTTCACAAAAAAAACTACATTAATGATTGCACAATTAATATAGAACCAACAAAGAATCTTATTAATTGAATACTACAGTTAAAGTAATGTACAGAATAAATAATATCTCAGATAAATAAAATATCAAGAGTACTTGTGTACACACAAAAATTATAGTTGAATTGAGAAATGACCACGTCAAATACCAATGTCAATTAAGTAATAAACGAGAAGTGTTACATTTCTGCGACTTCATCTGACTTTCAATTTTCATTTAAATAGTTAATTTTTTTAAATATTTTTAGTAATTTTTTTCTATCCAGTTTTTATATTATATTGTGGATTTAAAATATTTACCGTCAATAAATAATTTTCTATTGTTTAATTATGTAAAACTCGCATTGTCATATCGTTAAAGTCGTCAACAATCAAAGAAATAAAGGAAATATAATGCAAATTTGCATTATATTCTCGTCTCTCGAAAGTCTTGGCCCCTGTCACATTGGATTCTAATATGCTCTACGGAAACCTTGTCGAGTGTTACGTACACCACAAAAGCAACACTCAACAAATGCCAGTGGCGAACCTTATTTCTTTTAAGTTTACTCACCTTTATCACACAGCATGCCTCCCCATCCTTTCTTGCAGTTGCACTCCCAGGGCTTATTGCATGTGCCGTTGACGCAGCCAGGGTAGGGGTGACACTGCGAACACGTGGTGCCGGTCCAGCCGACCTTGCACCGACACTCGCCCGGCCGCCTGCAGTAGCCCCGCTCGCCATGACAACCGGATGCACAGATCGCTGTAATTATGATTTAACGTTAGAATACAGACAGACAGATCAATCACTGCTCTATTGGATAACATTTTAAAACACAAAATTTTTCAATTTCATATTTGAATCATTTTAAAATAGTTGTCATTTGTCTAGTACTTTGGAGGGCACGTATGCCGTTGTCCAGTAAGGACCAGGTGTCTTCTTATATAACGAAGCTGACCTAGAAACTTTACACCTAAGGCCAATCGTCACACAAGTAACAATTATAACGAGATAAATATTTTCTGCAGTTTACGAATTATTGCTAATTGTAATATATAACGCTAGAAATTTATTGAAGGTTTATTCAAAACTTACGAGTTTGACACAACAGGCCAGTGTAACCAGGCAGACACTTGCACTCTAGTGGCTTATCGCAGTACCCGTGCTGGCACCCAGGCAGAGGCTGGCAGGACCGACAAGTCGGCCCAGACCAGCCGAGCTTACAACGACATTCGCCTGGTGAGTCGCAGTACCCGCGTGTCGCGTGGCAGTCTGAACGACAGATAGCTGAGGACAAAGAACGGATAAATAGTACAGAATAGAATATCATAAACAAGTGAACGAAGTATGAAAATAGATGAGGTAAATGAGGTTTTGACCCTCTTTTCCCTTTTCCTACCCGTAAAAGATCCTGATAAGAGGATTAAGATATAAAATATTTATTAATGATTATCAATGAAAATCCTTTCATTTATCATTATATATCTACTTTAAGCCTAATACCATAGACCATAAATGAAATAGGTACTTAATTCTTATTGCAACTAATTCTTCTGTCTATTATATCCTATATAACTACAACATCTATGAGTTAATCGATGTATAGAATTCAAAATTAGTTATTTTAATTTCTAAAAGTGGATTTCATCACTAAAATAAACCCTCTGACACGCCTCGTTAGCGTCTTAACGGCTCAACCATTCAACCAATCGTCATGAAATTTGGCATGCAAAGTAGCCGTTTGTTTTTTCTCTCCGTGCTAAATATTACATGTAGGTATTTAGTGAGACAGAGGCTACATTAAACCCAATCAATCAATACCTATGACCCCGCATGCAAGCGAAATCGCTTGCTCATTACAATTATGTTTCATGTCATATAAAATCGACTACAAAAATGTGTAAACAAAATTTAAAAAGGTATTTATTTTGTAGTCGACGGTACATACCTCTGCTAAGATTTAAAAAACAACTCACGTTCGGAACAAAAGAGTCCATCCCATCCTTCGCGGCAAATGCACTCAAACGACTGGTTGCAGTGTCCGTGCATGCAGCCCGGCAGTGGTATGCATTTGTTACAGTGCTCGCCGTAGAAGCCTAACTTGCAACGACATTCGCCCGGACGTTTGCAATAACCTAGAAAAAAAGCATTTAATTTATTATTTTTTCAATAAAGAAAGAAGATAAAGATAAAGTAATTATTTATCCCTATTTACAGTTTAGAAGGCGTACATTAAATTTTAAACGTGAGGAAACAATTGTAACCTCTGACTGAAACTAAATTTTAAGACCAACGCAGAAACCAAAGGTCGATTCTTAATTGAGAAACAAAAGTTAGATATTCCAACAAGTAACCTTTCTGTTCCGTTTGCCTGCTACATGATCTGTCATATTGCTATTTACTGTATAGATCTGGTAGTATTATTTTTATTGTTACCTTATGGCCTCCCTTTGGCCACAACAGAATATCAGTGTTTTGCTCTTTTGAGGGCGAAACAATAAACTGAGTTGTGATCATTTTGTATTGTTATGGCACATGCACAAAAAGAAAAATTGTGTTTTGCTTTTATGTATTTTTTATTCATATCTCTTATCTCACTTTTTATGTATATTTATCTGTCTGTTATGATTTTTTTTTTGATAGGTAAAAATGGTATGGTAACCCCCGCCTGTGCTAACGGGATACGCTGCCGGAGCACCAGTGAAGGGTGATCGATAAGAATGAAAACAGGCCAGTTAGCCCATCATGATGAATTCATCAGGAATTAACCATGATAGTTTCCAGGGAGAACCGCGAGGAGGTCGACCTGGTTGGGTATATTGCTAGCAATGGGATTCTCAGTCTCCATTACTAACAATCCCTTTCCCCCCTGTCTGTTATGATTTGTGTGCTGTAAGTATTGCAAATAAATTATAAATTATATTCCATGCGTAAAGACAGAATACCGTGGCATTTTAGTCAGTAAAAGTCCAGCAGGGAAGAGTCCTACCCTACACGTATGAGTGACACCGTGGATGTCACAGAGTATTCTATGTTGCTCATGGTGTTGTTCATGTCTATAATCAACAGTTACCACTTTCCAGTAGCTTCTTTGCCGTTCTAAGTTGCTTTAAAAATCAGTTGTTAAAGTATAATATGCACTCACTGAAAGTAGGTACGTACCTACTGCATTCATATTACATTAAGTAGACACCTAAAAGCTTTCGCATGTCTGTTTGCAACAAAACTTTCTATGTGAAAGTTCCGGTGAATTAGTGTTCAAGTGAGTAGATCATTTCTTTTTGATAGTAAGAATAATGCACTTTTATGTGCTTACGACGGGAAAAAATTAGATCTAATTAAATATAACATGTATATCTATATATATTTATACTAGCTTTTACCCCTGACTTCGTCCGCGTTACCGAGATATGTTTACTAACCAGGATAAAAATTAGTATACCAAATTTTGTAGTGATTAGAGTTAAGCTGTTAAGGCACTATAAGGTAACAAACAAACTTACTTTTATATTTACAATATTAGTAAAGAGTTAACACTTATAATGGTTTAATATGTATAAGATTTATTAATGACGATTTCCATTACCAGAAAGTTATTTGGAAAAGAATAGGAATAATAACATATCTTCCAAGACTGACCTCACGTCCCCAGCCTTGCTTTTTGTATCGAGATAGTAAACTATAAGTTCACGATTTTATGTAGACAAACTAAATCGGGGGTCAAACCCATAAACCTTGGAAAGAGATCTTATCCATATGCCAACAAGTAGGGAAAGACTTAAACTTCGTGTACGTAGACTCGTTTAAAAATAGTACACCCTCTCTAGACAAGTGGCAAATTGAAACTGGCAGTAAATATATTGTTATTACTACACTCATAAATAAAAACAAGTAGCGCGACATTGATATCTCGTTCTGTCTAATATATACTTACTGTTTTCAAGTAAATTATCAAGAAAAAACGGATGTTGATGTCTCTTTTAGCTCCACAACTTCGAAAATATGTTATTCAAGTCTCATTTGCCACTTATCTTGGAGGACAAAAGATCATCCAATTTCCATTAAATTCTCTCCAAAAACATTCATATTAAATTCCACAATCCTCAAATTGTAATCCTTAGCATATAAGATTTCTTGGAAATAGGTACCTTGGAGCGGATCGCAGCCCTTTTTGCAAATAGGCACATCGCATATGTCTCCCTGCCAGCCGGGCAGACACTTGGGCTCTCCGTTGTCGTCGCACACGTAGTGGCTGTGCTCACTCAGCACTGCAGGCAGCGAGCATGCCTGCCAAAATCACACATTTTGGAATAAATATTACGTATAACATACATAAAGGGGGGAAAGGGATTGTTAGTAATGGGATCTAGAAGTTCCATTGCTAGCAACATACTGTATCAGTTCGACCTCCACGCGGTTCCCCCTGGAAACCATCGTTGTTAATTCTCACGGAATTCTTCACGATAGGCTAACTGACCCGCTTTCACCTTCATCTATCACCTCTCACTGGTGCCCCGACAGCGTAAACCGATAGCGCAGGCGGGGTTACCATTTCATTTTCACCCATTAAAAAAACATACATAAAGTGGTGATGGATAAGTCGTCTGGATAAGTATTAAGTACCTACCACCATCACACTTATTTCCGCCATTAATCGATTTAAAGTGTAATCTCATGATACCGTGCTTCCACCAAATACTTGGGCGACACAGTATATCCTTGGTGTTATGTATATGTCTCAATAGGCGATGCCTGATATAAGACTACTAGTCATATGAAGCTATAGCTCTTTGATATCAAAAAAATCTAGGATGCCTAATCAGTTTTTTTTTAATGAGTAAAAATGGCATAGTAATTTCGCCTGCGCTATTATTATACGCTAGTTCTAGCGAGCATCTAATTAATTAATTGTATGAACCTTCTTGATACAAATGGCACAGGATTGTATTTCATGGCATGAGGGAAAACAGTGTTCAGCAGTGATTAGACTGAGTTAGATTTTCATTACTAACATATAATTTTTTTTCATTACTAACATTTAGTAATGAAAATCTAACGGTTTCATTGCTAGCAATACATCCTATACGGTCGACCTCTACCTTAGATTTATTCTTTATGAATTCGTCATGTGGGCCAACTGATCTGCATAATCCCGCACTAATGCCCGCCAGCGTATACCGATACCGCAGGTAGGTTTCCATTATATAGTAATATTTAACATGTTCATAGGTATATCACGGAGCATATTAACATATAATATGTAAAAGGGTGCAATCCTATCTCCATCACTCGGATTTAATTTGGTTCGCTAAAAATGCTTCCAATCACAGGAGAAGTATTTGAAAATTATCATATAAATTTTTGGTGACTAAAACTCCTAGACCTAGTCGGATGAGCGGGGAGAAGGGATTTTTAGTAATGGAGATTAGTAATTCTATTGCTAGCAACCTATCAGGTCGACCTCCACGCAGTTCACTCTGAAAATCATCGTGATTTGTTGTTGAATTCGTCACGATGTGCCAATTGACCTGCTTCATCATCATCTATCATCTCTCACTGGTACCCCGCCAGTGTATACCGTTAGCACAGGCAAGCTAACCATTCCATTATCATCCATTAAAAAAATAGAGTAAGTAAATCATTAACATTAACCCAGAGCAAAATCATTTAAATTAATATGAAATATTTGTTTACAAGTATGCACTTGGAAAATTTATTAACTGTTATAGAAAAAAATTTGAAAATATATCGTTAATAATTTCAAAACAAGCAAGATTATGAAATACTATACCGAAAATAATATTAGAAAGCCGCGCCTCCTCAAGTAGTTCGATCGTCAGGCAGGATTACAAGCAATAAAAAGATCTCACTGAGTCAGCAAAGGAACTTTCTAATAAGAGCCGCGAGAAAGCAGCGAGAAAGTATGCCACAAGAAAAACCCCGATGAAAATGTCCACCCACCTGTACATAATTTTAAATAATACGTTCAATAATTAAAAACAGTTTTTTTTTTTAATATTAAGTAGATGCGTAAATTCAACTGTAACTCCTATAACTAACATTATTAAAAATGTGAAAGTTGAATGCGCTCTATTTGAATTTAGTTTATTACACAACGTGATTGTGATTAACCGGCTGGACGAATATAAATGAAATTCGATACATAAATAAACCATATCCTCGTTAATTTATACGTAGCAAATGCACGGTATTGAGGTTTTTATAGATTTTTTAAATATTACCGTGTCTAGTTTCAAGAAATCTTTTTTAAAATATGATTCCGAAATAAAAAAGTATTCATAGTTTTAGACACGTGAATTAATACAAAAAGCCAGTACCGTATATTAATTTAAAATACGGTGCCTGCGCTCCAAATTTTATGTAAATTTGTTTACCTGTTTAATAACGAAAATCTTTACAAAGTTTTTCATTAATAATATTTTTACTAATAAAATAAAATTTTACTTAAACAGTTTTTATTCAAAATTTCTATACTCTTAAAATTTTTAACAATAACTAATTGTAATAATAAATGGGCTGTATCTAAACATATAGATATTATTTATTTAGCCTACCTAAATATATAGAAAGCTAACTGAAATTACAACATATTAATAAATATTTAGCTGTTTACCATGGTAATAGAATTTTGTACCATTTTAATAACATTATTTACGACAAAATTCTGGAACTACGAGTAAGTAGAGAAAATTTTAAATGCGCTTTTTTTAAAAAAAATAACAGGTTTAGAAAAAAAACAGAAAACGACGTCTTACTTGTTTCTTCCACTTTGGCAGATGTTTAGCCGGCAAAACAGCAGGACTCATGCAGCATGTCACGACAATAAACACTAAACTCCTCATTTTTACCAACAACCCATTTACTTAGTGCCAATTGTATGAAGTGTGAACACTGAATGTAGATGCAACTACAGTATCGCAAATCGGTAAATGCAATATTGATAACTGTTTATTTTTTATAGCAAATAATGCCGGATGATGCAGCGCGTGCGCACTCCAACGTTATACTGTTATGCTGTGTTATTGAACTTGACTTGAAGCAACTTTCGCCGCGGTCGCTTTTTATGAAGCCATAAAAAGAGCGTTGAAAACGTATTGTCAATGCGCCTGAGACAATAGAATTTGCGTATATCAGTCAATTCCAAAATATTTTATTGGTTGCACATAACATTCAAGTCCTCCAGGGATTACGTCATGATTACTATATCATCGGCTACCATATCATTGGCTGATGTACTCACTATTGATATTTATACCATATCATGTCCAGTCTAGGAATTTAAAAACTCCTTATATATGACGTTGCTGGAAGAAATCTCTTATTAGAGATAAGCTCACCTTTGTACATTATGTTTATAATGAATTATAATTAACAGTATGTTTTGTGTACAATAAAAGAATAAAGAATCGTGGACGTTATCGTTACGTTATCATATGACGTCACCCTTAGACCTTTCTGCCCTGAGATGTATTTCATAGTCTGATTTTATACTAGGGTAGACATCATAGCCTTACTATACATACACTTAAACACTGTAACCAATACAAACATACATACTTATTAACACAAATATTTGTATTGTGCGGAAATCAAATCCGCGACTATCGGAAAATAAAGCGGTATGTTAAGCATTAAGCTTAAGCGGCAGCAGCCAACAGGGTCGTCAATCGCTGTATTTGTGGCCCATTGCTATAATGAATTTCTCTTAGAGCAATTCGAAGAAACATTACAGATGCACTATGTATGCGAGAATTTAGCCAAATTATTTTGCATATTACTTGAACTCTTAAGGAAAATCAATGAAAAATGCCATCTTTCTGTTTCATCTTCAATATATAAATCTTAATATACAAAAAACTGGACATAGACATAAGGAGAGACATAATTAGGAGATTCTTTGAATCAGATTATTTGAAGTTAAAATACAGAAAGTTGAAGGTTCATTTGTAACCTGCCTGACTGCGTATGTCTTTTACGACATCGCACACATAATTTAAACCTCTTTCGCTATAATTAATTTTTTTTATTCAACTTAGAATGGCAAACAAGCTGACGGCCCACCTGATGTAAAGTGGTAACCGTCGCCTATAGACATGAGCAGTACCATAGACATAACACAGTATACTGTTTCGCCCATGATACCCCCCTATGCATTGCCATTCCTGAGGACTCAGGTGTTATTCCTCTGTACCCAGTAAATTCACGCCATATACCATCCTTAAATTTTATCCTTTAATATTTTATAACATTATACTATATCTGCCTCAAACCATTACTTCTATATTATATGAATATCTCACTGCTATCAGTTTGTAGATCGACATTTATGCCATTATAATTCAAAATCATATTTTTTTTTTATGCAACTTAGAATGGCAAACAAGCTGACGGCCCACCTGATGAAAAGTGGTAATTGTCGTCTATAGACATGAGCAATACCATAGACATAACAGAGTATACTGTTTCGCCATGATACCCCCATGCGTTGCCATTCCTGAGGACTCAGGTGTTATTCCTCTGTACCCAGTAAATTCACGCCATATCCCACCCTTCAAACCGAAACACAACCATGCAAACACAGCTGCTTCATGGTTGAAACCCGAATGGGACAGAGATACCCAAGCAATCAACTTTTGTACAAAGTCTCCCTCTGGTTGACTAAATAATGTGGGTCTGCCTTCTAAGTTGAAGGAAATTTACTTTAGAAGGCAGACCCTTAATTAAAATTTGATAAAAAAAATATTGATTAAATATTGATATTACTAATAGAGACCTTTGTTCATTAGAAAGCACATTAGTAGGTAGGAAAAATAAAAAAACTAATCCAATCATACATACTGTTTATTTATATTATTACTTCTTTTACTTTTATATACACTATAATTTATAAAGCTATATACACATAGTTTAGGTCCATATTTATTACATCTTATCGAAGCTCAGAACAATACAAAAGTTTCATAGAAAACGTTTACAACAAGATCATGATATACTGAACAATGTATTGTTTGGTTTTAATAAGGTTTTATGAAAAATATTTTGCATCACATTAATACGGGTATATTATGTATACATACATACATATTTGTCACACCTGTATCATACATTATGTATAATAATATATTCAAAATCAAAATAGAACTAATTTTCGCCATATTGTGATTGTCTTGGTTGTAAATATAGAAAAATGTCATTATTGGAAAATATTTTTCCTTGCATTTTAGATAAATTGATATATCAAGGTTACTGACTTTCCTATTTTTATTTTGTTATCATTTCACGGCGTTTACTCCTATTTTCTCGTTTCCCTGCATATACAATATTACCATAAGAATAAATAACCTATGTAGAAGTGTTACTCATACTTTCCTTTGTAAGTGATGGCAAAATGTACCCCAAACTAATAGGATTGTCACAAATTTATACAAGTATAATAAATTACTTTGTCATATATAAATAATAAGAAGCAATCCGTTATCATTTTGAAAACGCAGAAAATAATTCATAAATGGTGACCTTGTATGAACAAACGTAATGTATCTTAGACAAAGATGCCAAATAACCACTAATGAACGGGTATGTTACGAGTACATTGATTATATCTTTTTTACATCTGCACTTTAATAACTTTCTTTGCTTAAAACACAAGCAAACGAACTTGCGACCCGCCACCATAAATGCCTGCAACATTACAGAATTTTCAGATGTGTTGCTGACCTTTTACAAAGGAATATGCTCTTTTCTTGAAAGTTTCAATGTCATATCAATTCGAAAACAATGCTGTTGGGAGCTGGTTCGACAATTTAACTATGCGTGGAAGAAAGTCGATCTAAGATTTACTTTAATTTTATCCTTTACAAACAAACTACCTAATATTGCAGATCTTGCATTATTGTTATCACATACCTCAAAACAGTTTTAACAGGGTTTAGATATATAAATCAGGACCTCAAGAAAACAAGAGTACCCAAATTTTAAAATACGCAACACCAGACATGTTGTCATAAATAATATAACGAAACGTACCTATAATACATTTAAAATGATTTAATAGTTTATCAACTTTTTACATTTAATACATAATGTAAATGAGCTCACATTTTCGTTAACAATTGTACGCGAATAATTATTAAGTTCAAGATATATAGGTAATAAATGCACTTCAGACGTTATACTATTACAGTTTGTAATATTTTTAGGATATAAGTAGTTATAAGAATACAAGATTACAAAATATTCGATTCAGATGTGTTCGTGTTTTTTTTTTTATTTTTTTTATTTCCACTATTTTGTCATGTTAAATTATGTAGGTAACCAATTTATACTTATCAAATTGTTCTCTTTATCAAAACATACTTAATGTAGTAGTCTGTAAGGTTTAATTTTATTTGACATGTACTTTGTAAAGAACATAGACACTGAAATCAATTTCAAAATATTACATATAATACGAAAATAAATTTGTCGATTTTTTTTTTGTGTTTTACTCTATAACTTTTTAATATAAACACATTGTATATCATATAAGGGAATAAAAATAATGAAGTAGTATATGTTTTTGCAACCAGTATCAGATCATAACAGGAAAAGTTTACAATAAAGAATGCACCAAATTTAAATGCACCTCCGAAGCTATTTATTACAAATTAATTCTTTCCTGTTCTGTAAGTATTGCCTTGTATACGATTTTAAAAGCGTATAACTTGGGTAGTAACAATTTTACATATCAAATCAATTCTTTTAAAAAAAATATCGATATAGATTATTACTAGACAACTTCAGAAGTAACATTTAAGTTTAGCGACTGTATTAAATAACTAAAATTACTTATAACTCAACTAATAAAAGATTGATAGAAGAAACTACTACCTGACCATTTATTTGTGATGTATGACATGATATTTTATGTTTCACGATTTTAAACAATTTCAATAAACAAAACTAAGAAAGTAAACAATTTTAATAAACATTGTTATCGTGTGTATAATGTATCACAGTAACTATTGGGTTAAGTTAGGCCTTATTACAGTAATTTAATGTAGTTTAAATACAATAAAAGCAAAACAATAGTAAGTTAAATTCTCTAAATTAAGCGCCACATATTTGGCCAATTCATAAAATAAATATGTAACTGACTATTGAAACTGTAGCAATACGTTAAACTTACATCTTAAGTGTAAGATAGCTTTTGAACTAAGCTAGGTATTTATGCAGATCGCAGCAAACAAATTAAACAAAACCATAGATAATGAAACTTGCTCAGTACACAATTTTGTGTGTAATATTGTTACTGGGCAGGTCACGTGATAAAAAAAATATTCAAGTAATTCGCAGATATGTATATAGATAATAGCGTTAAAGAGTACTGCAAACATTGTCCTAAGGGCCTACTCACACTAAAACTAAATCTTTGTCACTTGCATGGTTATAGATTTTATTTCCAAGTTCCACTTCAACTTTAACAAAGTAAAATGTTTTACTTTTTTTAAAGATATAATAGTATGTATGATGGCAATTTAAAACCAAATCTTTAATGTAAAATTGTTAATGACCACCAAAAATATAATAATTATTTGTATATAGAATTGTAAATAATGTGTTATGTAAAATAATTGTTTATTTATTTTAAAATTATAATTAAAAAAAAAAACTTAGAAGAGATCGCATCGTTACCATTTTTAAAAAAGAGTATCTTCAATGTGACGTTAACTGTTTTATTCGCTTTTACTTAATTCCGATTTCTATTTATAAAAATATAAAGTTTAAATTACTTTACTACAGATGAAGCACACCAACATATCATTACTGCTTGAAAAACAATCGTTACAAAATTATTTCTATAATGTTTGCGGAATGTCCTTATATATTAATTTGGCGTTTAATATGTTAAAATAAGAAACGCGTAAAATCCATCTGTAGATAAATTAACTTAATATAAATATTTTATGTAATAAAAAATAATGAAATTAATATATATATTTTTTTTATGTATATAAATCATTTCGTTCGGAGATTTCTTAATAATTTCATACTTTCAGTTGGAGATTCTCAATTATATTATATAAGTTTAGTGATTGAAAATTAAAATTAACAGATAACTATAAAAAGATACGATTATAAAATGTGATTAAAATTATTTTGAGCTTATACTACAATGATACTACCATATCGTCTATGGTGATGTTGATATGCCGCCCAGACACAATCGATTATATACATATAACATAGATACAATTGCATGATCGATTAAATTATGTAAATTTTATTCGAGTATCCAGTCTTTTCAATATAATTCTCTCGGCAAACCCGATATCTTTGTTCGATTATAAATTAATAAACAAATCGAATGGTCCTTTCGATGAACATGATTTTTTTTTATTTATTGTACATTGAATACAATTGTAAAATCGATATTGACTCTATTTCAAAACAATAGAGTCGATTCTAAGCCACCATTATATTTAGAACTCATCTCTAAAATTAAAATTTCATTTTGATCTTTGTTCTAAGGGCTAATATGAACTAAATTTCTAATAGATTTAAGTCAAAGCTATTATAAATTTAGTGTTTATAATGAGTTTATCCGTAAAATAGTACTTTCAAAAGATCAATTTAAAATATTAGTTTTAGATGTATGGAGAATGGCGTCTCAAAATCGACCCTAATGTGTGACTGTTATTCGAAAGAACCTCATATTTTTGTGCCCATACTTGATCGTGTGGGCGGCGTTGAATTTATTTACCAGCAACATAAAGTGTACCCTATTTTATTAAAGTATGACACTACACTATAGAATTATTAATATTTTAAAACAATCACAGAAAAATAATGTATAAAGTAAAATAATAGTAAAGTATATTTTGGAATGAATATGCTAGTTAAAAGGGAAATAGAATAAAAGGAAACAAGGCAATCTGTTCTGAACTATCTTATATGACTTGACTGCACATTTACCAGCTATTATTAATTGTAAAATAAATTGATAAAGTCAATAATTTCATTCAAACAAAAATATTCATGTTGAATTACACTCATTCATTATACGCGTTGCGTTCAATTGATTTACTTTTGACTGGTTTAGTTTTCATTTAAAGTCGTAAGATAAGATAATGTAAACATAAATTTTACGAAATGTACAACTAAAGCAATAAACTGTTAAAAGTAAAAAAATTAACTGCCATTGTTTGGTTACTAAATTATTATGGTTATAAAATTATGGGGTAATATACTCAAATTATTTCCATATTGAGTTTAAAGCTTGAATTTAGTTTAAAATATTACCATTAAAACAATATTACGTGGGTATATTTCACATTGTGACATGTCCACAGCTCCGACGTACTTCTCGCACGAGTCCCACAATCGTGCTCACACGAGTGAGACTCGTGCCTATAACTCGTTTTGTCGCGTGTCCGCATACAGCGGTACCTGTTTGTACTCTGGGAATGGGTACAAAACGAGATGGTCCGCTGTCTTGTACCACGGAATGAGGCCATTCTGCAAAATAAATTATTATATACACATTAATATCAATGTGGTCCCAACGTAGAATAGGCCACCCCTATCACGTCGGTGTCGTAAGTGACAACTAAGAGAACTAACGGTAAGAGAAATTTATTCATTAGTAAAAATATGTGTACTTAATGCTAAAATCATTCTCTCCCAGTCAACCATAGGGAAGTGTCAGAATACTCGAATGCGGTACTAGTAATTATTGATATACATACATACTAAAATTACATATATATATATATATATATATATATATATATATATATATATATATATATATATATATATATATATATATATATATATCATTGAAAACCTAGGTACGGTTGCCAACCCGCCTGCAAAAGCGTGAATACTATTGGTAAAACTCTCCTTACGGAAAAGGCTTAGGTTCAGCAGTGGGCAGTTAACCTTCTGATAATAATGATAGTGATGCACAGTCATTTATGCCAAAAAGCAAAGCAAAATGATAAGGGTGGGTTCAATTAAAATATATTTTAAGTTCACATTGGTCATTATAAATATACAATGATTGAGCCCAAATTCCATACAAACTTACTTATTTAATTATATTTAATTTACTTAACTTATTTCTTCACTTATAAGACCATATAACTTAGCTACTAACTGATTAAAAGTCTTGATAGACTATAAGATATATATTCATGTCTGTTAGTAGAAGACATTTTAGCCAATTCCGAACCAATTTTGAACATATATTGAAAGGATCTACTCTTTGTATCTTTCCCAAAATAATTTTATCATTACTTTTTAAATATTTTTAATTTTAAATTATAATTCAACTCACCATATTACTTCGTTTATTTGTACCTCGACCGTAACCGTTCCAATGGTTACCTGCGATGCCTATCAAATCGCCCACCTATGAAGTAAATATTAAATTAAAAATCATTTGCAGTAAAAAAGCATTATATTTTATTATTGAACAAAGAAATAGTAAAGTGAACACAACTGAATTAAACCATAGACAAAATTTTAGCGGAAAACACTTGTGGAATTTTTAAACTGTTACGCAAAGTGCTATTCAAACGGTGTTAAATCTGAATTTTCAAATATCATTAATAACTAATAACTAACATTATTATTTGAATTATTTAATCTTCTCATAAACAAAACAACTTTTTTACTTGAACAACCATTAATCTTTTTTCGGGTCTTAAGACGCATTGAACACCTAACTCTTCTTCTTGTCTCGAGAACTTATTAATACCTCGTTAAATTATTAATGAGAGACTACACTAAACAGGCGCGATGAAGAAAACATAGTTACATACCTCTAGAGATATATCCTGGTTGTGGTCAGGTGAGTGCGGCAGTACTGCTATCCTATCGTGCGCGTTCTGCCCGCCGAAGTAATAGATATCGTCCAGCGAGAAGAAACTGTTAGATGCGTCCACACGGTTCGTTTGCATCATCTCGTACGCCACTCGACCCACCTATTAAGGAAGAAATGTGAATGTTATTTGTGTAAATATAGTTTAAACACCCAGCAACCAAAAAGCAATAGCGCAAACTTATATAGTATAGATAAGTTAACATTTTAATTCGTTAGTCGATCAGAATCATTGTAAATTGTTGAATTATTTTCGAAAATTGATAAATAATTGCGACTTTGCCACAAATCTGTTATCTATTCTCTAAAATATATATATATGTATATATATATATATATATATATATATATATATATATATATGGTATAGTGTATATATATACACTATACCATATCAGCCATTAACTGTCCACTGCTGTATATAAGCCATAAAGTTTTTGCCAATATTGTGGCAATATTGGTAGGCGGATTGGCAATCGCAGTTAGACTTTGGTGGATTTTAAAAGAGACGGTGCTGTCCATCCTTCGATCATTAAGTTCCCTTTGTCGTTATTTACGACACCCACGAGAAAGGAAGAGGTGGCCCATTCCATTTTGGAACCACACGGCAATTTGGTGCAATACGTAGTCTAAACAGCTAGCTATATAGCAAGTATCTGTATAAAGTTTTTATCTAAGGATAGATACGTGTTTTAACCGTGAAGCAGTTGTGTTTGCATGGCTGTGTTTCGGTTTGAAGGGTGGGATATGGCGTGAATTTACTGGGTACAGAGGAATAACACCTGAGTCCTCAGGAATGGCAACGCATGGGGGGTATTATGGGCGAAACAGTATACTCTGTTATGTCCATGGTATTGCTCATGTCTATAGGCGACGGTTACCACTTTCCATCAGGTGGGCCGTCAACTTGTTTGCCATTCTAAATTGTATAAAAAAAAACTTTAATTATAATTTAAGTATAAAAAGATAATTATTGAATAACATGTTATTCGCTTCTTAGCTTCCTCTTAAAAGGTGGCCTATTCTATACCAGACCTTCACAGCTACTCCAAAGTATAGAGGGTCTTAACCATCAAGAAGTATACCTGGCTGCTGAAGGTGCAGACGATGTAGTCGCACATGGCGAGCATGTGCAGGTCTAGCAGCAGGCCGGCGAGCGACAGCGGCGTGTAGCGGCGGTGCGTGGCCGCCGTTTTGGCGACCGACTCGTCGCCTAGGAACTGGTACGACGGGTACTTGCTGCGCGCGTCCACTAGCACCTGCACCCACGTAACCAATAACCAATCAGTAGAAAAAGATTGTTAGTATTGGGAATCTAACAGCCTCATTGCCAGCAATATACCCTGCCATGTCAACCTCCATGATCTCCCCTGGAAACCATCGTGCTGAATTCCAGATGTATTCATCACGATGGGCTAACTGACTTGCTTTTTCATTCTCACCTATCATCCCTCACTGGTGTCCCGGCAGCGTATACCGTTAGCGCAGGCGGGGCTACCATTCCATTATCATCAATTAAAAAAAAAACTCTCACATTAGGATCGTCCGTGGCGAGGTACACGCGCCTGACATCGACGGTGCGCGTGAGTTCCAGCTGGTCGTAATAATCCTTCACGTGTGCCATGTATTCGTGTATGTGGTGGAACGCCGCTTCTGTCCCCACCTTGTCTGTGCGTCGTATATGTACACTGCAAACATACATGTTATTAATCTTATATTACATAGATAGAGTATCTCCATGTAAATCATCATCATAAACATAAGCTTCCCCCTTGGGGGGTTTTGCCAGTAGTTGCCATGCTTAGCAGGCAGATTGGCAACCGCAGTCAGACTTTAAAGATGTTTTAAGAGGGACGCTGCTCCCCATGTCTCGCCGTCCCTTAGTCGACTTTTACGACACCCACGGGAATGAAAGGAGGTAGCCTGTTCTATGCCGGGACCACACTGCCATGTAAATAGTTCTAAAAAAACGGGTCAACTTTTTCATATACTTTTGCGTTATAAATAGTTATGAGCGATTCCTTTTTTACTTTGTCTTATAAATTTTGTACCATTTCAATGCGCAATAACTCATTACTTATTTATTAAATAATTAAATATAGATATGTCAAGGTACATTATAAGCGTATATAGAACACTAATAAAAAAACGAGTCAGCTAATTTGACAATTAGCCAACAAAAAGTTGAGCTGTTTTTGAGGTTTTTTTTTTTTTATTTTTTAAAGGGCTATTACCTTATTCAGGTATATCAGTCCTATCGTACCCTGAACTTTCGATGCTCTATCTATATAATCTAAGGTTATATTATTTTACTGCACTAGGTGTTACTTTGCATTAGTCCATATCATTAATTCATCATCATTTCAGCCGTTATTTTTGAATATCGTTAATTAATTGATTACAATTATTTAGGCATCGTTTAGAAGTGAAACACGTGTCGCAAAACGTGCGTGAGTGGTATAGCGGTCGGAGATTGATGGCTAATATGGAATGTTGTAGAACTTCTGGTAACAATAATAGTAATCGATCTTCGAACGTTGACAATCGCATGCATAATAATGGCAGCGGAATTAAACAAAATAATTCTCAGCAACAAATCTATTTTATAATATATTTTCATTACCGTTAATAATGTTTATAATAAGTTACCAAAGTTACTAAAGACAGGCATTACATTAATAAGATTAGCAAACAAAAAGGTGTAAAAAATTAATATGAAAATTTTTAATTTTTTTACACTATTTTACTTGTTTTTGATGCCATACAACTTGCTTATACATATATATGTTTCAAAAGAATAAGATATAGCAATAAATTAATTTTATTCGGTACAAAACAACACTTATTTTATCCAATAATTGCCCTTTGTCCATTTGTTACTAAAACTTTATATATAGTCATTGATCTCTGATGACGTAGAAGAATACCATATAACCTAGTACGTAGTAGTGTGAACTAATTTCATATAAAAAGTAAAGCCTCACCCAACAATCGGTGTCTTGAAATTCATCTTGGCCATAGTTTCATTGATCGACTTCTGCATCGAGGGTCGTGGTTTGAGGATGTACTTGAGCATTTGGCCGACCCACCAGGACGCTGGATCGCCGTTGAAGCGAACTATCCTGGACAAGAACTTGGCATTACTTCACTATGTCCTGGAGAGTCACAATTGAATATTTCACTCCATTCATTTATGATTATACAGGGTGAAATCGAAATCATTAACGACATATAAAACTAACCCCTAAATAAACCCCCATAAAAACTAAAACCATGTACAAACCTATTTTAACTATTATACTGTTTTGTCACTTTCTTTCAAATTGGGAATTCAACACAAAAGGAAGAATAGAGTTCAATAGCTGAAATATTTTTACGGGCGGTTTGACATTTTAATGAAAAAGGAGGGTTAGAATCTACCGCTAATGTAGAATATACCATAAGGACAGAAATTTTATAAATCCAAATGTTAAAACCGTGTTAGTATAGGAAATAGGGCTAAAATTTTTTTATCGTTTTTAAACACATATTTCTTTAGTGAGTTTTTTTGCAAATAAAAAATTACAAACAAGCTGACGGCCCACCTGATAGAAAGTGGTAACCGTCGCCTATAGACATGAACAGTACCATGGGCATAACAGAGTATTTCCCTCTGGTATGAAATATAAACTGGTCGGATAGAAAATGTTCAATGATAGAACACTCTCTTTGGAAGATGTTAACGAACGGAAACTTGACTTCAAAACATAGGTTAATTTTAAGATTATTGTAACATTCTTATAAGAGAATGTAATTCTAATAATATTTATATTATTAGAATAATATTAATTTCTAATAATATTTATCTTATACCAGTAAAACTGAATTACAATAGCATTTTTCCTATAGACATGTGGAACACAACAAAAAAAAGTTAAGCCCTTACTAATGCAGCGAGTCCAACTATCAAATTAGTATGGTACATCAAGTTGATATAATACAACAGAAAATGTATTGAATATTTTTTTTTTCAACACAGGAGGCAAAAGAGCATACGGCTCACCTGATGGTAAGTGACTACTACTGCCCATGATCACCCACAACACCAAAAGGTGTGCTGCCGGCCTTTTAACAAGGAATATGCTCTTTTCTTGAAGGTTATGATGATAAACATCAAAATTCTCAGTTACTTTTCAATATTTCACAATATGCAAATAGATCACCTGTATCCATCACCAACATACATATCATCATCATGAATTACCCCGTATTAAATGACTAGTTTAGATATCTTAAAGGACAACATACCTATGAGCTAAATCCTTTGGTATGGCGAGCGGTAAGAACTTGGGCTTTTGCGATATCGAGTCTATGAATGGCAGTGATACTACTTTAGCATCGTACGTCACTGAAACACGAAATTGCGAAAAAGTTAGTACATAATATAAATTAAACAATGTGTGGTGTTAATTGATTAATTAGTGAATGTAAAAATAAGATAAATAGGTGTTAAAATACAATTCAATTTAAATAATAGTGTAGAATTAACAGGAAGCCATAAAATTATCATTAATATTACTATATCAGCCTTTAACTGTCCACTGCTGAATAAGCCTTCCCCTTTGGAGGTTTTGCCCATAGTTGCCACGCTTGGCATGCGGATTAGCAACCGCAGGCATTGAAGATGTTTAAAGAGGGACGCTGCTGCCCATCGTTCGCCCCCAATCGCCTGTTACGACACCCACGTTAAAGGAAGGGGTGGCCTATTCTGTGCCGGGACCACACGACAATCAGACATATTTAAGTAAAAAGGACTCAGCTTTTTTTTTAAATGAGTGATAATGGAATGGTAACCCCACCCACGCTATCGGTATACATCGGCGGGGTACCAGTGAAGGATGACAGAAGAGGATGAAGCAGGTCAGTTAGCCCATCGTGACGAATTCAACAAGAATTGTTCACGATGGTTTCCAAAGGGAACCACGTGGAGGTCAACCTAATAGAGCATATTGCTAACAATGGGGCTGTCAAACTCCATTACTAGCTATCCCTTTCCCCCAAAGGACTCAGTTTTGCTTTATCTTTCTAATAATACTCGGTTGTTATTACTTTTTGTCGGCCTCTAATGCACTCAACGTAGGTACCATTATTGAGTAGATTTACGTCACTAAGTAAAAGAAAACGAAAGCTATAAAATGATGGTAATAAAAGTCAATTATGTTTAAGTAGATTTCAGTAAAGCTGATAAAAATTTTATGACCATATATAGTAATGAAAGATAATTGAAAAACAATAATAAATATTAATATGAAATCAATACAACTTGTTATGGCAGTTCGAAGGTATCATAAACCCAACAACTTTTAATGGGGTGATAATTAAATGGCAACCTCGCCTACGCTATCGATATACGCTGGCAAGCTACCAGTGAGGGATGATAGGTAAGGTTGAAAGCAGGTTAGTTAGCCCATCGTGACGAATTCCGTGATAGGGTGTATTGCTAGGAATGGGTCAGTCAGACCCCATTACTAACAATCCCTAACGAGTAACAAGTTCTGATGGTGAAGACAAGGCAATTGGGGGATTACGAGTGTGCATTAAAAATAGTTGGGAAGAGAAAATCTCGTCCATACAATAATAAGTCCCCTCCCCGTATATCTGTCGCTCCTTAGACGTGCTCCTAACGATACTGAAAACATATAGGTAACTAAAGAACTAAAAACAATATACAAAACGTAGTCAATTACCTGGCCATTGTAGCACTTTGTCGCCGTACGCACTTGTACAGCTATCTGATAGCGGATAAAACACATAGTCCCACCCTTTGGTATTGTATCTCCAACCTTTCGAATTTAATATTAATGTCCTTTCTGTGGCGTACGCAAATATCAAACAGTAAACAATGTGGTGAAGCTGGCAACCAAAACCGCAACCCTGAAATCGATAAACCGATTAAGATAGTCATTAATATCAAATGAACAGATGATTAAAAATTTACAGTCTCTTTCAATAGAGCTTAATGAAAAAATAACCAGGTTCTATTGAAATTATAACGGAACATCTAAATCAAACAATCGAATGACAATTAATCGATTTTGTATTCGTGCTTCTATTGGACAGGTCGGGTCAGTTGTTCGTTAATTATTAATTTTAAGTTCTATAGAAACAGACTGTAAATCCCATATCTCAATCAACCGCGCAGCGTTCCCAGAAATACGGATTCGTTCTATTCTAAGATCTCCAAATGAAGGCATTTAAAAGTAAATATTTTCAACTAGTATTTACAATTATCAGTATTTTTTTATAATAGGATGAAAGTAGTGTATTACTTAAATAATAGTAGGGCAATAATTAATTAATGTCTTATTTTAATTAGTTTCTTAAAGAAAACATCGCTAAGCGAGACACTGTAGACCAATCTGGCCGAACCCAGGCCCGCCAAGGCAGGCATTTAAATTAATTTCTATAGTATAGACACTTTCATATAATAACCCCCCCCCCCCCCCATTCTCCCCATCATTTTATGTGTTTATGTGACCGTATTCAAAAAAAAAAAAGAAAAAACAGACTTATGACCTGTTTGACCTGTCTTTTTTTTTACAGTTATTACAGATTAGGTTGTCTCAAAAACAATAGTGACAGAAACGATAGTATAATAAAAAAAAAAAACCTATTTCATAAAACTAAAATGTCCTACAAATTATTTTAACTATTAAAGTGTCTTGTCTCACTTTCAATCTTTCAAATTGAGAATTTAGCGCAAAAGAAAAAGACAGAACTATATAACGGCTAAAATATGAATAAGGAAATTAAATTGTAACTAACCGAAATTGGTATATCATATACGAAAAAGGTATATGAAAGATATTAAAAAAATATACATATAACGTGTCTTAATAAAAGTAATAAAAGTCAAAATAACAATTTTTGGAAATATTGTCTCTGTCTGTTTGTCCGACTATATATTTGCTCCGGTATCACGCAAAAACTACTTTTTTAAATTGAATGCAATTTTCACAGTCGTATTCCTGAAGGTTTAACATAAATCCTAAAATATCTTGAAAATGCTTAGAGTAAATAGAAATACAATAGATATAGAAATGAATGGAATATACCACTTATAGATGTTTATTAATCATTTAACAATGGTATATTTCATTAGTTTTTTTTCTTATTCTGCATCTCTCGTATACGAAGTAAGGAGCAAAAAGCTATAAAATATAAAAAAAAATAGATGACGAAAGCCTAAACACCAACAAAGAGTGTACTCTATATGCGCAATACTTTGCGGTTATCATTCAATCACTCACGAATGCGCGGAATGTTCGGTTGACATTCACAAATATTTGTTGATCTACTCTACGCCGCTACCATCTTGACGATCACAGGAAATGCGTACACATTACGACAATGCATAGCTGGATAAGTTTTATTAAATTAAAAAAAATAACACCACCTGCGCTATCGGTATACGCTGGAAGGACACCAATGAGTGATGATAGGTGAGGATGAAAGCAGGTGAGTTAGGCCATAGTGACGAACTCAACAAAAATTAACCACGAAGGTTTTCAGGTTCCAGGGTGAAACGCGTGGAGGTCGACCTGATAGAGCTATTGCTAACAGTGGAGCAATTAGACCTAATTACTAACAATCCCTTTTCCCCCGATAAATCAGTTACGTTGATAGGAATGTCTCGCGGCCTCGCCTTTTTAAAAATATGCGCTGTGAAACGTATTTCGATGTTATCTCATGTAATCAACATGCCATACTTGTTTACTGTAAGTACAGAAATCAGTTACACTAAATCAATTGCTGTGTCACACATTTCCTCAACCCTATATATCAAAATCATCGACGCCATTACCAACAGAAACATAATTATATTCTCATCAAAATCTGTTTATTCAGTCACTAAAAACGAACACAGCGGAAAAATGTAAATGCATCGCTACGTCCGTAAACAGTTTAATATCATACACTACATAGGATTAAATAATTTTCAAACCATTATATTTTTTAGATACGTTCCACAGTCCACTAAAATCGGAAATATATGGAAGGATATGGCATTTTTTGCCAGCATTTACGTAAATTGGTATAAATTGAAAATCATATGAAAATAACTAAAAGCGAATAGATATTGAAGTCTCATAAAACCCTAATTAAAACTTGAGAAATTGTGTATAATACTAGCGATCCGCCCCGGCTTCACACGCAATAGTTCGAATTTTTTAAAACGATATATAACCTATGTTACTCGCTGATAATGCAGCTTTTTTATAGGGGAAAGAATGTTTAAACAAACTATTCTATCTTTCTATCTTTTGCTATATTCTATCTTTATATTAATATTAGTATCAATAGGTTTCATCATCATCACATCAGCCGTTAACTGTCCACTGTTGAACGTAGACCTCTCTCTATGGATAGTTTTACCAGTAGTTGCCACGCTTAGCAGGCAGATTAGCAAACGTAGTTAGGCTTTGGTGATATTTTAAGAGGACGTTGCTGCCCATGTCTCGACCATTTTTTCACCTCTTACGACACCCACGGGAAAGGAAGTTTTTTTAATGGATAACAACCCCGGTAATAGTGACCCCACCTGAGCTAACGGTATACGCTAGCGGGGCACCAGTGAGGGATGATAGGTGAGATGAAAAGGAGGATAAAAAAGAGATGAAAATAACTGACCTGAGTTAACCCATCGTGATGAATACACCATGAATTCAGCATGATGGTTTCCAAGGGGGACCACGTGGCGATCAACCTAACAGGATATATTGCTAGCAATAGGGCTGGTAATACGCATTACTAACAATACCCCCCTCCTACCCTCCCGAAATGAAAGGTTAACCATTATACCCCATATTACCCCATTTTATGCCAGGACCATACGAAAATATTACAAGTATTACAAGAAATTTATGTTCCTTAAAACAGCTCTACAATAAATCACTAATTAATTAATTACCGAAAATGAAAAAGATACAAATAAAAATGGGTTACCGAGAATGATTACGACATAAAATATGTATTCTTATTGACTATCGACAGCTGAGGAAAACGGAATTGATGTCACGCTATACATATATTGTAGTTGGGAGCGATAAAAACAGCCTTCGTGTGTGTAGGTATAGACCATATGAGGGCAACGAAGCATGAAGCTACTGGACAATATTTTTAATAATAAATAATATCATCTATGTACAGCCAACGTTTAAAGGTCACTTTACTGAATTCATAATTAATTCTTACTAATACTTTAGTCACCGACATAGCCCGAAGGACAAGCAAGCTGAAGTGGCTGGTCCCCAGTCGTAGCTGGGGGAAGAAGGAGGGATGGGGGGGTTGAGGGGCAATGCCGTACCTTAAAAGGCCCAACGCCCTACCTTAAAATGATAGGAGGCGACTAAGAAAACTTAATGGTTGAGGAATGAGCGGCAGCGTCCCACTTAGAACATCGCCGAAGCCTAACTGCGATTGCTAATACACCTGCCAAGCGTAGTAACTACTGATAACCCCCCTAGGATGGGAGAGACCTATGTTCAGCAGTAGACAGTTAATGGCTGATATTAATAATAATTAGCCGTGTGCCATGTAGACATAGAATAGCCCACCACTTCCTATCCTGCGGGTGTCGTAAAATCCGAGTAAGGAAAGGCGAGGGATGGGCAGCAGCGGCCCTATTAAAACATCTCTAACGTCTAGCTGCGGTGGTCAAACCGCCTACCAAGCATGGCAGCTGCTGGCAAAACCTCCCAAAAGGAAAGCTTATGTTCAGCACTGGCCAGTTAAAGGCTGATATGATGACGATGATAATTAGTAATAATAAATAGGATTAGGGAGCATCCATTAGTTATGTGACCTTTCCTGTACACTATCTTCTGTTCAAATCTACAGATACGCTTTTGGAAACATACTGTTTAACAATCGTGAAACATTCCTATAGTTTCATAATAACCTAATTACTTCAACATCAATAATGTACGCACGTCGACTGTCATGTTTACACGCACAAGTTAGGAATGTTGTAACCGACGATAAAAACTCACGCCTTTGCCTGTACGAAAAAAAAAGTCGATTCATAATTTTTTAAACATACCTTATTCAAGTTGCAAATAAGCTTCCTAGCCTCCCTGCAATCCGGTGGGTTCTGAAGGTGACGCAGTCGTCTCTGAATGAGGTCGCTGACGTTGGCCGCTTCCATCTGCCGCCACTCGTGGTACCCATCCAACTCTGGTAATTTCTCTTGGTCCGATAGTAGAGATCTAAAAAGAAATCTTTATTAAATTGAAATATTAAATAGTTATACCTATTTATTTTTTTATTCTACCGCAAATAACAGTCGTATCTTTAGGGATTAGAAACTAGAATCTAAAATCATAACTGTAATTATTGTGCGATTGATGATCTTGATAATAGCACTGACCTGACATGGCGCTGAAGATGCAGGTTCAATATCAAAAAGTGTTTCTATAACAATTTGCAATAATTAAAACTGCCAAGTGTATAAATACCTTCCTACATACAATCGTAGAAGCACACAAACACTTAAGTAATCAAGTATTAAACCACTTCATGAGGTACATGAAACTGATAATATATTGTTACGTTTATAAATAGTAATAAAATAATCATTATTACACCACCGTATACCATATTGTTTAAACACACTGATTAATCTTAATAAGATAATAAAATGAGCGTAGTTTATACCAATTTGAATATGTTTATATATTATGTTAATATTATGTTATTGTGAAACTATTCTCGTTTTTAATTTTATTTCAACATTTTACAACAACGGTTAAGACGAACAAGCAAACAATAGCAAATTGTACAGACATGAATTAATTATGAGGGTTCAATTTTGACTTTAATATATTTTCATCCGAACAGTATTGACCGCGTAAATGTCGAAAAAATCATCGTACAGTGGTTTAAAACTTTAATCAGTCCCTCTGATTTAATCAGAGAGAGAGAGAGAGAGAGTGGAATATGGCAATGAAGATACAGAGTTAGTAACACATAACACCTAAAGTGTTATCCTCAGGAATGGTAACGCATAAGGAGTATCATGACTGGCACAGTATTCATTGTTACGTCCATGATACTGTTCATATCTATAAGCAACGGTTAGTCTTCCATCAGTTGGACCGTCAGCTTATTTTCCATTCTAGTGTCGATCTTCCGCCGAATAAATACAGCGAGCGGACGATCGAACTGACGCCGAACACGTATTGTAACAAATTGTATGCGATCTGATGTATTAGTTTTCCGTGAAGATCAACGACCGAAGACCGACCTAATGTGACGCTACACTAAGTGACCTTTACCAACATCTCAAGTATGATAAGAAGTGGTGATATATTTTATATCCTTCTATGTCATCACATGGAACAAAACTGTGATACATAAAAATTTAAATAGCTACTAATTAGGTATTACATAAATCATGCATGATTAAAAACAATAATATATATCTTTCAATAAAAATTAAAACGACCACATCAAATTATGCTATGAAACACGCTATAACATTCAATACCATAAAATCTTTATATTACGAAATCAGCAGTAATACAATAACCAACCTTTTCCTATCGGCCACTTGGTCCAAAACGGCCTGTAATTTCTCAATTTTGTTTTCGTCGCGTATCGCTTTCCCCAATTCATGGCTAATGTAATACCATAACTCTTTTGTGTTGGAATATATCCTTCTTCTAAGATTCTCGTAATCCTCAGATGGACCATGACCAGTATCGAGGAATAGAGAACCGGTGTCTATGTCTTTCAGGTTACCATTTAAACTAGAACAAACATAAAATTGATAAATTTCAATTTAATACAATAAAATATTATATAGGTGGGTGCACCTTCCATACCATAACAATCTATAATTGTCCCACTGCTGGATATGGATCTCTTTTCATAAGAGGAGGATAATAGGCTACTCACAACATACCCCTATATATTCAAATAAATAATCAACATACCAATGCTATCAAAAAAACTTTTTCAACAAAGTTTAAAAAGGAGAAAGTAATCAATTAGATAGTATATTTCTTTTTTTATGAAGAATTTACAAAATCTAAACCATATTTTAAATACACTATCGAAACTTAGCCCAATGAAAAATCAATTCTGTCCTGATCACTAATTTGTGCAATCTACCTTGGAACATTAGCAATAAAGAAGCAAAGAAGCAGGTATGTAGATACTATTTAAAAAAATTTTGCAGAAATTTTTCATTGCATTAAATCCCGATAGTGTATTTATGTGTATATTATGCAAAAAATTTAAATTAACTAAACCTAAACCAATCTTTATATACATTTTTAATGCTAGTTATTTTTATGCTGCAATACTAATTTCATCAACATTGTAGTCATTACTGAATCATAGATAGACTTTTAAACAAGACATAGAGATTTTGTTTTATAAAAAGTGATTGCAGACAGAAATTTGCAAAGATATCATGTGTCATACCCAAAAATCTCAAATTGAAAATCTCTTCTACATTAAAGTCCTTCAAAAAGGAGCATATGATAATTTCAAACAAACAATGAAGTTTCAGGAAAAAATAAACAATCATGGTTATATGTGAGAAGTGGAGGCGAAATATTTTATAAAGGAGTTGTGTCAGCGCATTGTGGATAGAGGCCATGTCAGCCATTCCGGTTCATTTTTGACTCTAAGGATATCTCTGGCAATCCAATGTGGAAACGCTACAAGCGTTAGAGGGAGCTTGAGTTGGTATAGAACATGGAAATTGTTTTGACTGATGTTAGTTTAAAATTATATTATTTTTAGATTCATTTTAAATTCACAAATTAAGATTTTTAGCCTATTTCTTGCATGTATAATATTTTGTACATGTTCATATTGTTGTTTTTATGTTTTAAATAAGAATAAATCATAGTATGAAATTAAATTAAATGAAATTTATTTGCTAGAAACATTGTGTAGTATATTAATTTATATCTGGCTTATATTTAATCAGTACTTACCCAGATGACTTTCTTATCTGTGCTATTAGATTACTATGCTGTTGTCTCAGTGCTTCTAGTTGAGATGATACTCTCCTTAATCTATCTTGGAATTCTGCTATCTCTTCCGTGTTTCCATTGCATCTAGATAATTATTTAAATAAAATCAATAGTTAGATAGGAACTGGTGATGTGTAGGGACTAGTCCAAGGTTTACCTTAGATATTTTATATGTTATATTATTGGCCAGTTTCACTTGTACCTATCAATTTTCCCCTCGATGGTACAAGTGGATTTTTTCCACCAGTCCTAACCATTATGAGACCAGTACAATTAAATGGAATAAATGTGTACTGATTAGTTTAGCAATCATTGATCTGTATATATATGTGATTTTAAGATTCCCACTCACTTTCCAGTGATGGAAACCATTGATAATAAACCTGATATAAATCTAATAATCTAATACTGCCACATTACATTCTAGTGTAATCTACAAAACGATTATACCTGGCACAGTTATTGCTGTATGTACTAAAAGGTATTGTAATTATTTATTAGGGATATTTAAGATTGTTCTACAAGAGGGCTTGATCCTTAAACAAATTAGTTCAGCGGTAGACATGGGCCGCCTGAGTGATATAAATACAATTAATAAGCAATAATTTAAAAAATCTCACCTGAGAGGGGATATCACAAGATATGTGACACCAATCCAAATAATCAGTAAGACAACTGCAGCCCTCTTCCATTTTGTAAGGTACATCATAAAAAAATCATTAAATGACATGTGACCATTGGAGTAGTGTTTCATTATGGTCTTCTCATCATTAAATGATAATTTTGTTAGTAGTACACATATAGAATTTAAACTGTAACAATTTTAAATATTTTTAATAATATTAACATAATATGGTAACAGTCATAACAGTATATCCAAAGAGTATAATTTTTAAATTATTGTTTAATTTTTGTAAGAAGAGAAAAATTGTCAGATGATTTTTAAACAACGAATAAGTTATTTCACGACATCAATGCGAGTTAATAACAATAAATAAATATATTGGCCTAATAGTAGTTAGCCGGATATTGATAATTTAAGCAAATCTGTACATCGCACTATCATAGGACGTGCAACATTATATCATACTGGTGTTGGAATGCGAATCACTTATAGACACAAATTATATTTTTAATATTAAATTATAAGTATACGAATAGGTCAAATATACATACCCGTAAAAAATAATAAACGTTGTTTATTTAACAAACTACAAAGAGTTACACTAATTTGCTCATGGACTTTTATAAAACTTCTAATTACAATATTTATACGATTTGTATAAAAACTTTTTTTTTTTTATAAATAAAATAATATATAAAATTCTTAAATGCTTCACCTGATCTAAGAGTTCAATATCAATCAATGAACATGAAATGAATGAATTTAATTGAAAGATGAAAGGATGAAAGACATAACAGTAAATAATCTGTGGTACTGTAGTAATATAATTCTTTATCTATGTGATACCATTACTTGATTTGTCTAGTTTACACCGTTCAAGCAAAAGTGATATACGAACCGTTAGTTTAGTAAGTACGTTATACTAAGTCTAAGTAGGATAGTTAAGTCAAAAAGTTATCGGAGTTAACAACTGGAAGCAAAATACAGATGGCGCCTTCAAACTGTTTCCCTTTTAAATGTAAATAAAACTTGCAGATGGCTGCGATTTTGTTCGCGTGGTATTTTTAACCTTCTTATTGTAGTCAACTCGACCGATACGATCATTAAATAAAAGAAAGTGGTTCTAACTTCCAACAACATATTTAAATGATATATGAGCGAAATACCTTTACTATTTTTTTCATTTTAATATATCTTTTAATAAACTCGAGAGAGATCTAGATAATCTTAATAGATATATTTTTTGTCCATTCTTATCAAATTCATCAGACATATCTTGATAAATTTAACTTACAGGGACTAGTCAAAAGGCATATGCGTTTTTATATGTCTATCCCTCTCTAACGACGAACGAAAAAATAGCTATCTTTCTTTTCGTCTTTTACCATCAAAACATAGTGATAAACAATACAAGCTTAAATGCTGGAGTAATATCAATTCAATATCGCAATATTTAGTTGGTACAGGTTATTTAACTTGAATATCAGATATTATAACTATATATTTTAATCTCAGATACCAAAAATAAAAGCGCCTCTTACGTATCTACATCTTTAATTTTAAATTGTTTAACGTTATTTATAACCTACACTTATTACTTTCAATAACTTACAAAAAAGTTTAGTGTATAATTTATTGTACATTAGAAAATGAATACATAGCGTAATAGAAAAAAAGAAGTAGTCGTAAATGTTTCTTTTACTCTACTGTTTACTCAAACGAACTATTCATTCAATCAAATATTGAAATACATATATCATAGCTTCATATCTATTTTCATAGTCCATTTCTCGAATCAAATCGAATCTGTTTTAGATATTAATAATGTTGATATCAGACATAATTTAGCCGCTATAACAAATTGAGTCGTAGCGCTCAACGCGATAAATTGATACTTGTGTATATGTTACTAAATCGGTTTACACATTTCATTATATCGCGTTGAGTGGGGATATTAGATATTTGAATATTGGCCGATCGAATTTGTACTGCTATGTCGCATTTAGCCGCAAAACGGTTACAAAAATTACCATATTGATTGTATCATATAATATCTAATATATAGTTTGCTTACCTAGTCTAAATCTATATGTAGTTTATATACAGATTTATATTTTTTTACCAATATACATATATTATAACTATATATAGTTTATAATACAACCCTACAAACTTCTGATTGGATAAAGATTCTTGTAATTGTCTCAAATTGGAGAAAAAATATTTGACGTTTGATTAAAAATGAAAGTTTGCACTAACATTTTGGTAATCGTGCTCTCATGTGTTTGATTCATTTAAACTTCCACATTAATTTAAATTAATTTTTTAAAGTAAGAAGAAAATAAATTCTTATAAAAATGCCAAAGAAACCACCAAGAAATGCATTTTACTACTTTATGATAAATTTTAAAGAAGAAGAAAGAAAAAAAGGTATAAATTATGCAAACTTAGCAGAAGTTGCGGACGCCGCCGGGCCTGCGTGGAGGGTGCGTTTTAAAAATTTTAAACATTTTTATTTTAAACATTAATAAATATTAATAAGAAAATATTCCTTGTATTAATAGACTTTTTATATATACAACTACCTTCAAACTAGATTCCTCATGTAGGTATCTATATTATTTTTCCGAAGTCCATATCAATGGTTAGTAGATTAGAATTATTGTTCTAACTCCGCTACCATTTGTATGTGTGTGATTGCCAATATTAAAGGGTTGACAACTATTAGTGGTGGCTCTACTACCTTCTGTTATAGTCTTCAATTTCTTATTCAATCTTATCAAATGTTAGATTATCAAGTATGCTTTGAGCAGTGATCAATTAATGTTCCTAATATTACTAATATTAACAGTTTCATTTAACTATTATTTACTATTCATTACTATATAAGTTTAAAAATAGTAATATTATTATTTTTAAGTAGGTACTCATACTTTTATAAGATTTTACCTTTTCATTTGAATTAATTATTCATGTTACATTTGTTTAGCCCTATTACCAGTTTGTATGGTCTCACTTACATTGCAAAATTCTTGCTGTTGTTTTAACAAAGTTATATATGTATGTACATTTTCAACTTTTTTATTGCTTACACATATTTTTATTCACACTCAAGATGTGACACAATTACAAGCAAATGTCAGCAAAAATAATATTTAGGTATTTATATTGGTATTATTTGCCTTTAATCACATCATATTTCAAGATGGATATGAATTTAAATAAGTATAAATTATTAATAATAAATCATTTTTATTTAAGTAAACTTAACAATAAACATATTTGTATTGTATTTTTTTTATAACCTACCACCCAGTTTGGGATGTAATAATTTATCTTTAGAAAAATATTACTAATGTATGTATATTTATTAAGCACTACCTTTTTACCTGTGACTTCTACTATCTGATTATGTATTGATTATCCAGGACAAAATTACCCTTTTATTCTTTTCTGTGCCAAATAGTAGATAGATAGATAGTATATAGTCATTAAACCACAAACCAAACTCATAAGGTAGGATATTGATAATGATGAATATATGTTTTATTTTTTAATTATATAGAATGCTCCACCATCAGTGAGATCTAAATTTGAGGCAATAGCAAAACAAGAGAAACAGAAAAGAAATATTCCTGATACGAAGTTTACATCCCATGGCATATCATTAGCTGAAATTGAACAACAGGAGAAAGAACTCCGAGATGCAGAGGAAGCTGAACGCCAGGACATAAAGAATTTTGTCAAATTGAAAAGTTTTAATGATAGTATGTGTCACTTTTTAATCAGTTATTTCATCTTGATACCTATTTTTGTTGTAATTTGAAAAATAAAATTCTTGGATGTGTTGGATTATGTTTATGGAATCATTAACTCTAAATAATTATATATAAAGCATAATAGCAAGGTAATCAAGGAACATTAATCAATTAGTAATAAATTCTTTGTTACTAATTCTAACAAAACATAGTATAGTTTTTTTTTTTTTCTACTGGTATACTGAGTTCATTACAATATATATGGATTTTTTTTTTATTTTTAGGTATCAAATATGAAGATATATATTTGATGGATGTCAACTTCTATTGCAAAACAAGCACAGAGTATGTAATTGGTGAGAGTTCTATTTTACGATTTAACCTTCAGGATGGCATCAAGGACATTTATCATGAGCTGATTAATCCTCGTAAGTGGTACTTATGTTGTTTAGCTTTTTGAATGAAATCAAATAAAGAACAATGTTTAAATATATATTATATATAATATTTTTAAATACAGAGAGGTGAAGATACTGTCATCTTTCTATGGATTATTCAAAAAGTATGTTTTTTACATATAGATGGAAAAACCTTTAGTTGTTTACTATTTATTTAACCAATTTTACTATAAATTATATAGTCTTTCATTTTACATGAATACCTAAGTAGTTTAATACATTGATGGTATGATACTTGCCTGAGATTGTGCCTGATATATGTTGAATATATTTACTGTATAATCATATGAGTTGTCTGATTGTATGTGATGTCTACACTCCTAGTTTTGGAGGAGAGCTAGTGGCTCATACACTATGTTTATATGTACAAGTCTGCTACTTATATTTTTTTTTTACTTTTTGTATATAAATATAATCAATAAAGTAAATAATATGATGGTATATAGTTAAAAAATAATATAAAGAGGGTTGACGTCAGGCAGGCGGCCGGTCGTAAAACTATAAGCCAAATCCTTTAGTAATATGGATAAAACCATATTATGCTGACCCCAAATAATAATTGGGATAAGGGTAGGAAGGTGATGATGAATGTAAAACTTTTTTTTACGGAGGGTATGAAATATAAAAAGTGTTATAAAAATTAAAATATGTATTTTGTGTACCTACACTATGTTTGTCTGTATAAGTTTGCTATTTATTAATTTTACGTTTTTTCAATATTATTACGTTTTTCATTACTTATATATGACAAAGTAATTTATTAAGTGAGTATAAATTTGTTACAACCCTATTTAAGTGAAGTACATTTTGTTGGTACTTATAAAGGAAATTATATGAGTGTTACTTCTACCCACATTATTTATTTTTGGAAAATAACCTTAAATACTCTTATGGATTACACCCTTACAAACTGATTCTGTTATTTTTAGCTCATATACCAATTGGATATGCCTCTGATATAAAAATAGGAAGTCAAGAATATGGCTTGGAAATGCCTGACGATACACAAAGTCGTAGTAATTTCATGCAAATCTTGGCGAACTGTGTTGATTATTTGAAACAACAGGACCCCAACGTGAAATCATTGCCGCCCATTTTTACGATGCCAGATAAAGTTGCGCCAGTGCAAGACTTCATATTGCAAATGTGTAACAGAGCAGGTAAGTGATGATTAATATTGTAATAGCTATGCTAGTTTCCATTGGAAACAATGCACCCTATCAGGTCGACCTCTACACGTTCTCTCTTAAAAACCGTCGTCTGTTTCTCTCTTAAAAATTTTTGGTGAATTTGTTAAGAGTTCCCTCACTGATGCCCCGCGTGTGCATATCATTCCATTATTATCCATTAAAAAAGAATGTCATAATAGTTTGTAGTTTTGCTCTAACAGAGCCAGCTTAACTGTGTCCTATTTACAATGCAAGCACTTAAATTATTTAGAGATGTGTGATCGCGCCTAAATACCTCCATCTTTTGGGAAAGAGATTGTTACTACCATTACTATGGGGCTTTTAGACATCAGTGTCTAAAAGCCCCCTTACTGGTAATATATGTTATTAGGTGGAACTTCACACAATTCCCCTGAATCATTGTGGTTAATTCTTGTTGAAATTTTCTCACTAAGCTGACTGGCCTGTTTTCATCTTTACCTATCATGTGTCACTGGTGCCCCACCAGCATATACCGATAGCGCTGGCGGTATTACCATTCCATTTCACCTATTAAAAAAATACCAACATTTTACCTATTACCATATCATAAAATTGAGATTATTGCTAGTTTTTGATAGCAATAATTATTTGTTACTGGACGAAACAATAACATTTACATTCATAAAAGGCATAAACAAGTCTAAACTTTATGCCAGGTTATCTGTAAGAGATTGCTTTTAGCGATAAGGCCGCCTTTTGTATATGCACATTCTGTATAAATACTCCTTGTAAACATCTCTACTGTGCGCAATAAAGAGTTTATTATTATTAAACTGCAAATGTCAGTGCAGTCTTTAAAGCAAGAAAGAGGCAAATTATTTTAGAAGTGACAGCACACAAGGATGCCTTGAGCGGCGTGATGTGTCCAAGATATTGTTCATGCCTTTAAGCCACTGTTATAACAGTCTTACGGGTGAATTGTCAGCCTGCTTACCACATCCAATCGGAGATTTCAGATTCTCTTAGTTACCTACTCAATTTCAATTTTTCTCCTAACCACAGCCGAAGATGACAGCATATTCAGAATATACAAACTAGATACTCTATTCTTCACTTTGATCAATGCAATCAAGACATGCACGAATGAAGGTTTTCCTAAAGAGTCCTTGGCCTTGGCCCAGTTGAAAAAAGACTCTTTCAAATATACGCCCGGAATTGGATGTGAAGTATGTCTTATTTTTTTTTATTTCTATATTTATAACTATTTACATCCACGCTTGCATAAGAACACAATGAGAAATATACAGATTTTTATATTGGTATCATGTGGTCCCGGCATAGAATAGGCCACCTATTCCTTTCCTGTGAGTGTCCTAAAAGGTGACCAAGACTTAATGTTCGACGTTGGGCAGCAGCGTATCTCTTTAAACATCACCAAAAGCCTAACTGCTATAACTCGCCTGCCAAATGTAACATTTATTGGCAAAATTATTACGGAGCGGTGAACTGTGATAAGATGGTAAATAATGAAGACATGGAATTTAGCAGAGATAAAATGTATTAATATGTATGTCTTTTTTTGCTTGGTCGCTGACCAAGCAAAAAAAGAACTGACATTGTCAAAAAATACAAAATTAAAATTACAAATAAGAACATTCTAAAAGTAGATATGTATAAAAAAGTTGCCAATACCATAATTATGAGAGATATGTTCAGCAGTGGACAGCTAACAGCTGATATGATAGTGATATTGGTTCAATCACCACCTGATGGAAAGTGATAACCGTCGTCTATAGACATGAGCAGTACCATGGACATAACAGAGTATACTGTTTCGCCCATGATACCCCCCCGTGCGTTGCCATTCCTGAGGACTCGGATGTTATTCCTCTGTACCCTGTAAATTCACACCATATACCACTCTTCAAACCGAAACACATATATGCAAACACAACTGCTTCACGGTAGAAACACGAATGGGACAGAGGTACCCAAGCAATCGACTTTTGTACAAAGTCTCCCTCTGGTGTTATCTGGTGTAATATTAATATGTAGGTTCAATGAGGATTTTTAAGCTTTTAGATTATACATATAACACATCTACCACGCCTGTCTCCCATTAGGGTAGGCAGAAACAATGGAACGCCAAATGATTAGATTATACCTCACTTAAAAATAATCTTAGAAAAACCACTGAATTGGAAACGACCTCTTTTTTTTAAGTTGCTTGAAAATGTATCGTCATTTAAAAAACTGTGTACGTGTCGTTGTAACTGTGTCAACATTTTGTGAATGTATTTATATTTTGAATAAAAACCATTGTTTCTACTTCCACCTTTTGCTTGCCTTAACAGTTTTTTTTTTTTTTTTTTGTCTTATACTACCTATTAGTAAACTATACTACTACCAAAATTAAACACTTAGATTACAATCATTATTATTTTATGCAGTCTCTATCTTGTTATTGAAATTTATGTTTCTAAACATCTATCAGCACCACGAAATAGCGGACAAGTCTATTGAGTGCACCACTTCTCGTACGAAACGCTGGGCATACACAATACTTGATAGTTGCTGTCCGGTCATTGGGATTGATTTGCAGCCTGGAAAACACATGCCAGCAGACTATGATATAGAGGTGAGAGTGATAGCTTGTAATGTGTTTTATATTTATAACAATGCTAGCTTTTACCCGCGACTTTGCGCTTGTTACCAATTGATTGTTGATTCTTTAAAGCATCTAAATAATGTATACATATGACAATATTAGTCTGCCATCCGAAATTAGGGAATCGGCAAGTATAGGCATGTTTAAGCGTCGTCTAAGAGAGCATAACTTATAACTATGCTGACGTATTATGTATATGTGTATGTATATTTATATGTGTTTATGTGTATATATATGTATGTGTATATGTATGTTTGTGTAAGTATATGTGTATGTTTACAGGGTATTTTATGTAATTTATAATGTGTAGTTTGTATTATTCTTTGTGTATACATAACTTATGTGTTTATTCAATATATGCAGATCATATGACTGCCTATTTTTATTTTTAAAATAACACAATTAACATGGAAAGGTTTTGCTGGAAGAAATCTCTTATTAGAGATAAGCTCGCCTTTGTACATTATGTTTATAATGAATTGTAATTAACAGTATGTCTTGTGTACAATAAAGAATAAAGAAAGAAATAAAGAATATTAATACAATATGGCTTTCTTTACTGTTAGTAAAAAAAGAAACAGACAAATAAGCAGGGCAGATGAGGTAAATTTATAATATTATTTTTGCCTTGCTAGATTTTACCTGTGACTTTATTCATATAACTTGGATACATTTACTGATTGGAATAAAAAGTAGCTTATATGCTTCTCCGTCACATACAATATGTGTGTTCTAAAATTCATAGTAATTGGTTAACCCATTAATGCAGTATAAAGTAACACACAAACAAACTCACTTTTATATTTATAATATTAAGGATGAACTCACAAAGAGACTGATTTTGTTAAAGAATAGAAATTTTCAAAATTGTGATTGCTAGCTTTCCAGTTACATATTTTAATCTGCATTAAATTGTAATTTATAGTTCTACAGACTTATATGTTCTTATATCTATACAGACTAATATAATGAGTAAAGATCAAAATCTTTTCTTTTATCCTAACAAACAATTATTGTTTGTTTGTTTATAATGTATAAACTCAAAAACTATTCGACCATTTTTAAATATTATTATCCTTATTTCTTTCACCTATAGAAAGCTACATTTTCAGCAAATAATGTAGACTATATATTATTTTTAAAAAGTATATTTATAGGTGGAAAGTCAGGCCGGATCACCAGTTTAATATATTATTATTTTGTTGCAGAGTATACACACATATAAAGAACAAAAGAAAGTCAGAGCAGGCCCATCCGTAGCCAAGACAAGTGTAAATATATTTCTTTTATTATATCTTAGGCTAAATACGAACCGTTATTTTTTGCTGTGTAATAATATATATAATGCGTATCAATCACATAACATCCCTATACTCGACACAGGTTTCACCGCATAAGAGGATTCTATCTTACTGGCCAGGCGGCTTGGAATACGATTTTATTTCGAATTTTTTTTTTCTCCTACATTATTTATACTCTTAATCGCTTTATAAGCTATCCTGAGTTAATGCGCATATTAAAAATAAGATTTTACTATTACTATTTTGCTAATTCATACATGTAACTGAAATATGTTGATTGGCTGGGATAAAAAATAACCAATATTTTAAATGCAATATATGTACCACCTTGAATGATGTTTGGTTGAGCCATAAAGCACATTTTCTCATTTATACACTAGCCGCATTCTGCGGCTTTTTCGGCCTGAATAAGTATGTAAAGTATCATTTAATTACGTTACGTTAGAATATAAGCTATCCATCTACCAATTTTCATTCACATCTGTTTAGTACTTTTTCATCATAGCGGAAAAAAAGTCCATTTATATATCCTCATAAATGTAAGGATTATTTTTACATGGTTTTTCTGAAATCTGTACAGCTTCATACATCAAAGAGTTGTACAGTAAATCGGGCATAAAACTGTACAGTCCAGATTGATCCTTATTATTTTATTCCAATTTTTTTATGCAACTTACAATGGCAACAAACTGATGGCCCAACTTATGGAAAGTGGTAACCGTCGCCTATAGACATTAACATATAGACATTATCATGGACATAACAGAGTATACTGTTTCGCCCATAAGATCCCTATTCGTTGCCATTGCTTAGGACTAAGGCGTTATACCTCTGTACTCCGTAAATTCACTGCCATATCCCACCCTTCAAACCGAAACACAGCCATGTAAACACAATTGTTTCACAAACATAGATGCGACAGAAGTACGTAAGCAAATAAATGCAAAAATATTAATGATTTAGACGGATAAATGTCTGTTTTATTTTCTACAGGCGACGACATCGTATGAGTCGTCACTATCCACAAATCAAGTATTTAACACCGCAGGTGTTTCATCTTTAGAGAGTGAGTATAATGATAGTAGACTATTGTAAAAACGCAAAAATTTTACATTCTAACATTATTATATATATATACATATATATATATATATATATATATATATATATATATATATATATATATATATATATATATATATATATATATATATATATATATATATATATGTTTAATTTTGCGTTGTAATTGTATATTTATTTTTTAATTATTATTTAGTTAATTGTAATAATTATTAATTGACTGAGCATAGTGAAGAAAATAGAAATGCAAGAGGCAATATTTTTTTTATTTTTTTAAACATTTTTTTTTGTTTTTACAGCTCCTGCAAAGGAAAAACGAACTCATCGTCCTCTTCGCCTGCCGAAAACAGATTGTAAGTACAATTGTTTATAGTTTATTATGAACTAAAATATCTTTTCATATAATAATATCCCCGAACAACACCTATAAAATAGCGTGAAATTACTAATGGAAATTAATTCCATATGTACAAATACGTTCTTTTTGTTTAGAATCCATAAAATCGTAATAAATTTGCTTCGTCTGATACTTGTATTCTTCTTATATATGATTTGATATTATGTATTTTGTATGTTTAATGTAATTAATATGAGTATAATATGTATTTTTAAATTACTGTTCTAATTTAATATTGTTCATTACGTTGCACCGACAGTTAAATTTTTTATTACTCCTATCTACGGTCGACTGGTACATGGTGTTAAGTCCGCCATTTACACTTTTTTTTATGCAACTTAGAATAGCAAACAAGCTAAATGACAACAATAACAACAATGCAAAACAAGCACACTTTCTATAATTTAATAAATATAGTGTAATTTTTTTTATTTTTTTATTATAAGACTATGTACATACGACCAAACAATATTTCCTTGTGTATAATGAACAATTATATATAAATGATAAGTAAGGTATGAAGAAATATTAAATATGTTTTCTAATTATCAGATTCACAAAGTATCCGTCCAGCTCCGGAATTAACTGAAGAGAACTTTCCGAAGTTATCTGCTGGAAGAGGTATTATTATTAATTAAATCATCTCCATATCGCGGTAGGTCAACACTTGATACCCTAAATTCCTTTGATTTCGTTTTTTTTTATGCAACTTAGAATGGCAAACAAGCTGACGGGCAACCTGATTAAAAGTGGTAACCGTCGCCTATAGACATAACCAATACCTATAACATATTTACCAATAAGACATAACAGAGTATACTATTTCGCCCATGATAGCCCCTATGCGTTGCTATTCCTGAGGACTCAGGTGTTATTCCTCTGTACCTTGTAAATTAACTAACATATCGAATGGGACAGAGGTGTCAAAGCAAACGTTTTGGTACAAAATCTGCCTCTAGTAAGTTTCGTTATCCATTTGTGATAGTTTTTTTTTTAAACTTAGAATGGTAAATAAGCAGGTGGCGCATCTGATGGAAAACGATAATTGTCACCTATAAGACATAAACGCACCATGGACATCGCAGAATACTCTGCAATATCCATGGCAGTTATGCGTTGCAATTCTTGAGAACTATGTTATGCCTTCCTACATTATGGGATTTGAAATTTGAAAGCATTTTTTTTTTTTTGTAAAATTGTATTTTCTTTTAAACATTATAAATTGCAAAATGCTGGAAATAAAAAAAATTAAACGTACAACATTTAAATTTTTTCACATATTTACAGGTCGCGGCCTGGCCGGCTCCTTTGACAAAATGAGAATTAAGAAATAAATGTGATATATAGATCTTAGCCAAAGTAATTTGTTGAAATTATTTTTATAAGTACGATAAACACTATGTTTTAAATAAGTTTTTTATGTTTTAATGACGAAACTACAACAGATGATGATGCATATTCTTATTTAATATGTATTTATTATTACCATTTGTGATACTAAATAAAAAAATCAATTATTAAAATTGCCCTATGTTCTATTAAATAAATTATTAATCATATGTAGTATGTCTCAATTCTGTTATAATTTCGTTTAATAAAAAACAATGACAAAATGTATAAAAAACAGTATATTTATCAATAACAACAGATATGTCACGTAGACGGTGCCAGATTGTTCAATATTATTACATACATGTGTCGTACCTCTATCTCTTTACATTATTTTACGTAAAAATATAAAACAACATGACCATTTAGTAATAGTTTTGTTCACTAAAGCTCCTAATGACCATTTGTTATGGTTCTATTCTCTATTGTTTTTATTAATGTCCTTTTCTCTTTCATCATTTTCAAGACTGCCTCGTTCGTTATTTTTTTCGTCCATCTTATCCTTTCCATTCTCTTCTCTTTCCATTCTGTTTGATTTAAAATCAGTTTGTATGTAATTAATATTGAGCACCTTTCCTCTTTGATGTGTACTAAATAGTTTAGAAAAAATATTAGTAGAATATTTGAGTGTATTTTTCAAAACTTATTTAGTATTTGCTCTGGTGCCTATATTATAATTAAGTAAACTTATAACAAGCTTATTTTTAATAATTAGGTATTATGTTTCTGTTTGTATGAAAGATTATTTTTGTTTAATTTTTCTAATGTGACTATATTTTTATTCGAAGTTTAAGAAATTACCCTTTATTCATGAAAACTAAGACCTACAAACTAACTTATAACTATTAAAGTGTTTTGTTAGTTTCTTTTAAATAAAAAAATTTGTGTAAAAGAAAAATAGGTTTATGAGAGGTTTAACGAGTTTGTGAATATAGGGATTTTTCTTTAGGTTAAGAATCTCTCTTTTGTAATGTCATTAGTTAAATAATTTATTTGATTGTTTAATTTGTTATTTTTTAATGTCATTCTAATAGTATTTTTTTATTAATATTTGTTCAAAACATTTTTAATAAATAAGTACTTAAGTGTTATAAAACTGATTCCCACATCTATAAATTTTTTCTATGATATTTTGCCTGGGTCTACCTATAATAATTCCGAATCATGTCATACCCATTTAGATACAGATAAAAGAAAAAGACGTTTACCTAATATGATTGTTTTTATCTAATTTGTAGATCTAAGTTAGATATCGTAGGAATATAAAAATGATTTAGGCGCAAATATTTCTAAAAAACCTGGGTTCCATGAACTCAACGACCAAGTCTTGAAAATTTAGAAAAATGAAAATTTGTGACATTTATTTTTAAATATATGTGATACATGTAAATAAATGAAGTATTATTTCAAGCTTCCTTCGACTCCTCCTCAACTGTTTCTAATTTAGAGTCGCTATCCTTTATCTTTTCACCATTGATTGGACAAGGGCCAGCCTCTGATTCCTCGGGTGCTTCGACATCGGACACTGGCTTCGTGGTCATCTCCTTTATCTCTTCATCTGCACAACTGTATACTACTTTTATATTCCCATTTTTATTTGCTAGCTCCTCCTCCCTTATTTGTACTATAGCACTCCACACTAGTAGTAGCATGTAGACTTGGAATACTGGAATTTTTAAAATCAAAATATACGCATTTCAGCACATATTGTAAAAAAAAAGAATTAGGTAAAAATTAATGAACGTTATGCGTAGATTTAAGTAGACAATTTCTAGAATATCAAGTTATAGCCTATTTTGATAGATTAACACCAATTTTTGTTTACATTATCACTCTTATAAGTAATACTTTAAAACAAAAGACTCGATCCATCAGTTATTGACTTGCACATTCGACATTAGCAAATTGTGTTATGATTGGCCTGATTATTGGTTTACATTTTCATTAAGTTCCATTGAAATGGAGTATTATGTGGTTTGTAGGTCATCGTTTCGACGTATTCGTGTATTAGTGTCGCACGTGTACTGTCTCATAGGCAATATTGGAATTGCTTATTCAGCGTGACAGTATGGAATTTCATCTCTTGATTTAATTGATTCCAGTATATATTTAGGATGGGTAATATCTTGCAATATCTATATATTATAGTTATAATATCTATATATATTGATCCTATAACACATATCGGTTGTCCAATATATAATATCGAAAAAACAACCCGCTCATAATGAATACAGATATCGGATATTATCCATCTAATTATGTGTATATTAATATTTTTAAAGTACCTAAATAATATTATAAAAATAGGTTTGTATAATTAGAATTGACTTAGTTCAAATTTTAGTATCTTGTTGTTTTCATTGAATGTAAATCGTGTACTTACTTGTACTAAAAATAATCGTAATTATTAGGAGTACGTCTATAACAGCAATGACCATAGAATACACGAGAATAGATGTAACCACAGTCACTGTTGTGTAGTATATATAGACACGTAACAAAACAATATCATTCTGAAAAAAATATGCATTATACAATAGGTAAGTGAAGTTGTTGCAGTTTTTGTTAAAGTGTCATCATTATCATTATTTCGGTCGTTAACTTTCAACTGCTGAACATAAGCCTTTCCCATAACGTAAATTTTGCCAGTAGTTGCCACGCTTGACAGGTTAGAAACCGCAGTTAGGTTTTAAGAGGAATACTGCTGCCTATTCCTCTACCATTAAGTTACCCAAGTCGATTCATACGGGCATACACAGGAAAGAAAGTTTTCCCAATTATTTTCCTGAAGATGTAACTTAAAATGTGGTGTGTTTTATCTTAATGCGCTATCTAGAAGTAGTATTATTAGTATTCGTTTTATTGATTTGCCTACTTCTGAAATCCACGCGTACCGTCATTTCTGATTAAGCCGCTTAGTATCTATAGCGGCAACATTATTAAATAGAGAATCTGACTCAGTTATATCTCATATTTAATTTAATGACTTTTTCTCAAACATGCTTGAAAATGTGAGCATTATTTTGACAATCTTCTTCGAGATAAATCAAAATTGCCATTCTGGCTAGATGGATACGGGCAGCGGCCGGCAAAAGTTGTATGAAAATCTATTTCTGTCGAGTTTTGCGGCCAGATAAATTATTATGTAAACTCATATCTGTCCTGTAATTTAAAAATGGAATGACCTTTTACTTCGAAACATGCCTACCAAGGAGGTAACTAATAAAAGGTTTTATTTAAATTTCGAACTGGCTTGCAAATAGAAAGTTGTTTATTAAAAAAAAACAAAGGAACATTATAGCGCGTGAAAAATTATTATTGTTCGTTATTCGTCATTGAACTTAAAAAGTAAAATTGTGTTTTTGATTTCCGCGCATTGTTTGAGAAAAGTACTATACAAGCCTTGGCCACAACTAAGCATTGATGGACTCACGTATGTGTGCCTCGGCTACACCTCGGCCCACATTTGCACGTTCGTCCATCAATGCCTCAGTTGCTGGCCGCTGCAGTAATGTACTAATAAGGTCAACCCACCCGATACATGCCGCACAACAACAAGACAGTAAAAGACATTTCCATAGAGTACGCTAAAATTGGTATTGGCTTGGATGCGTTATCTTCCAGTATTATCTCTTGAACTTTCATAATAGTGGGTGAAAAGGTTTCGTTCGCAGTACCCACCAAGGACACTATCTGAAATAAATAATGATAGAAGCAACAAAATATGCACAGGGAAGAAAATAAACGTGGTTTTTATGAAAATTTGATGTATTTTTTTAATGCTGTCTTGTGCGGGGTAGACAGAAAATAAAGTATTTTTTTTTGCTTTTTATATCTAATTTACAACACGCATATGCAGGGGTTAAGGGATTGTTAGTAATAGGGTAAAATAACCCCATTACTAGCAATATACCCCTCCACGTGGTTCCTCCTGGAAAACATCGTGGTTAATTCTAGTTGAAATCGTCAGGATAGGCTAACTGATCTGCTGGGGGGAAAGGGATTGTTAGTAATGGAGACTGAGAATCCCATTACTATTATCCAACCAGGTCGACCTCCTCGCGGTTCTCTCTGGAAACTATCATGATCATATCCAGATGAATTTATCATGATGGGCTAACTGGCCTGTTTTCATCCTCATCGATCATCCTTCACTGGTGCCCCGCTAGCGTATCCCGTTAGTGCAGGCGAGGTTACCATTCCATTTTCATCTAATAAAAAAAACTGACCTGTTTTCAATCTCATCTGTCATCTCTCACTGGTGCCCCGCCAGTATATACCGATAGCACAGGCGAGGTACCATATCTTTATTACATAAAAAAACACGCATATGCATACATAGATACAAAAATCTGTCAATATACGCATGAGATTTAATTACGGGAACTATAACATATTTTCTCGGATAAATTTGGCATTGTTCTTCTAAGCGCAGTAAATATTCCTTGTTGTTTTAGATAAAGGAAACCCCTAATTCGATTTTCAGTTCAGCTATTTTTTTTTAGAGTACGTGGTGAGAAACGTTCACACGTTTTTTTTATGCAACTAAGAATGGCAAACAAAATGACGGCCTTCCTGATGAAAATTGATAACCGTCGCCTATAGACACGGACAATGACTACATAACAGAATATACTGTGTCGCTCATGATACCTCCATGCGTTGCCATTCCTGAGTACTAAGGTCTTAAACCCCTGTACCCTGGGCTTTTTAAAGTAGGGCATTCCCCTCAATGGCCATACTCTCTGTCTACAATTTGCATTTAAATCTGAACTGCATTTCTAGCAGATGGTTTTAGATATTATGATTTTTATAAAAATATTTATTGATATAACGTGCGTGAATGCAGATGAAACGTAATTTTTTGCACAACTCACACTAGATTCACTGTATTCTTCTGTTTTCTTCTGTTATGTCCATGGTACTGCTCATGTCTATAGGCGACGGTTACTACTTTCCATCAGGTGGGCCGTCAGCTTGTTAGTCATTCTAAGTTGTATAAAAAAAAACAATTCTTCCGTTTCTCACATTCCATGTTTTTTACTTATTTTGATCTTCAACCAAAAACTTATAAAAATTTGTGGTTCTTTATGATTTAATTAATTTCGTCTTTCGTCTAATAAAATAATTTCAAAAAATATAAAAAGCGTACTTACAGCAGCAATTAAATTAAAATATCCAATTATTATTATACCTATCCTAACAGGCGCTATCCAGCAACAATAATTTAATTTAAAATTAACTACGGCCGATTCTACATAATGGTACAATTTGTCCATTTTGTCCACTGATTTTTGCACTAAGCACACTGTGTAAGATCCGTCTCGCTGTAGTAAAATGGTACCATATGATCATGGAAATTATTTTAATTAGGATGTTGTTTAATTGAAAGGTCGGATAAAAGTATTAGGCTCCAGTAATTCGCTAATTACACGTCGCTATGGCATGGCAAAAACTATTTTAGCACTATTGACACTAAGCGCGAACTGAAAACTGTACAAATGTTATACAAAAATCTTAACAATATAATAAAATTGTAATTAGACAATGTACTGTACATGGGAGATATTTAAGAAAGAAATTTATATGGAAGATCTTAATGAGACCAATAGATTCTAATATAACTTGGCTCTGAACAAGGCAAAGGAGTATTTCACTCCTCAGCATAGACTCCTACTTTACAAAGCCCCAATTCGTCCATATATGGAGTACTGCTTACATTTTTGGGCAGGAGCACCCCAATCTCGGCTCCTCCTACTTGACTTTATACAGTGTCAAGCGCTACGAGTTGTCGACGATCCCATGCTAACAGACGGTTTGGATTCCCTGAATTTGAAGCGGGATGTTGCCTCTTTATCAATTTTTTATCGGCTGTAAAATGGGAAATTTTACATTTATATAACCTGAATGCCATCGTCACCCTTTTACCATCGCACCTCTCACCATAGACGTGCAGTTCACCGTCATTTCTTGGGTGCGTGGCCGGGTACTGTCCGTGTATCCCGTTCATTTCTACCTCGTACAAACACATATAATAAATTTGAATAAAAAATAATAAATACTAAACATTATTATCATTTTATTTAAATTATTACATAGGTACTTCGTGCACGAAAATCGTGTGAGATTTACAATAATAAATGTAAGTACAGATAGGAATTGTAATAATTATTTGTTAGTGTAGATAACAAAAGAAACAAGTTTATGGATATTTATTTCTTTACTGATAGAGGTGTCAACATCAACATAAAAAAAATACAGTCATTCTAATAACTGAAGTTTTCTATGTAAAAACTATGTAAGGAATGAATAAAGATTTTGTATTTAGTAAAAACAAGGCAGCGATTTGACCGCAACTACGTTATTATATTTTGAATGTTGAAAAAGTAAATCCTGTCAATCATTTTGAACAGGAAAAGGCACGAATTGAGCATGTTAAAACCATAATTATATTTACTGTCTTCTTGTATAGCCAAATTATCTCACGATTCTGACGTTCAACTGCCAATCATAGACACTTATATATGTGTAAATAATACATAAAAGAAATATGAATTACAATCAAAATTGATTTTGTATGTAGATTACTGTATATTTTTATATATTGTGTATAGCAAATGGTTTCCATTACAACTAACATGCGGTTAAAACTATTAGGTACATTATTGTTATTTCAACTTTAAAAAATAATACGAAAATAAATGTAATTAAAATCCCTGTAACAGTAATACCCGAAAGAAAATAAAATGAGATTAAAATAAAAATTTATTTGAAATAATGCACATACTACAGTTATGGATCGCTGGAATGGAAATTTATCACATGAAGCAAAAAATATAGAGAATCCACAATGCCAGATTTTTTCAACCAAATATATTAAATAACCAATATATTCCAATTAATTACATAAAACTATGTGTAAAAGGAAGAGTATAACAAGGATCAAGCCTCTGTAATTCAAAGTGATACTCATTACTGCCTTGTCTATATTTAATAAATTGGAACCAGCACAGAGTAGTATATAAATAATGTATATTAATATTATAAAAAATGCTTCCCCGCTTATTATTTCAGCATTACAGAAATCGTAATTTTTTCAACAATCAATTTTCTGTCATCTTCTGTATTCCTGTATGTAAAAACTCCTTCTGTGTATTTTGTAAAAAATCTAAGACTTTTGTCACTTGGTATACACTTTCCATTACATTTCCTTCAATATATTTATCCATTTTTTTTAATTTCATGTGTTTACCACTGAAATACTATAAAAAAATACAACAAAAATCGTCCCTCTTATTAATTCCTTGAATCACATTTATTATATTGCATTATACCGTAACATGATCCCAAAACAAATATTTTAACTACATAATAATTCACTAACTTTGTTGGTAAAATATAAAAATATAAATAAATTTTATATAGGCATATATTTCTATTATCATATCACATAAGTTTGGAAAACAGAAGATAAAGACAGAAGTAACTTTTTTGAGTGAAATATTAAGAATTTAATTTAGAGAAAGGTCAAGGTAACCAATAAGGTCATTTACAATGACACATTTGAGACAATGTGATAAAGGAATCGATCACTTCATCAATGCATGTACGACAGCGTTAGCGTTAATCGCTTTTAGGTCGGTATACGTTTGACCAGTTCCAACAAAAACAATCGGTTGACCGGTTATGTAGGTCATAGATATGGCAGCGCCGACCTTATCGTCGATCGTGTCGAACTTAGTCAGAACGATTCCATCGATCACGTGTGGATTAACAGACGAGCTGTGGTCAGCCAAAGCCTGATTAAACTTGACAAGTTGATCGACAGCTTCATTGCCGACTAGAGCTTCGCCGACAAACAACACGAGATCGGGTTCGTTGACCTTGATCAGCTTGGCTAGAGCTCGCATGAGTGGCTCGTTGTCTTGCATTCTGCCCGCCGTGTCAATAAGTACTACGTCGATCTTGGTATCGGATGCGAAACGAATCGCTTCCATGGCTATACCTGCAGCGTCTTTGCCTGATAAAAAAAAATGATAATTATAAAAAAAAATCATATTTAACACTTTAATCCTTTGTACACTAATTAATTTTAAATTTTCGCATTGTTTTCGTCGTGTTAAGTCCCGATCCAATAAATTAAAATACTGGATAGATTGTCTGATCGTTTGACATTTCAAGTCATATAAAAAATTTCTTAGGTTATCCACTTTGTCATAAGCCATCTCATACATAGACACCAGCTCTGCAGACTATTCTTTTAAGTGAAATTTTATAATAATAACAATAAGTGTCAAATAATCAGACCTGCGCCCAAGCAAACATATAGATACTATGTTATGAGTTTCAAATCGATTATGAAAAAATTTTTATGGGACCGATATGAAAATATAGGATATATAAGAAAGAAATGGCCACATGTCCCGACATAGAATAGGACAACCCTTCCTTTCTTGTGGGTGTCGTATGAGGCGATTAAGGAAAGGCGGGGGAAGGCAACGCCATCCCTCTTAAAACATGTCTAAAGCCCAACTGCAGTTGTCAATCTGCCTGCCAAGCATGGCAACTATTCAATTTAATTCAATTAATTTATTTGTTTATCTGAACATGGGTACAAAATTATCTTAGATTATAAATAAATATCTCAATCATGTTCTGACAAAACCCCCTAAGGTGGAGGCTTATGTTCAACAGTGGACAGTTAAAGGATGAAATAATGATGATTTTTTAGTCGATTGAAAGAATATTAATCGTTAGAGTGGCGACGAGCGCCATCACGCTCGTGAAATCACTTGCTGTTTAGCTAGCTGTAGAAAAATTATTAAAATTGAATAATTTTTGGAGGAGATACAGTTTTTTTTAGAGACAAAGGTAAATGACATCGACACGAGAAATATTTTTTTAGCATTTTTAAGTAGATATGAGTAAAAATTAATGACATTAAAACAATTAAGTTACCATATCCTTTCTCGTACAAGTGCACCATCTTGCGGCCGCGGTGGCTGGTCTCGGGGTGCAGCGCGTTGAGGTGGCGTGCGTGCGTGCGCAGCTGTTCTACAGCGCCGGCGCGGAACGTGTCGCACGCCGCGATCAGCACCGACATCTCGTTCTCGATCAGCCAGAAGCAGATCTTGGCCAGGTTGGTCGACTTGCCCACGCCGTTCACCTGTCGTGGCAACCATTTTAGTCATATATAACACTATCACACCGGAATAACACCTGAGTCCTTAGGAATGGCAACGCATGGGGGGTATCATGGGCGAAACAGTATACTGTTATGTCCACGGTACTGCTCATGTCTATACCAACGGTTACCACTTTCCATTAGGTGAGCCGCAGGTGGTCAGCTTGTTTGCCATTCATGCCAAGTCGTATAAAAAAATACTATCAGATAAAAAGTTTAATAAAATTACAATTACAATTAAAACTAGCTACCAGCCCTGGCTTCGTCCTTTTTTTTCCTTCAGCTCTGATAATGTAACTCTCTATGGGTGAAAGAAAGTTCACCCATTAACTATATATCTATAAGTTTAGAGAACAATAACACAACATTTTCAAATGATTACAATAATATGATATTTAAAAACCTACTACATGTCCTGTCCAAATTCCATTTTTTTCATTGCATAAAATTCCTAACGAAAAATTTAACTAAATCAGTATAGCCATTTTATCAATGAACAATTTTTATATATATAAATATATAGTTCAGCTGTTAAACTTTGTTTTAATGTTTTTTTTTTTATTTTTTATACACAGGACTGATTTTGATTCATTGTGAAAACAATGGCAACCACACTAAGCAATAAAAAGTATGCACAATTTTAAAGTTTAAATTATTTACATAAGCCTAGTAGATTGTCGTAAAGCCAGTCTATATCTGATATCCCTATCAGAACAGAGATTTCATTCTGAAACAAATATATATGAAAAGCTCTCACCCCACAAAATGCCATGACATAGGGCCTGCCTTCCTGTTTAGCATGAATACAATCACGGAGTATGTCCACGCGACGCTTGGGGGATAGAATCTGCACCAATGACTCAGTTAGAGTGGTCTTCACTGTTTTTGCGACGCTGTCGAATGTTCCCAGTACCTGTTAACGATGTTTGTTTTTACTTTATTTTTAGACAATAAAAACATTTACATATCAAAAATAAAGGGATTAAATTAAAATTTAAAATAATCTTTCAGAAGTAAATTTTTAAGACTTATCCCTTTAACTGGGGCATAATAAGCATCTCGAACGAGACCCTCTCGCGCTTCAAATGTGCTCCGATTTGCACTATTCCGAGTACCTCTCGCCACTTATAAATATTATGTTTATATTTTTATCTGGAGCGATACCTTCTCGCCCGTTTGTATTTCAAAGAGCTTAGTGTATATTTATTGTATGCTCGTTCGAATTTAGTGCGTGCGCCAATGCGCCACTTGATCTCATTTCACAGAAAAACCCTCGCATTAAATGGTTAATCATAAAAACGTAAAATGTCTCATAAACGTTACTTTAGCTATTGAAAAGTTTTATCTTTACCTTTCGTGTTAAATCCCCGATTTGATAGAAAGTGACATAACACTCTAATAGGTAATAAAACAGATTTGTAGGATACTTTAGTTTTTATGAACAACAAGATTGTAACTTAATACTACGTGTCTTTATTTATTTACTCATTTTTTTTTTTTCTAGTCTGATAATTGGCAATCTGTTCCTTATAAAACAATAATCCAATCTACTGTTTGGATGTCACGTTTAAATTTTATTAATATATGATGAGGCCATTCCAAAATTTATTATTTTTTCAAACATTATTTATTAAACACAAAATAAAAAATCTACCTTTCCTTCCAACTTCATGGCGACAGAGTCACAGAGTTTGTTGGCGATATCCGCGGCGACATTCTTTGCTATCAGATGGTCCCGCATTTTATCCAGCACCGGTCGCATCGACTCCTCCGTCAGGGCTTTCGATCCCACCAGACCTGACAATAGATATTACAAAAATTATGTTGTTTTTAAATTTAACTTAAGTTTTTAAAATAGAAAACTAAATAACTGGATACTAGATGCAACATGAAGCCATAAAATATATTACCATCTTTAGCTAAATATTTAAAAGGAAACCAGTTACCTTTGAATATGCTGAACATGCCACCAGACTTCTTGGGGCTGGGTTGAGAGGTTTGCTCCTCATCTTCACTGCTACTCTCTTCAGATTCTACCTCTAGATCGCGGATAGCACCTGTCATTCGTCCCACGAGCTGCATAAAAATATTAATATAATTAAATAAATGTTTGTGAAAATATTATTATTTATGTTGGAATTTTAAAAACAAAAATATCGATAATATTCTATTATGAACATCCATTTAATTAAGTAACAATATTGAAATGTAATATTATTACTGGTTTTAGTTTCATAACTCACGTAGGTATTAGACAATAGCATCATACCTATTTGTGCTCTGAAACATCACCTCCTTATCATAAAAATATCAAACCTCTCATGAACCTATTTAGCTATTGAACTGTTTGTCTCTTTCTTTTACACTAAATTCTCAATTTGGAAAGAAAGTGATAAAACAGTAGTAGATTTGTATTACGTTATATTAGGCTGAAGGATAAACAGGTGTGGCCCTCTTAATCTTAAACATAAGAGACTCTGAAATAGTGTTTTTATAATAAACACTTAAGCTGTATTGCTTTTTAATACTTCAACAACAGACAAGAATCAACAGTATGATATATATAGTTAAAAATAATATAGATATCATTATTGGTACTAGTTTCTATTTACCATTTAAATTCTAATAAAATGAACCCTTATCTTGTTTGCCACTTCTGAAAGAAGAACAAGAAAACAGAACAAAAAGTTGGCAATAAAATTAAACTGACCTGTGTGTCAGGATTGATTGTATCATTGGCATCCTCAGGTTTATCAGTGCTGAAATCAAGTGAGGGCAGATCGCGCGAATCGCCGCCTAGCGCCCACACGCGTGGTTGCTTCACACGCTCCTCTGGTTTTGGACTTTTCGTTGTCTTAGGAGATTTTCTAAAAACAAAGTATAATGTGAAAGTAAAATATGAAAGAAATGGTACAATATGAAAGTAAAACATAAAAATCATATTCCAATATTATTGTGTAAATAAAAAATGTTCAAAGTAGGTGAAGTTGATTTTTATTTATAAAGTGCTCTCATAAGGAAGTAAAACATTATTATTATTATATTATTTTTTTGTTTTATTATTAAAATTTGGATTTTAATAGCAAAAGATATTTAAAAATTTCAAAGTTAAATAAGATACATGTGCAAAGTTTTTAGTGGATAAAGCTTTAGACATGAATATGTAACATATTGTATGACTAACATTTAATTCACTATTAGAACACTTTTTAAATAATCCAGAAATATTTAAAATCAGAATTGCTTTTTAATGTTTTTGATAATTGACAGATAGGATAATTGTAATATTGCCACACTTTATTTGATCTATAGATTATTTTATACCAAAATTAAAACAAAATAAGTATATTTTATATAAGAAGTGAACATACTTAACATCCTTTTTCCCTTTGGAGGCTAGTTTTTGAGCAAGCTTCGCTCTGTTTGCTGCTATCACATCATCATCTGTCTCAGGTGATTCTTCTATTTTCCCATTAGTTAGGCTCTTGGATTCTACAATTTTCACTATAATAAAAAGGAATAACAAATCAACAATAAATGTAAGAGCAGTGACAATGTAATAAATTGATATAATTTATTACAATATATAATTTCAATAATAGATTCATACATTGTATTGAAATTAAAAATCAAAGCATTCAATCATAGAACTTATTATTTGATTAAAATTATTTTGTTTAATTTACTTTTAGCATATATGCGATTGTCAACAGTAATGATAGCGGAATTAAATAATCATAATACATGACAACTATAATCAGTAATATGGAATTCTGCAAAATAACACCTAGTTTAGTAAAATATTTTTAATCACCAACTACCAACCAACTTATTAAATTCCAAATGAAAGTTTTGATATATACCTAAATATCTGATTATATGAGGTTTCAAAATTATAATATATATGTATACAAGATTCTTAGATGGTCAATGTGACTATTAGGTATACAAAGATATAAAAGATAAAAATTTATGACTTAAAAATACTTAAATTTCTAATATGAAATTCTAATGCTTGTACTGTGTGTACATATATTAAGACAAATCTCATAAATATTTACATAATATAACATATCGAAAAAGTAATAAATACCAAACCTGACACAGTTATAAGTTATATTTAATTTTAACTTAATTTAAATTAAAATATGTTTAATGCTTTGTTCTATACATAGATGACTGACATGTTGATATGAAACATAGTCTGTCATTGAAAAAGTAATTACCAAAAAAACATTGATGAATGCATTGTTTTAATGTTAATCAACAAACCAACTACAAAAAGAAGGAGGTTCTTAATTCAATTAATTTTTTTTTATGTTTATTATCTCATAACTCCATCAGTAGTAAACTGATTTTGAAAAATTCTTTCTTTTTTTATCTGAAAAGGTACACTTACAGATTAGTTCCAAAGAAATTTTGTCAAATCAGTACAGTAATCTAATTTTTAAATCAAATGAACTGAATTTGCCAGAATTGAAGTCTTTTTTGTGGAATAAAATTTAATTTGTAGTATTTTTTATTGTATTAATATCTTAAACTGTATTATTTTTAAATGTTTAATTTAGTTTTTTTCTTAACAATAAACTAATGATGATACATACAAGATTTACGACTGTAAATATAAAATAGCTAATATAGAATTAATGATAGCACAATAACCCACCTGATTTTTTACTCTTTTCTTCTCCCTTGCGTTCAATCATAGAAGCAACAGTTTTTTTAGATTTTTGAGAATCTTCAAAAGATCTCATTTGTTTTGGAATTTTAGCTTGTGACTTAGCTAAAAAGGTAATGGTAATTAGTAATAACTATTATTAACTTAAAAATAAAGTAATCATTTTACCAGAGGGAGACTTTGTACAAAAGTCGATTGCTTGGGTACCTCTGTCCCATTCGTGTTTCAACCGTGAAGCAGTTGTGTTTGCATGGCTGTGTTTCGGTTTGAAGAGTGGGATATTATTATTTACTGGGTACAGAGGAAAAACCTGAGTCCTCAGGAATGGCAGCATGGGGGTATCATCAAACAGTATATATGTCCATGGTATGTCTATCATTACCACTTTCCATCAGGTGGGCCGTCAGCTTGTTTGCCATTCTAAGTTGTATAAAAAAAAAAAAAAATATATGTTCATATATTCATTAATTTCCAAAACATTTTCTAAAGATGTCATTAAAAATACAATTTAATTAAATAAATTTAATTCCCACACTAAATTTAATTCACACTAATAAAACTCACCCCATAATTCACAGGATTTTAGCACAGAATCGAATGATGATTTGAAGTCAAAATCCATGATATGCCGTGATCCCTGCAGCTCATTTTTGTACTTATCTCTAAATTCCAGATGGACATCGTTTAGGAATTTATCCACGTAAGAAAGTTGAAGTATACGCTGATACGCGACCACAAAAACCAATTCAAACTCATTATCGAGTTTATATTGCAGCGTTAGAGCATTATGATTGAATGTGTTGTTACCTGAGCGCTCCTAAAAATACAAATAGTGCTTAGCTTCTATTTAGAATGTGATGTTATTATATTAATAACGATAATATGTTTTATAGGCGATTAAACACCCCTTAAAAATACTAATTACGTGCCAACAAAGCTAACAAGGACTTCAATTTATTGAACTTACTTGTAATATTACACTGCGTATTAACGCATTCACAGGCGGTGTAAAAATTTCACTAGTACTCTGAAAACACCATAGAACTATTCCTCCTTTACTAAAGATGCTAAACAGGTCTAACATTTTTTTATATTTAAACAATATTTAGTTTGGTAAGTGAATTATACACAGGTGTTACTTTTGTCTATCTACGTTGATTGAAATGTGTTTGACATAAAATTGACAACTCACAATATGCGAAGCAAATGTCTCGTTCGGTATTTTAAAAATCATCTATTTATTTACTTTCCATTTTTATACCCAATATAAAGTTTACAAAATATATATTTTACTTATTAGTAGTTCGATTCTTCGATTCTTTTTAAATTTTGTAGTACTAGTTACTAAAGTAAATAAGAAATAAGAAGTCAGGTAGTTCTTATAAGTTTAAATGCATTATTAAATTTTTGGACGCAGAATTATCAAGATGACAATCAGTTTTTTTTTTTTTTTTTTTTTTTTCTCTTTTTTTGTGGCGTTCACCCCGATATTAGGGTATTTTGCCAAGAACAAAACGGGGAAACGATAATAGTAATAAAAATACCTAACACAAACGAATTTAGAAAGGATAAGGATTAGGTCTAGGATATTTATAGGATATGAAGGATATACTTGTACATATGAGAATATACTTATAAATATATAGGAAAAGCAATTGATGCAACTATAAATGTATTCATGTAATATAACTAAATCTTAATATTGTTATCATATATATATGAAGATAGTATTTTATAGATAATAGGATCATTGGAAGAAAGTAGAGTAAGAATAGAAGTTGGGAATGGAACACGGATGGATCGGAGATGATTAAAAAGGGAGGTGTGGTCAAATTTAGAACATGAGAAGAATATATGATTCAAGTCCGCCACTTCAGCACCGCAATTACACGACGAACTTTGTACAATACCAAGCTTGTATAAATGAGAAGGTGTGCATACGTGACCTAGACGCATACGAGTTATAATAGTTGTTGCGGTCTTTCCAAGCTTTAATTTACAAAACCATGGTTTGAAAGGAATATCGGGTTGTATAAGGCGATAAAATCTTCCTTTTATTGTACTTGTTTTTTCCCAATATTCCTTCCAGGCATACCTTAAATATATTTTTGGGAGACAAGCTAGGTCACTACAGTAATTATGATACGGATACATATCACCACAAGTTACAGCCTCTCTTGCAATAAGGTCAGCTTTGTCATTGCCGCTAATACCACTGTGTCCTGGTAACCAGGCAAAAGAAACGGAATACCTTCTCAACATGCAAAGATAAAGACTTTGTCTTATGTCACAAATAATGGGATAAACTGGTTTTGATTTAAACGGATATTTGGCTAGAGCTTGCAAAGAGCTCATAGAGTCAGTGAAAACTATTGCCTTATGTAATTTCATTAAAAGTATATATTCTACAGCTTTTAAAATACCATAGCATTCCCCGGTAAAAACTGAAGATTCCGGTGGAAGTTTAATTTTTTGAACGATATTAAATTGTGAATGAAACACACCCACACCTACACAACCGCTATTGTCTGGTTTTGATGCATCAGTAAAGATGTAGTGCCATTCATTCCATTCAATGTCAGTTATAAACATAAATTTGGCATTCAATTCTGAATCATTTTTTGATAACCCAAAATCATATTTAATATTAGGAGATAAAACTAAAGATTGATATGAGCATTTATAAATGGGAAAACAGGACGATGTAAAAGTGGGAGATTCTATGGATTTATATTTTTCATAACTTTGTATTAAACATGGAGGTTTTTTATGTTTCCAATAAGATGAAGACGAAATAAAGATATATAGTTGAGATAACTTTTGAATAAGCGGATGATCAGATAATTGTAAACAACGAAAAAAGAAGCGATCAGATAAATATTGCCTTCTTAAAACCAAAGGTGGATCACCGACTTCGAGCTGTAAAGCATTGATTGGACTTGATTTCATTGCTCCAGAGATAATCCTCAAGGCCTTTGATTGAATTAAATCCAATTTCTTAAAAGCAAATGAACTTCCTGGAGCTAACAAAAAAGTTCCATAATCAATGACACTCCTTATAAGACCATTATAAGCAAGTTTTAGTGAAACGGGATGTGCTCCCCACCAAACTCCAGCAAGGCACCTAAGAATGTTGAGGTTACGCTCACATTTCGTGGAAATATAATTACAGTGGGACAGACCTGTTAATTTATTATCTAGCACGATACCTAAAAATTTAATTTCAGTCTTTATAGGAATGTATGAGTTATCATAAAGCACCTTAATTTGTTGCGGTGATCTCATTCTTGAAAACAAAACTACACTACTCTTGGTTACAGAAAGATTAAGACCATTTGCATCTAACCACGTTTTTAACATATCTAATGAATCAGATAATTTGGCAGAAGCAGATTCTATGGACTTCGCAATAAAATATAATAAGAGATCATCAGCATATTGTAAAATTTTTACGGATTTATCAAGGAATGATTCTAGATCGTATGTGTATATGTTGAATAAAATTGGACTGAGAACAGATCCTTGTGGAAGGCCTTTCCATACTGTTCTAGATAATTTGGTATCTTCATCTAGATCCATATGTATTGTTCTTTCTGATAAAATATTAATAATGAAATTAGAAAGCATTACCGGTACATTTAAAGCTTGTAATTTAGTTTTTAAAATAGAAATTATTACATTATCATAGGCAGAATTTATATCTAAAAAGGCTGAGAGGATTGACAAATTTTGTGAGAAAGCTATATGAATATCTGAAATAAGAACGCTCACATTATCTAAGGTGCTCTTACCTTTCCTAAAACCAAACTGGTTCGGGGATAGTAAGTTATTACTTTCTAAAAACCATTCTAGACGGTTCTTCACTAAATGTTCAGCTAGCTTTAGTAAGACAGAGGAAAGTGCAACAGGACGGTATGAAGATGGTTCAGAAGGTGGTTTATGAGGCTTTAGAAATGGTATAATAATCTGAGACTTCCATGAAGTAGGTATATTTCCCGAAATAATTATGGAATTAATTATATTTAAAAAGTAAATTAATGTCGCATCGCTAGCATTTTTAAAAAAGGAATACGGTATACCGTCTTCTCCCGGTGCAGAGTCTTTAATACAAGCTAGAACACCTTTAAGTTCTACAAGAGTAAAAGGAGACTCAAGTTCGGATAATTCGTCAGAGACGGATAGAGAAATATTGTAAAGGCATTCCGGCACATAACTAGGAGCAAGGCGATCTAAAAATTTATTCGCTAAAGTTAAATCGAGTGCAGAACGTGATGTATGATCACTGAAGGCAGATCTGAATCTTTTAATATTATTCCAAACGACTGATGAATTAACTTCTGGACAGATAGAAGAACAAAATCTTCTCCAACCTTCCAATTTCTTTATTTTCAGTAGTTTTCGAGTAGAACGTGAAACTGCGGTGTAAATTTCAAAATTTTCTGATGTCATGTAATTATTATAATTTTTTTCAGCCTCTTTACGATTTTTAATTGCTTCCGTACAATCTTTGTCCCACCAAGGTGGGGAGGGAATTTTCCCTGAAGCACTATTTTTAACAGGAAATAATAAATCAGCAACCTCCTTCATATTAATTATCAAGTCATTACAACATTGATGTTCATTTCCATGATAAACAATAGGTAACTCCGATATTTTATTATCTAAATATTGTTTGTAAATATTCCAGTCTACATTTGATAAATTATATTTAAGTCGAGGACCACTCTTTCGACTTGAGGGAATGGAAATTGGAAAAGAAAGAATGAGGGGAAAGTGATCGCTTCCGAAGGTAGAGGAATGAGGATACCACGACAGTGAAGAAGCTAAATCAGAAGAACATATTGAAATATCAGGAGCACTAAACCCTTCATTCGGTGCAGTTCTACGTGTCGGTACATCTGAGTTAATAATACATAAGTTGTAAGTGTCAATTATCGTCAGGAGTTTTCCACCATAAAAATTAGAAGTAGAACTGCCCCACGATTGGTGCTGAGCATTAAAATCGCCCATTACGAGAAAAGGTTTAGGTAAAATTGAAAATAATTGTTCTAGTTGTGAATATATTTGGCATGTAGGATCAGGAATATATAAAGTAACAAAACAGATACCATTTATAATTATAGCAGCTGCATTAATGCCGCTATATACAGGAAGCGAAAAAGAAGAAAAAAGAAGGGAGTTTTTGACCAATATGGCAACACCGCCATATCCGTCAGCTCTATCATCACGGAGACTTGTAAAGCCTTTTTTTTTTTTTTTTTTTTTTTAACGTCTGGAAAATGCTTTATGCAGACCCATACACCTTGTGGGAGGTGTATGGGTACTGTGGGAGTCCCCCCGTAAGGTGGGGGTGTACCCACCAAAAACCAGACGATATACCCTCGAGGTGCCATATGTCGGAGACATGGGTTCGCTTTCGCACTCACCACATCTCCGACGGCGAGACTTGTAAAGCCTGAAATCCTAAAAGGATATCCTGGCTTTAACCAAGTCTCTTGTAGAGCTATTATAAAAGGATTATATTTATTAATCAAATAAAATAAGTCTGATTTCTTATTTGTTATGCTACGACAGTTCCACTGAATTATTTGGACTTTGTAATCCATTGTGAGAAGTTAATAATTGAGAAAATACATTGTACATGGCATCGTTGGACGGTGGTAAAGTTGTTTGTATCATTTTTGATTGCGATAACACTTTAATAAGCATGAGAATAATATCAATGATGGATTGATTATTGTCAATATTATTTGATGATAATGCACAACCATTAGAGGGAGCAGGAATATTATATTCCTTAACTATGGCTTCATGGGCAGAACGATCATATCCTTGTTGTATTTTTTGAGGAGAGCGTGGTTTAAGTGTAACTGTTTTTTTATATGATGATTGTATATGTGGTAATGATGATTTCTCTTTAAGGAAAGAAGATTGAAAATGAGATTTATTGGAAGGAGATGATGATGTTAATACATCTGAATATAGTTTAGAAGTTGGAGGATGAAATTTTGATGCTTCAGCATAAGAAACACAACTATGGGCCATTGTTTCTTTAATGGCTTTCTGACGTGCATATTCAGGACATTTTTTACTAATTGCTGAATGAGAACCATTACACAAGATACAAGAAACATTTTCCTCATCTACTTCACATTTATCACCTGTATGATTTTGCCTGCATTTATAACACCGAGGATTTGAACGACACTGCATCTTGACATGTCCGAACCTACAGCAGTTATAGCATTGGATAGTAGGGTAAATGTACAAATCTACAGTTAATGATGTGTAAAACATAAATACTCTTTTTGGCAATATTTGTCCATCAAAAGTGATAACAATGGTTTCAGTATTAATAAAACTTGGTTGTCCTTCATTAATTGTCTTTTTCTTTATTCTTCTGGTTTTTAGAATTTTCCCACAACCTATCGGTACTGATATATTTTGGATTACTTCCTCTTCTGTCCAATCTTTAGGAATACCCCTCACAATTCCCATACGGGTTACATGGAAAGAAGGTATAAATGCCTTAAAATTATGTGTCTCTAAGTTACTATTATTTAAAAATGCATTTGCATTTTCAAAATTTGAGAAAGAAAGCGATAAACGGTTTCTTCCTATTCTTTTGAGGCTACCATTCACTATATTATTTATCTTATTAGTGTGTAAAAAGCGACCAAATGCAATAGGATGTAATGTAGTGTTATCATTAGGATGTGTTTCATTTTTTTGTACATGAACGACATAAGGTGCTATATCCTCGGCATTGTACAAAGTTCTGCTTAAAGTACTGGGTGGAGAAGCAGGTTTAACAGACTCGGTATTGTTTACAACTGGTATTGATACTTGAGTTTGATTCTCATCTTCAATACATTGACAATCACTATCTTTAATTTTAGATTCAAGGCCCTTGGTGTGCCTCCTTCGTTTTTTATTGCAATGTTTGCAAATGCGACGTTCACCACGTACTCGCTTACGTTTAGAACTTGCAACGCTAGAACCATCTGTGTCCATACTAGATTCACCCAATATATCAAAACTATTATTGAATGGAATAGTTATATTTGCAGACACCTGGGGGGTTGTCCCCCCAGGGTCTATAGGTGGATCCATAATGTCTAATTAATATAGGTAATTTACTTACCAATATTTACAGCAACAAACACTATTACTACAAAATATACAATTAAATATACAATCTAATACACAATATATAAAAAAGACTAATCCTTATATAAATAAAAATAAAATTAATTTAAAGAAGATCAAAAAACACTCCCGCTTTTTTAAACGTTTCCCGCGCTTTTTTCAAAAATCAGTTTGTCTATGTTTTCCTAATGAAATTCCTAATGTTACCGTATAACAATAACTTTAACATTCACATTTCGTTCTCCAAATTTATTATGCTTATTTTTTTTTTCACATAAACGATATAAAATTTTGTATGAATTATATTTTGTTTATATAAAATAATTTTCTGCACATAAATTTTTACTTATCAAAATTTATTAATTTTTGTTTTGTGAAATCACTAAAAGTATTTTATCTATAGTCATTAATCAAAGAAAATTGTAGATATTGAAGACTAGGCAGTATGGTCTCCGACCTTAGCCTGTTCCACAACGGAACAAACGTACTAAAAAAAAAAAAGAAAATTGTATTTTGTCTAATCATTGCATTATTGTGCCAGTTTCATTTATGAGTATCTTTTAATATAATTTCCTATCTTTATTATATTGCAAGAATTATAAAACAATAATGAATATTACATCTGCTGCAGGGATAATATCCCTGCTCGACGAACCTATGTCGGAAGTGAAAGAGTTCGCCCTGAAAAGGTTGGATAATATCGTCGACGAATTTTGGCCCGAAATTTCCGAATCGATCGAGAAGATAGAGATCTTGCACGAGGACAAAGTGTTTTCACAGCATCAACTAGCAGCTTTGGTAGCTAGTAAGGTTTACTATCACCTAGGTGCATTTGAAGATTCATTGACGTACGCGTTAGGCGCAGGTGATTTATTTGATGTGAATGCCCGTAATGAATATGTTGATACGACTATCGCAAAAGCTATTGACTTCTATACTCAAAAAAGAAAAGCCCTGTTTGTGGACAATACTGGGGAAGCAATTGATCCTCGATTGGAAGCCATCGTGAATCGTATGTTCCAACGGTGTCTGGATGATGGTCAGTATAGGCAAGCTCTTGGATTGGCACTAGAGACGCGCCGCATGGACATCTTTGAGGAGTCCATTATGAAATCTGATGATATTGCAGGTAATATTTTATTTTTTGTTAGAAGACTGGAAAATTATTTAATTACAGTGTTATTTTTCAAATTACATTAGTTTTATCTGATTTTGTATTATGAACTATATCATTTATTTATTTATTTATTTATTTATTTATTATAAGTTACAATAACAGTTTGCAAACAGAAATGAACCATTAAAAAAAACAAAACAATACAAAAATTTATCAATATGCAGTTTGCCAACCTTACATTGTAAACATCATTTAACACTAAGTTATAAGTAAACGTTATACATTTTTATAGATATACATTATATTACTGATTACAATTATGAACTTATTCTATCCAAAAAAAAAAAAAAAATCTAAACTTATTATATATAAACCTCTTAAACCCAATAGTACTCTGATGAAAGATATCGATTTTTTCGCTAATTTTGTTATACAATTGACACATTCGATGAATGGGATTATTATGTGAGACATTATTATTGGTGGACGGAATACCGAATAGCCGAGGATGTCTGAAAGAATGCTTACACGCAATCAAGTTCAGAGAAGCTGTTAATGATTCATTCAACAATCCATTTGCAATCCTAGAAAGCAAGCACAGATCACCAATTCTACGCCTCGTTTCCAAAGTTAAGAATCCAAAATACTTCATATGTTCCTCATAATCACATAAATTTTGTTTTAAATGAAATTTCCTTGTAATGTAACGAAGGAAACCAGCTTGTACTGATTCGATTCTATTTATATCTACTTTATATATAGGAGACCAAACTGATGCACAATATTCTAAATTACTCTGAATGAGAGTTTTATACAATATAATAAAAGTGTTAGGCTTTTTAAATGGTTTAGTTGTACATATTATGCATGTCTATAAATAATGGTTTCCAATTTTTAATATATATCCTTTTTCATTGTGTTTGCTATTTACATTATATATAAAAAATAATGACAACTCATTAGCATTGTAGTATAGGTTAGGGGTGGCCAACCAGTTGATCGCAACTGTTAGTCCAGTCAATTGTGACATAACAAAAAATATAATATTTTGCTAATCTAGTTGAAGATGCTCAGATGCATTGCTGACACTAATTTAAATAAGTAGTTACTAAGAATAAATTCCAGTTTTATGGCTTCTCTTTTAATATAATAAAAAGTACTACAATACTACATAATAGATAGATAGATACTTATTATTGTTTTCTCCAAAAGATTATAAACTTATTATAAATATAAACAATTACAAGAAATAATCACAATAATAACAATGGGCGACCTTATCGCTAAAAACAATCTCTTCTAGGCAACCTTTGGATGGAGAGGAGTAATTATAAACAAAACAATAATAATGTATTGAACTATGTTCTTTCATTTGAGATTCTAAGAAGTATGTTATTGGTAGATCGTACAGGCTTTTCTCAATAAACAGTAGATTTTGGGTCTAGTCAAGTCTGCCACCCCTGGTATAGGTCATATCATAACTGGATATCCATAATATTGTTATCTTTAACTTTATTAACAACAATAGTACATATTTCTTAAAATTTATAGATAGTGTGGTATAGTATTTTCTGTAATGTTTATAGTTTACTTATAGAGTGAACTACTATAGTGGCACTATCACTAGTGCCACATTCTATTTACTTAGCTAGATGTGGCTTCCCATTCCAATTAATAAAAATATTACTATTTTTAGATATTAACATTGTAAAAACTTTATTATTTTTTAATTTTAACAATAAAATGAAGTAATAAAGAAGTCAAATGTAATTAATTCTCTTAGAATTTTTCTTTCTTTTATCATGATAGTTTTGTTATCATTATTGTTACTTAATTGTTACAATGTTGTTTTACAATTATTACAATTTTTCTTTTCAGGTATGCTTCAATATGCGTTTACAGTAGCTATGAGCCTGCTTCAAAACAGAGGTTTCCGTAGCACAGTTCTTCGCTCCCTGGTTGGTCTCTATAGAGGACTTAATATCCCTGACTATGTAAATATGTGTCAATGTCTCATTTTCCTTGAAGATCCCTTATCTGTAGCTGAAATACTTGACAAGCTTACTCATGGCCCTCAGGAATCAGTACTAATGGCATATCAAATTGCATTTGATTTATATGATTCTGCAACACAACAATTCCTGGGTAGAGTTTTACAAGCCTTAAGGAGCACAGCTCCTATTCCAAGTGCATTAGGTGGGAAGCCACAACCTCAAGGAGGACCTTTTCCTGAATCCTCTATGGAAGTGGAACAGACTCCTGCTGAAGAGTCCAAAAAACCAGAAAGAGATATTGAAAATCTAAATGATGAAGAGAAGGAACATCAGAGAAGAGTTGAAAAATTAATTTCTATTCTGGGAGGAGATGTATCAATAGGCCTACAACTGCAGTTCTTAATTAGGTCTAATCATGCAGATATGCTTATATTGAAAAACACTAAAGATGCTATCAGAGTATCAATATGCCACACAGCTACAGTTATAGCAAATGCATTTATGCATGCCGGTACTACAAGTGACCAATTTTTAAGAGATAATCTTGAATGGTTAGCTAGGGCAACAAACTGGGCTAAATTAACAGTTACAGCATCCCTTGGTGTCATACATAGAGGTCATGAAAATGAATCCTTAGCTCTCATGCAATCTTATTTACCTAAAGAAGCAGGACCATCATCAGGATACTCTGAGGGTGGTGGCTTATATGCACTTGGCTTAATTCATGCTAATCATGGTGCGAACATTATTGACTATCTCTTAACGCAATTAAAAGATGCACAGAATGAAATGGTACGTCATGGAGGTTGCCTTGGTCTTGGCTTGGCTGCCATGGGTACTCATAGACAGGATGTCTACGAGCAGCTCAAGTTTAATCTCTACCAAGATGATGCTGTCACTGGTGAGGCTGCTGGTATTGCTATGGGTATGGTCATGTTAGGTTCAAGACATGCAGCAGCTATTGAAGATATGGTTGCATATGCTCAAGAAACTCAACATGAAAAAATTTTACGCGGTTTAGCAGTTGGCATTGCCTTCACAATGTATGGTCGACTTGAAGAAGCTGATGCCCTTGTTCAGCAGTTATTGAGAGATAAGGATCCATTATTGCGACGTGCTGGATGCTATACTATTGCTACTGCATACTGTGGCACAGGAAACAATGACTCCATACGTACATTGTTGCATGTTGCTGTATCTGATGTCAATGATGATGTACGTCGTGCTGCAGTAACAGCACTTGGATTTTTACTATTTAGGACACCAGAACAGTGTCCTTCAGTTGTATCCCTGCTAGCTGAATCCTACAATCCACATGTCCGTTATGGTGCGGCTATGGCTTTAGGGATTGCCTGTGCTGGTACAGGAAATCGTGAAGCCATTGGACTTTTGGAACCAATGGTAAAATTTGATCCTGTTAACTTTGTAAGACAGGGAGCATTGATAGCCTCTGCTATGATTTTGATTCAACAAACAGAAACTCTATGCCCTAAAGTAACTTACTTCCGACAGTTATATGCACAAGTAATTTCAAATAAGCATGAGGATGTAATGGCAAAATTTGGTGCAATCTTGGCTCAGGGTATTATTGATGCTGGTGGCCGAAATGTCACTGTTTCCCTTCAAAACAGAACAGGACATATGAATATGCTTGCTGTAGTAGGCATGTTGGTATTTACTCAATATTGGTACTGGTTTCCTCTAGCTCACTGTTTGTCACTGGCCTTTACACCTACGTGTTTGATTGCTCTTAATTCAGATTTAAAAATGCCTCAGATGGACATCAAATCAAATTCAAAACCATCCTTGTATGCATACCCTGCTCCACTTGAAGAAAAGAAACGTGAGGAAAGGGAAAGAGTCACTACTGCTGTACTGAGTATTGCTGCAGCTAGAGCCCGTAGACGGGCACATGGTACTGAAGGCTCAGCTAGCAGTGTCACTTCATCATCAACATCTAAAATGGATGTAGATGAAGAAGAAAAAAAACCAACAAAGTCTCCTAATCCTAACATAACAGTTCATGGTAAAACTGACAAGGAAGCTGGATCATCAAAAGATAACAAGAAAGAAGAAAAAGATGGAGACGAAAAAGAAGTAAAAGAAAAGAAGGAACCAGAACCTACTTTTGAGATTTTAAGTAATCCAGCTAGGGTAATGCGACAACAGTTAAAGGGTATTTCTATCGTTGAGGGCTCAGGTTTCGTGCCATTAAAAGACGTAACTATTGGAGGTATTGTAATGCTAAACCATTCTGGAGATGTGGAGCAAGTGCTTGTAGAGCCCGTTGCCGCTTTCGGGCCAAAGACAGAAGAAGAAAAGGAACCTGAACCCCCGGAACCCTTTGAATATTTAGATGATTGATAAGTTTAACCTCTTCGACAAATATATATATTATTAAAATTAATATGAGTAGAATTATAACAGGAAATGTATTGAACAATTTAACTAAATATTGATGTAAGCACATATATATGATACTAACTAAAAATTTATTGTGTTTCTTTCTCAATTAAATGATTGTCGAATTAATTTACAAGTGTTCTTATTTAAGTAGCTTCCTACAATTCAATCTAATTCCATAGATAATGTGAATAAGTAGAACCTCTATTTATTTTTATTTACAACATGTATCATATTAATTATTTATAATTATCCTTCATACTTGTTTGATCATTTTAAAACTAGATAGCTAGATATTCGTAGAGATGTAGGATGGACAGATTATACATAAAAACAAGTTTCCTTGGAGTTTAGTTCTTGATGGTTGCAGGTTTAATTCCCACTTAATATCGTCATTTGACTACTGACTGATAGGTAGGTATAATTTACAAGTTCAATTAAATCTTACACTTTGAAGGCGAGTCAGTATGTATTACCCATAATAACTCATAAAACCGAAAGTACTTAATAAAATTCTAAACTAACAATATTTATATATATAAAAGCTAGTTTCGCAGCTAGTTATGGTAACCTTAGATATGTAGTATGTAGCTCAATTAACTGACAACCGATAAACCCTGACAATTTTTTAGTACTTATTCATAACTAGCGACCGGCCCCGGCTTCGCACGGGTGCAATGCTGATACTAAATATAACTATCTACTACAGAATGTCCTTATAAACATCATTTACAGCTTGTCATTAGACTATACAAATATGATAAAGTGCTATAGGGCGAAGCGCGGCCTTCGACGCACTATTATATAGGCACGCGGAGCTGGAGTCTTTTCCTTAGACCTTAATATAAACATGCACATACCGCTTGGCGACCACAGCTCAATATTCCAATGCGAATGTGTTGCAATAACCGAGGCTGCTGCAGTTGTACATAAGCTAGGAATAAATGGTTATAGCATTAGATTCTTATCCGACAGCGCAGCAGTACTAAAAACATTACGAAACAACAAGACAAACAACAAACTAATAATTGAATGCCACCATTCACTGGATAGGATATCTTCCAATAACCGAGTTATCCTCCAATGGATAAAAGGGCACAGTGGATCTTATGGTAACGATGCCGCAGACGAACTAGCTAGAAAAGGCTCAGGAACGAGGGTGGTAGGCCCGTATCCACTCCTTCCTCTTCCATTCTCACAACTTCGAATGTGGATTCGTCAAAGATCCTCTGACATACAAAACCAAAGATGGATATAGGCTACTGATTGCAGACAATCAAAATTGGCCGTACCTATGTTGAATCAACGACTATCAAAACGTTTATTACATCTAGACAGAAAAAACCTCAAAACAATGATAGGGACAATAACGGGACATTGTCCATTAAACAAACATATACACAATAGGAGCCACAGACAGCCCTCTATGTCGAGGCTGTTTCGACGCCGAAGGAACGGCTGCTCACGTAATCCTGGAATGTGAGGCTGTGGCCCATCAACGTTTAGAAATCCTCGGACCGGTGAGGTCGCTCCGTGAGGCCTGTGAAGAACCCAGGAAGCTTCTGCGCTTCTGGACGGAGCTAGGTTGGCTGCACTAGCCACGACTCATACGCACAATGGCCCAAATGAGAGGCTAAGCGCGGAAAATGGAGTCCTTTTCACATTCACATTATATAGGCACGCACCGCCGGCGGCCGCGCCGGTATTGTCGCACTGCTATGTCCCTGCATTTTAAATCTGTAATATCTTCTGAAATATTCATTTAAATTACATGCTGTAAAAAGCCATATTGATCTATATTGAATGGACAATGTATTTAAGGTACTTAATTAGATAAAAATTAATGCTGTATTGCTTAAAATTACTTCGTAAATAAGCCATTTTTTCCCGTAAAATGTAAAGGATATAAAAAGGTTATTATGAGTTAATAAATAGAGACATAGAGAATAGACATATACCATCGCGGACTTTTTGGTGGACCTTTTTAAGACATTATTATTTTAATTTATCTCGTGGGGTTCAGGCAGCGTTTGCAATGTAAGCGCAAAAAAATTAGTTTATTTACGACATCACATTAGAGACCTCTAAATTTATCAATGTTTCTCTATAATATTATGCATGTATTATACATAATAAACCTTTCTCTTGAATCACTCTATTTATTAAAAAAAAAAAAAATCGCTTCAAAACCGTACCGTTGCGTAGTTTTAAAAATTTAAGCATACATAGGAAATATGGCTGTATGATCCTACCAAATTCAGATACAAGCTGCTTGTATACTTTCTACATAAACTATGTCGAATATATAATCTAGTAATGTAAAATTTGTCATTGACAAATAATTGACATATCAAACATTTTCTATAACTAACCTGCTATGAAATGAGAAAAATAGCGTCTAATGGTGTACCTTTCCTCGTTTTTACTAATTATATTTGCGTAAGAAGAAAGGACCCAAACATATGATTTTCAATTTTTATTTTGTCATTTCTTCTATGTAATTCTTTGTTCTTAGTATTACACAATAATAGTTGATATAAGGTTTATGTCAACGTCGACTGTTTATTTGCTCTGTGGTTTTGCCAGACTGACTATTTGACGGACGTCATCTCGTGTGGTAGGTCTTTATTGTTTCTAGTCATTTTTGACTTGAATTTTAATTAAAAATAAATAGGTGCATGCTTTCATATTCCTTTTGTTTTCGTGTTGTTATCTGTCATTTTATACCTATCTATAATATAAATATTCAAGAATTATAATACTTATTTAATATCTTCTGATATACTCTTTCTTCCACAGCTGTTAGTGAAAAATAATTCTAGTCGCTCTTAAACAAGGATTATTCAAGATGAATTGGAATCTCAATTACGGCGAATTAGCAGAGAATGTAGATTTTGTTAATAAATGTGAGAATCTGAAGGAAAATTTGAAGGACATACAAACAGTTCTAGACAAGTTGCTTCCATTAAAGCAACAGTACGATAAAATGTCTCTTCCCGCTCAAATTGAGCTAGATTTATTCTTAGCCTTCACATTGAATTCATTACATTGGATCAATTTACGAATACAAGGCGAAGATCCAACAAAACATCCTATAAAAGATGAACTTCAAAGAATAAAAACAGTCATGTTAAAATGGAAAGAAGTGAAAGATCGCGACAAACGGCCTACCGTGGACATTGAGGCGGCGAAACGATTCGTGAGAAGTGGTCTATATGATCCCTACCGAGCTACTGCTTTACCTCCAAACAAAAAAATGAAATTTAATGATGATGAAAATTAATAATTAATGTTTATATCACATGTAAGACTGAGCATACTAATTTAAATTTTAGTATTGTAATATCACATTATGTCTTACTATATAAACTCTCACCTTATTCTTATTTTTTAATTTAAATTTGAGGTATTTGCACATTTAGGAATTTTTAAGGGTCATTTTGTATACACAAAAATAAACATATGTTCTGTATTATAAGTTTGCATGTATTAAAACAATAAATTGTCTAAATATTTTTTATTTCAACATTACACAAAATTTAAATTAGGAATGTAAAGAAATTTAATAAATTAGCCTCATTAAAGATTCATAAAATTAGGATTTTTGTTTAAAATATAAGCCATAGGAACATACAGGCATTGTCACTAAGATTATAAATGAATATGATAGTCCATAATATTAGCACTACCCCAACATGGCAACAGTCAACAGAAATTGATGATCATCATTGCCTTCTATCTTTTTTTACAATAACAGACATATCAAGATCTATTTTTCCTATAATCTGTTGTACATATTAACCCTCAATTCCATTTCCCATATTGTTCATATGATTTAGAATTCAATATTTTTTTATACTTGACATTATTATTTATTTTTAGAATTATTTAATAAACCATATCTTTTTATTGAAATAAGTGTCAATAAAAACTTTTCAGTTGCTTAATGTTGCCTAATATTATTTATTTCCGTTACTTTTAATTTAGCAATTTCTAAAAAAGACATGCTAAGAGTAAATAAGCAGGTTTTCCAAAATAAAAAAAAAAATACAATTTTGTTCTGTTATGGCACATTACTGAGGGAACATGATATTAAATATTATTTGTAGCACATAAAATACATTTTCTATATAAAAGGAAATTGATTATATTTTTAATTACAAAAACAATTATTTTTCAACTTGTAATACTAGTCCTGCTGCAGAAATATTATCTCCTGCACCTGCAGTCAATTGTGCTTCTGTGCATATAAGAACTGGTGCAACACATATATCTACATTCTCATTACTTATCATTTCATCCCAACAAGCCACAGGCTTAGTGGGCTCAAAAAAGACCCTACTGTTATTATTGTTATCTGTAGTTGTAGAGAAACTATCATCAAGTAATAGTTTTGTCTTTTCTAGTGCTATAGTAAGATTATTACACACATATCTATGGGCAGTTAATGATGCTTTTGCAACAGCGGCTTCAGTACGCTTCCATGCTGAGTTTTTCACTGTTAATATTGCTTGATATGCTAATGTGTGTACATGAATACGAGTCAACTTTCTCTTGCTATCATACTGAACATTCTTTTGCCTTACAATCTTAAAAATTTTACGCATTTGATCTAAAGCTGTAGCAACACGTGGATTGGAATCTGCTACTACACTGACCCTACCTAATTCTAAGACACTGCATAAATTATCAAGTTCCTGTTCATTCATACCAACAGAATCAACAAAAGGTAAAACTTTGTTGGTAAGGTGCAAAAGAAGATCCAAGTCTACATAGCTAGCCATCTCAAAATGAGCAAGTGTTTTAAGAGGCTGTGATAATATTTGTTTCTTAACTAATTCAAGTCTTTCGGTTCTCAAATCTGTAACAAATCAGTAAAAATTGAATTTTATAAATATAATAATAAATATCATTTTCTTTTTTCTTTACAATTTCAGATGAATAATTTTTTTTATTATGTATTTGTAAGTATAGACACTGGTCAACAAAATTTTGTAACAAGAAAGGTAGTATATACTATTTATTTAATTATTTACCTTCCCTCATTATATTTAGTTTGATTATGTCTAGTTTGTATATAGATCTGGTTACACTTACTAGCCTTTTAACTGAATATTTATTAATTTCAGTATATTAAGAAAAATTTATATTAGGAGGTCTTAATAAGGCCAATAGTTGCGACATTATGCAAAAACTACTGCACCAAGATGGATGCGGTTTTCACAGTTGTATTCCTGAAGGTCTAATTTAAAATCTTGTACTTAATAAACATGGTTGCAATTTTTGTTTCCTGAGATAAATGATCCTGACAAGTTTTATGTTTATGATGAAATTATTTTGAAATCCAATAAAGAAATTTGACACAATTAATAACTAAGTTCTGTATTATTCTTTTAGTTTTGTAGTGTATAATTAGACAAAGTATTGATTTTTACATCTGTTGTGTTATATATGTTACAAGAAAAAAGATCTTGAATTATGTCTTTTGGAATTCCTATAAATTTAGAAACCATTCTCAGGGCAAGTTAAAAAAGAGAATCTCTTTATCACAAAAACACTAAAAGCTTCATTAACATAGTCAATATTATACCTGATCAATTATTTACCTTTGCATATAATGATAAAAAGCAATGACTAGGATGGCTTTTTAAATTTGAAAGAAAACCTTCTAAATTGGGTGATTCAAAAATTAAAGAGGCTATATTTGTAAAATGAAAGTCCTAAAAATTTGGATAATTTCAAAGATGACACTAAAAGAATCTACCATGATTAGAGAGAAACCATGTCAACTCAAATAAACTTCAAGTATATCAGTGGATTAATGTGAGAAACTACAATAAAGCATCCTTGAAACAAAATATAGAGAGAAAAATAACATATGGTAACATTACTATAATATATCACAATAATTTCATTTTGTTTATAAAAACTGAATTTTTCATAAATATTAAAAATATATTCCATAATAGTATTTGTATCTGAAATATCTAATATCATTTTTATCCTCAATTTTGTTTAATTTACTTAAACATAATTAGTTAAAAATTTTCATAATGTATACAAAACATGTTTCTTTTGTTGACCAGTGTTCTGAAAAGTTAATATTAACAGAATAATAATATTTATGCACAGATGTTTACCAATTCTCTGGTTCTATTTATTTCATGATAAAAATGTGTTACTATTATTAATAAATTTATAGCATTATTCATTGGATGTACTACAATTAACATACCTCTCACATCATTTTTTTTAAATGGATAGTTGTCCATCATCTGTAGTCCACTAATGACTAGTAAATTTGGGTTGAAACTGGGCAAGTGTTCACCAAATTTCTCCAAGGAACTTAAAAGAGGATTATTTTCATCATTGTGAAGTATATACCTATTTGCTCTTGGGGTTTTATAAATACCAAAAGTTTCATCTGCTTTATATTCCAGAATCATATGGACATCATCCTTAATATCTTCTTCATCCGCATTACCAACTATTTGGATACCACTTGGAATGTATGACTTAAGGGTTCCACTCATTTTTGCTGCTAAAAGTACCTTCCATCCTTCTAAAAAGAATCTTTTAGCCATGAGAGGAGCATTGCCTCCTATGGACCATCTAGAATCTGGTATTTTTAGAGCTTGTTCAATTAGTTCATCAAACAAATCCGAGTTGGACATAAATCTCCTGAAATATTAGAAGACAGGTTTAGTTTCATATTTTAATTAAAGGGTATTTTATACATTTATAAAATATATACTTTGTAATCACATTATTATATTAATGTGAAGTGAGAAGTGAGTTTATTTATTTGTTACCTTAACAGCTTAATCATTCATTATGAAATTTGGTATATACATACTATATACATATTATTTTGTATTTTGTATATAGGAGGGAAATGGGAGATATAGACTATTTTTTATCCCGGTCAGTAAATATATCCAAGTCACATAGATAAAGGAACAGGTAAAAAATAGTAAGTAATAGATTACTTTTATTCTATGTAGTAAACATATCCGAATCATATGGATGAAGTCACAGGTAAAAGATAGTAAGCCAAAAATAATATTATAAATTTACCCTATCTGCCTGTTTTCTTTCTTTACTAACAGTAAAGAAAGTCATATAGCATTAATATTATCACATAGACACATTATTTAGGTGCTTTAAAGAATTAACAAATTAGTAACAAGCAAAAAGTTACTTTTGTAACTAATTATCAGTAAAGTAATTACAAGATGTTAAATAATAATTATAATGGCATTATTAATAATTTGTATGCAATCATATATTTTAATGAGTATTGTGATAAACATATATAAAAATAAGCATGGATAGTATTAAGAAAAAATAAAATAAATTCTGAAAGGCTATCATTTAATGTAAACAGACCAAATCTTAGTTTTATTATTTTCTTTAGATTTTTGCATAAAGAAAAACTTACTCTGCAGCTGCTCCATGTTTGAAGAAATATGAAAAACTTTTCAAAAATTCTTCTTTATTTTTTATTTCATCAAAATGTTTAGGTCTTCCTTTCAGATCTCTATAATCTAGTAATGAGGTTGCGTTTACGAAGAGATCGTGGCATGCTCCGTACCCTAAAGCTACGTTCGGCTGTCGATTACCGACCCCTACTTTATTCTGGCTCTCCAAATATAATAAATGATCTTTGACTGGTGACAACCTTTCGTCTCCAATATCGTTTTTGCGGTAATACACTGCATATAGTACAATACAAAAGGATAAAATCGAACCCAACTTCACCGGAGTACCAGCCATTATTAATGAGATGAACTACTGAAACTATGAAATGGAATGCATATGCGTTATGTTTAAATAAAGAAAGACCACGTCACCTCATCTTTATAATGGGTTTAATTGAAAGTAAATAATTTATGAGACTTACGATACGTATTACGATTAATAAGTACGATAGTGCATATAGCGATACAGAGTAAAATAATCAAAATTGACAATGACGTTTAGAGATGTGCGAATATGTCAACGACGACAATTGACAAATATTTGAAGCAGTATGCAGAGTATCTACTGCAGAGTAATTAAAAATTATAATTTCGGAAATAGGTATACTAAGCCAAAGATTTCGACTTAGCACTAAGCTAAAATGATTAATAACTTATTGTTGTAAGTAGACAACTAGTAATCTAGTAAACATAGTTTTTTTTTAATCCACATGTTAAGGTAAGACCATAATCAACACAATCGGTAGGTGTAAATTAAGAACCCTATTAACTAAAATTCGTCTTTCTACTTCTACATATTTTTATTTCGAAATAGCAAGTTAAATCAATTTTTGTGGAAAAAAGCAATACTTGACATTTTTGCTCGTTTATTTATTTTATTTATTTATTTAAAGAAATACCAACAGCATATTGCATTATAACATATAAATATAACAAACATTAAATACATATAATACAATATTAATGCTCATGCCTATTATAGATATTCATAGCATCTTTCTTCTTATTTGTAATTGCATTCCAAATGGACGGTAGAACCATAAAAAATGATTATTAAAAAATATTTGTAATTAAGTTTACTTGAATAAAAAATACTCTTATCACATAGTTTGTTATCTGTATGGGTACTTTTGTCTTGTACTGCTTTATTTTGATTTGAGGTTTGGAAGAATCATCACCTTATCAGCACTTAACTGCCCACTGCTGATATGTTCAGCAGTGGCCAGTTAAGGACTGACACTTCCGCCATAAGGCGGAATTTGCCAGTAGCGATTATGCTTGGCAGGCGGGTTGGCAACCGCAATTAGGCTTTTTTTGTTGTTCTGCTGCCCATCCCTATACTGTTTAGTTCCCTTAGTCGCCTCTTGAGACACCCACGGGAAAGAAAGGGGTTAAAGTGTGAGTATGGTAGTGAAATTACAAAGTAGGGAGGCATATATCATTATTAATATAATAATTTTATATATTAGGGGGAAAGGGATTGTTAGTAATGGGTTCTAATAACCCTATTGCTAGCAATATACCCCGTCAGGTCGACCTCCACGCGATTCCTCCTGGAAATCATCATGGTTAATTCTTGTTGAACTCTTCATGATGGCCCAATTGACCTGCCTTCATCCTCACCAATCATCTATCACTGGTGCCTTGCTAGCGTATACCGATAGCGCAGGCGGGGTTACCATTCCATTATCACCCATTAAAAAAATATTATATATTGTTGTTATTATTATATTAGTTCTCAGGAGTGGCATACAACGCATCCCAAAAGCGTCACAGTGTATTCTGCGATGGGCATGGTTTTAGGAGACGGTTATCGTTTTCCATTAGATGATGTGTTAGCTTGTTTTTATTCTAAAAATCATAAATAGCTCTAAATCAATTCAAGGACCTTTAAATTAAAGCCATATTAATAATATTATACAAACACGATTATAGGTGGGCAATTCAATGACCGTGACAGAAGAATTTATTAGGTATGTAAATAAGTAACCACTTCATTTACTTTCCAATGTTTTCGAAAGCCAAAAACCGTTCCCCAAAATGGGTAACCGGTCGTATTCCTAATATGGAAGGATATAAGATGTTAAGAACTTTAGGCGTAAATATTCGTGTCAGCGAGAATTGTAATTACTTTCAGTTCTGTTGTAGCATAAATTATTTTTTTAATTCCATTACGTCCTTTATAAATATAATAAATTAGTACGATAGCTTATTTTGTGTGACTTATTTAGTATGCTGTAGGTACAATGACATGTAAGTAGTGTTGGTGTTTTTATTTTGTAAGTAAATAAAAATCTCCTTAGCAGATTCGTGTTTCTATAATAGTTTTTGACAATCTCGGTTTGAAGGGTAGTGATATGGCGTGAATTTACAGTGGAATAAACACGATTGGTTTGCGAAATAGAAAATGAGGTCTTGAGTATCGGTACCACTTTCCATCAGTCAGTTTGTTTGCCATTTAAGTTTATAAAGAAAAATTAACACACTTTTCTAAAACGTTGGTTTTGGACTTGGGTAAGATCGTGTTAATTTATGAAACACACTTTTCTAAATTAGCTTGGACTTGGGTGCTCTGGTTTCTCATAATACAAGGTATTCTAACTTGAGATTCACATAATTAGTGTTATTGTTATTAAAAAAACCATCAATATTTATATACATACTATTTATCTTACTAATATAATAATGTTTTAATTGAACAATGTATGTACATAAGAGATATATTATTTCAGTTGTTAACTATTCACTGCTGAACATAAGTCTTCCCATAAGGGGAGTTTTGTTAGTAGTTGCCATGTTTGGCAGGCGAGTTGGCAACCGCAGTTAGGCTTGTAGATTATATGCCAGGGCACACACGGCAACATAAGAGATATTTAAGAAAAATTTATATGAGGACTCTTAATAAGATCAATAGAAGCTAAACCAATATTTTGTCGAATTTTTGTCTGTCCGTCGATATGCATATTATACTGGTGTAATTCAAAATTATTTGTTTAATTTGAATATGTTTTTTTTTTTGTGCGTACCTTTGTGTTCCTAAAGGCGTAATTTAAAATTTGGTATATTTTTTATTTTGGTACTCTAACTTGAAGTGCGTAGCTCTTTTCAAAAAGGGGGAAAGGGATTGTTAGTAATGGGGAGGTTAGTTCCCATCTATCAATATACCTTATCAGGTCGACCTCCACGCGGTTCCCCCTAGAAACCATCGTGACTAATTTATCGTTGAATTCGTCATGATGGGCTAACTGACCTGCCTTTTCATCCTCACCAATCATCCCTCACTGGTATCCCGCCAGTGTATACTAATAGCGCAAGCGGGCTTACCATTCCATTATCATTCATTAAAAAAAAACCTCTATTTTTAAAACCTACGCATTCAAAGTTGTGGGCAATAATTAGTATATATAAACAATAATGAATAAATTTTATACCATTTTTACGAATATTAAATAAAATTCTCAGATCATAAATTATTAGATCTCTGTCTATAAAGTTTTTCATTAAGGAGTCAAAAAATAATCTCTTATAAAAATAAAAGGTATGTTAATACTACGTTAATACCTTCTAACTGACATTTTATAAAATACTTGTAGATATTTTTTTTTTCAAATTTATCTACTTCCTTTTCTGTGTTATATAGATTACAATTTTTTACATCAACATATTGAGAATTTATATTAGAACCAATTAATTAACTTTTGATTTCTGTCCATAAACATGTCGTAAACCATACTAATATTTATAAATGTGAAGGTGAATTTGTTTGTTTATTATCTTATAGCATTTTAACAGCTTAACGAATCACTATGAATATATATATATATATATATATATATATATATATATATATATATAAATATATATATAATATATATATATTATATATTGTTTACTATTGTAATCTTTTAGAGGAAACAATAAAGAGTATCTATCTATCTATGAAATTTGGTATACACGTATTGTTTTTTATACCACTGAGGTAACAAACAAGCATACGGCCTACCAGATGGCAAGCGGTTATCGAAACCTATGAATGCCTGCAATTCAAGGGCCACTACGCGCGCGTTGCCGACTCTGAAGAAACATATTCTCCCTCAAGAACCCCATGCTATAGTTTCTTGGAAAAACCTCGATTCATTCTATAACTTGAGCGTTTGTGGTAGGAAACTGCTCTGAAACCGCATTGTACGCCACCATCCAGTTTAGTTTCGGTTCGGTATGTAATTTTCAACTGAAACTATAATTTTCATCGAAAGTGGTCGAAATCGGAACCAAAAATTCAGTCAAACACTAATGAAAATATTTGTTTTAGAAAAATGTTTTTTATTCAATACAATTTTGTAGCGATCCTTGACACTCACAGAGTGTTTTAAACGATTAAACTGCAAACAATAGGCACATAAATGTCACCATATTTGGGTGATTAAGAATGTTTTAAGTAAAACTTATAAAACGTAAGAGCAATCCAAAAATGGTAGTCACGTATTGTTGCCGCCGAAATTACACGCAGTTGAAATCTGTATGGTGTAATCGTCTGGCGCCGTTGTGATAAAAAATACCACCATTACAACTCTGGAGTTGCTAGATACTCGTATAATAAATATATTTTTATTTGTAATAGATACGACAAAATGTGCAATAATTTGCTAGAATGGCAATATTTTTTTTTTATATGATGAAATTGGAATGATAAGTCCGTTTGCGATAATGGTATACGTTGGTGAAATATATACACGTCAGGAATGACAAGTGAAGATGAAATAAGGTCAATTGGCCTTTTGTGAGAAATTCATCTGAAATCAGCCTAAATGGTTTACAGGGAGAATCGATATAAAATAATTAGCTATTTTTGTATGCTCTAGTATAGTAATAAATGTACAGAATAATTGTGACAAATTGTCAGTAAAGGGACCAATTTTATAATATAAGTATTTTATTATTATTTCTACATCAATTTTTTTTTACATTTTTTATTTGACTTAAAATATCTATATTGTAAGTAAATAAATAAATTAAATTATTCCATGTCTAAAGCGTGAGTGTTGAGGCTCGGTTGTGTCAGGTCGTATGATTCATACAGTTGAGGTCAGGATTTCCAGTTCAAGTGAATTGCTTACTGTATATTATTAAATAACGTAGGTGCATAATATTTATATCTGTGCTCCGACTTCAATATAAAATTATGATCTATAAATATAAAATATTAAGTTATTTTTATTCATCTAATTTGAAGTCAGTTATGTCGAAGAGGTGACGTGTGTTTAAAATTTTTTTTATAAGTTACTTTATACTGTGATAATAGCTTGTAAGTTTTATTTTAAATTTTAATGTAATAACTACCGGTTTTATTTACACATATTTTAGTTGAGGAAGTTCGACTAGTTTCGGGTCCATCCGGGACTCTTAGTTATGAACAGCTGTAATGCGAGCGCGAGCGGTATTTTTTTTTCAATGGATGGTAATAGAATGGTAATCCC